TACTCCGAAGTTGAGTAAATAAATTTAAGAAATTCAAAATGACATCCAAATTATTTCGAAGGTCTTGGATCATGGTCGACGTCAAAGACCGCCCTTGTGTTGTACCAAGTTGCAAGCCGATCGATAGGAAGGGGTTGATGTCATGGCATCAGTAAGCCTATTTCTAAAATTACACTTTAATTAAAAAATATAATCAGTAAGTAAGCATTGCTTCAATATTTTTAGCTTCTCCACAATGGCTATGCATAAGCAAATGCGTGATCAGTGGATCAGCATAGTTCGAAATCTACGAAATGATCAGACGTGGGAGCCTATTCGTAGTTCCGCGATTTGTAGCCGTCACTTCCGACAGGACGAATTTCGTTGGTGTAATAGAGGACGTATGCTCGTTGGACAAGCAATTCCAACTCTTCATGATGGTGCACTGAGTAAGTAACTCTGCTAGTACTTTATCATTGCTTTCGATCATCCTCTAATAATAATTTGTTTTACTAGCAGCTGATCCAAGTTCTCAAATGCAGTTGGAAGATATTCCAGAAGTTTCCGTGGAGGTCGCACCGTCCACACCATTGCACCGTTCTCAGCATATTGGTGATCTCACTTGCCCGTCATGTGCCGTCTCCATTTCTGTGATTCGAATCGATGGGGGTCTTCAAGGAAATTTTGGTACCGCTCAACTTCAACCTGCCGGAACTAGGACAACTACTGCTAGTAAGTCCAGAAAACGTCTTTTCTCGGAAAGAAATGATGTCGGCACGGACACAGCACATGCATCTTTCCACACCTCGTCTTCATATATACCTGTCACACCTACGTCAAGGCGGGCTGTTCGAAACGAACATAGTTATAGTGCATCTCCCAGACAGGCCGCAGATCAGTTAAAAACTGTAAAAAAAGAACTAGCAGAGCTTAAAATTAGATACCGTAATTTACAGCTTAAGCTTGAACGACGAGATCGCGCCCAGTCCACTTGTAAAGATACTTTAGAAAGTTTTAAAGTGCTAAACGCTAGACAGATTGATTCTTTGCATGATAGATTTCCTAAGCTGCTACAAAGTATCGTAGACAATGAAAAGCAGGCTTTAAGTATTAAGGGAAAAAACGGAATGAAGTATGAGGAGGAAATAAAAAAGTTTGCCGCCACTCTTCATTTCTATTCTCCTAAAGCTTATCGTTTCATGCGTGAATACATCACTTTGCCACACCCTTCTACAATTAATTCTTGGATGAAATCTTCTGACTGTAGCCCTGGCTTTAATTTAGATGTTATCTCTCGGTTAGGCGAAGCTAGAGTTGTTGATAGGAAAAACGTCATGACAGATGTTGTAATGATTATAGATGAAATGGCCATCAAAAAGGGATTATGTTGGGACCCAGTCCAGCATTGTTATGTCGGTTATGTTGATCACGGAACTTCTGACGTTGAAGCATCTGATGATATTCCAGTGGCTAGCAATGTTTTAGTATGTATGATTGCAGGGATATCAGGTGGTTGGAAGTGTCCGATTGGATACATTTATACAGACAAAGTTAGCGATGAGATTCAGAACGGGTTCCTCAATAAGGCTTTTGTTCTACTTGTGAAGGAAAATTTTAATGTGTGGGCACTAATTTCTGATGGTTGTTCTTCTAATGTTTCACTCTTTAAAAGTTATGGAATCACTGACAGAATGATACAACGGGCTTGTCTTAATTTGAGTTGCACTTTTCCGAATCCCGCCAATCCTACCAAAGTTGTTTATGCAATGTATGACGTTGTTCACATGATGAAACTTTGGCGAAATTTGCTATCCCATTCATATAAGAAAAGTGGTCACGTGTCACTGAAGGATGGCCGCTGCGTATCATGGGGCTTTGTTGAGGCGTTGTACGAGCGTCAAACTGATGAGAAAATTAGAGCTGCCAATAAACTTGGTCGTAGCCATGTAGATTTTGTAAACCACAAAATGAACGTTAAATTGGCTGTCCAGAGTCTTAGCAAGTCTGTAGCCGATGCTATTTCATTCTGTAGGAAGTTGGATTTACAAGCATTTAGAGGGTCTGAAGGTACTACATTTTTCATTGAATTGTTAGACAAGACTTTCGATGTTTTAAATTCTAGAAGTTGCGCTCAGAAAGGAGACAAGTCACCACTTAATTTGTCTACCATCGATCATATGACTTCCATTCTAAATGATTTCTGTAGAACTGTCGTAGAAATGACGTACATAGAAGTTAGAGAGTATAAAACTACAGGAAAACGTACCAAAGTCGAGAAGAGATTGATAGAGAGTGATCGAAAGCGGGCCGCTCTAGGAATGGTGCTATCCATAAAATCTGTCATTTCGATTAGCAAGGCTCTTCTTGTCAGAGATTTGGATCCTTTTAAATACGTCTTGACATATAGATTCTGCCAGGATCCATTGGAACTTTTTTTTAACACTGTGCGAGGAAGATTAGGTAGGAATAATAACCCTACTGTGGTTGAGTTTAAAAATATAATGAAATCCATCTGGCATCAGAATCTCTTGAAATCCACTAACACCGGAAATTGCATTGCGCAAATTACTGACGGCCAAGTTCCAGGAGGTCTTCTACCTCTTAGACGGGTGAGGAAATTGAAAGAATTGGATATGAAAGACATAGAAGAGCTCGATGTAATAGATTTCAGCGCACTTTCTGAGCCATTCTATTCTGATTTCTACAAAAATTGTTTAGCATATATTAGCGGTAATGTGGTTAGAGTAGTTGGCACGAAGCTAAAATGCGAGACTTGTACTCAATCCCTTCTGAATACTGATACTGATCTTCTTCCTGTCCACTTAGCGAAGCTGATTGAAACCAAAGATCGCGGGGGTTTGTTCACTCCTTGCTATTCAGTTTACCGTATTGTGGAAATGACAGATGCTTGTTTTCGGCAAGTGTGTAAAGCTACCGATGGGCTCATCAATATTTCGAATCTTGACAAAAGAATTTCTATGTTGGTAACTTCTCGGTGCTTAGGAACAACAATTTTTCCGCACATGACACATCATTCAGTTGATTTCGATCCACTAACTGAAGCTAGCCATCTGTCTGACTTGATTTCTCGAATCTCAATGCATTTTTTAAAGATACGCTTGTTCGACCATGGGAAACGGTATCAAAAGATGCGAGCCCTTACAACTTCAACACGTCATAAATGTACTAAAGTTACAATTTTCAAAGGGTTCTAGAAATATTAGCTATAATAATAACATGATTAGTTAACGCACTAGATTTGTTTAGTTTTAGAAATATTTAGTCGTAAATCCCCTAGTGTTGTATATCTGTTTCTACTTAATTATAGCTCTCTAAAATAGTTAACTAGATACTTTATTTATTTTAAATATGCATAATTTTGTAAAAGCTGTCAAAGTGTGAACGTTTGAGTTTTTTCAAAAATTCTAATAAATTGAGTAAATACACTACTAAGTGCTGACTGTGGAAGAAGTTGTGTAAAATTATTTGTACATGCAATTTTCTTTAGCATGGCGGTTCCAGTCTGGAAAATTAGAATAGCATGGGAGATGTACAACTTATTTGGCCCAAATCTCATCGATAATGTTGTTAGAATATACGAAAAATGTTATTAGCAAAATATCCATTTGAATAAATTCAAATATTCATTATTTTTATCCAGGTTTTAACTCCTTGGCAGAAACGGTACGTGTTGGATAGGGTGCCTATACACCATCCTTATGGGATCCGCGAACGATTTGGGCGGAGACCTGTAAATTTGATTTTCGCAGGTCTTTGCCAAAGGGACCTCTATCTCCGCATGGGGAAGATTAAAGCATTTTTAAGGTTGTATGGAATTGAAGCGGACTTTTTTCATAAAACAATAAATAAAGTTTGATATCTAATCACCTTTCTTAATGTTATTACTAAATTTATTATTATTTAATTATTTTTTATCATAATCACGTTTTACCCGAAAGCCTGCTTAATGAGTTTGTTCCCTGGTCGCCTTAATCAAGTTGTAAGTTGCAACTACTTAAATAGCCGCTAAGCTGGTCTTAACCAAAGTGAGTCTAACCCACATAGTGAATCCGGCCCCAGTTGACGTGGAATTCCTCCACCTTGCTTGCTTGACAAAGACGGCTAGTAGTTCATCTCTTATATACTAATCTAAGGTTCTCTCTGCAAGTCAAAAGTTCGCGTGATTCGAAATTTTTGGGTTAAGTGACGTTTTTAATGGGAAAACATGATTTTGGGGGTAAAATGAATTATTTTGTTGTAAAATGAAATTTTTTTGAGGAAAAAATTTTTGGGGTAAAATGAAATTTTCGGGGCAAAATGACATTTTGGGGGGAAAATAAAATTTTGGCGTAAAGTGAAATTTTTGGGGTAAAATGAAATTTTTGGGGTAAAGTGAATTTTTTGGGGTAAAATGAAATTTTTGGGGTAAAGTGAATTTTTTGGGGCAAAATGAAATTTTTGGGGTAAAGTGAATTTTTTGGGGCAAAATGAAATTTTTGGGGTAAAATGAAATTTTTGGGGCTAAGTTAAATTTTTGAGGTAAAATAACATTTTTGGGGTAAAATGAAATTTTGGGGGTAAAGTGAAATTTTTGGGGCAAAGTGAAATTTTTGGGGGTAAAATGAAATTTTTGGGGCTAAGTTAAATTTTTGAGGTAAAATAACATTTTTGGGGTAAAATGAAATTTTGGGGGTAAAATGAAATTTTTGGGGTAAAGTGAAATTTTTGGGGCAAAGTGAAATTTTTGGGGTAAAATGAAATTTTTGGGGTAAAATGAAATTTTTGGGGTGATGTGAGATTGTTCGGCTCGGCCACGGCCACGGGTCTTGCATCTCGGCCACGGCCACGGCTAACTTGCATCGGCCACGGCTACGGCTAAATTGCATCTCGGCCACGGCTAACTTGCAGCACATCTTTCTGAGCTGGCCTTGCTGCACCCTCTGTGGTGAGAAGGTCGCAATCGTTACTCTGGCTCAAATGAAATCGGCGCATTGGACTTGGTGGATTCCTCCTTTTCATGGATTGCCAATCGCTCCTTGCACTCTTCATCATCAGGCAAGCAAGTCATCCTCAGTTCTCCGTCAATTCACAATTAACTTCCTCACTCTCAAAATCAATTTGTGCATTATTCCCATTTAACCATCGTCGTTAAAGGTCAACGTCTGACATCCCACCAAATCAGAACGACGCCAAGCATGCTCTTCAAATAAGCACATTCAAAATTGTTTCAAGAACACACAAGTCACATCTTCTATCGCTATATCACATATTATGCCATTTTCATAATTATTAATTATTCAGGAGACGCTATTCTAATTTCAACTCAGCTCACGAATTATATTGTTATTTTTTGCTGTGATAAATCCGTTAGTCGGGGTCAGTCGAGTACTTGAAGATATTGATATTGTGTGTGATTTCGGTCGAACAAATCGTGTCGTTTGTCGAGAACAAAGAAACTTGAAGGTCACAACGATTGTGAACAGGAAAATCGACAAGCAAAGGACGAATTTTAACACTTGTTTGAAATAATGGCTGCCAGAGGAAGTGGCGTTGATTCGCAATTATACGAGACATTGGGAGTGTCTAGGACAGCTTCAGATTCAGAAATTAAAAGGGTAAATTCATTAGTAAATTATGGAACTTTTGTTTATGCAGATTTTGATAAATTAGTACTTACTCCTGTGTTCTTTTAAAGGCGTATCATCGGCTTGCCAAGGAGTTTCATCCTGACAAGAACCCCAGAGCAGGAGATAAGTTCAAAGGTAGGTAGGAATGATTAAGTTTGATTACGTACATATGAGGTTTTCCGAACGTATACAATGACAAATTGATATAGTGGTGTTGATAAGAAAATTTTACCTTGTAGAGATATCCTACGCGTATGATGTATTGTCTGATCCAAAAAAGAAAGAGGTCTATGATCGATATGGATTAAGGGGGTTGCAAGAAGGTGGAGGCCATGATGGAGACCACTTTGGTGGTGGCGGATTTCCCGGAGATTTCTTTTCAGACTTATTCGGCGGAGGCGGTGGGCCTAGCATGTTTTTTGGAGGAGGTGCCCACGGTCATCGTCAAAGGAAATCCGAAGATTCAATGAAACCTCTCAAGTCAGTTTACTAAACTATAAAATGACATATCTGCATCTCGATAATTCTTGTTGTAGGTAGTCAGTCTGTATTATTCGAGATTGTATATAATTTTGTCCATAGGGTGACATTGGAAGACCTATACCTTGGAAAATCACACACCATGAAACATGAACGGAAAGCTGTGTGTAAAGATTGCAGCGGGTAAGTGTAAATGTTAATAAATGTATATTGTTGATCGTGACTGACGAATAGACACTTTTTTAAAATACAGACTTGGAACTTTAAATGCGAAAAGTTCGAAACCTTGTGCGGATTGTCGAGGTAGTGGCATGAAAATGCAATATAGACAACTTGGGCCGGGACTAGTTCAACAAATTCATTCTACATGCAACAAGTGCGGCGGACAGGGTACAGTGATTCCAGACAAAGATCGTTGCAAAAAATGCGTTGGTACGAAAATCATGCAAGAAGTAAAGGACATTGAGGTTCATGTCGACAAAGGCATGTCTCACGGAACAAAGATAGTTGTCCGGGGTGAAGGTGATGAAGAAGTATGTCGTGTTGAACCCTTGTCTTGTTCTTATGAACATTGTACCTTAAGTTAATTACGGCCAAGTATTAATACCTTGAAATTGAAACTTTTTTTCACATTTCAGCCTGGTGTCACACCTGGTGATTTAATATATGTCCTACAACAAGAAGCACATGATTTGTTTGAACGAAATGGCGATAATTTGGTTATGACACGGAATATATCGCTGACAGAATCGCTTTGCGGTTTCCAGTTTTCTATTCGCCACCTAGATGGACGTGACTTAGTCATTTCGAGAACACCAGGACATGTTGTAGCTACAGGCAAGTTTTTTTGTCATTCTAAAGAATTAGATCACTATTATCGATTATAATTATTATTTAGCCCAAGTTATATACTTTGGCCCAACAGGTTTATAAATTACTATTTCTTCTTACAGAAACTATGCAAATTGTTCTTGGCGAGGGAATGCCTCATTATAAACGGCCATTCGACAAAGGAAATTTGTTGATAAAGTTCAAGGTTGATTTTCCATCATCCCACTTCACTGACGAAAAATCGCTAAAAGTACGCCATGATTTTGTATATTTATTTTCTGATCAAATTTGATAAATTAATGTTCGAATTTGTTGTATGAACAGGTTTTGGAGACAATCTTGCCTTCTCGCCCCCCGTTTATTAGGCCAGATGGGGACAATGTTGAAGATGTCGATCTTTGCGATTATGAACCTGGGACTGGAGGAGCGCAAGATAGTGATGACGATGAAGATGACCCACGAGGGCAGCGCATAGGTTGTGCTCATCAATAATATTAATATTTAATAGCCTCAATTCATTTTTACCCGTACTTTCGTTTCATACTTCTTTAACAATAATTGATGCTGCTATATACTGATAGTATTTTATGGATTTTGTACACTAAAGTTCATGGTGCACTTTGCACAAATACGAATCCAAATTATCCATATGTAAAAAGTAAGCCATTTATGCGACACTGTAATTTGTACTAATGTTTACGAAAATAAATGGAGAACCACTAATGTGAGAACGACATCCAAATTATTGAATTTTGATTGCAAACGGAATGTAGTACTATTAAAACTGACCAGGTTTTCAAACACCTGTTTTTACTTATCACGGATAACTTATCCGGAATAAGTTATAATCGCGTGAAAGCACAATTTCGGTGGCTGATTTAATTTTTCATCGAGTGACTTCAAATGCAGTATACACAAGCACCAGGTTAAAATCCAACCCGCGAATTAAATCCGCACATGTTCGGCTTCGACAATTTTATTTTAGTCACTTCTTTTCACTCTCCACCCGAAATTTTCGCATGGGTGAGATTAGTAAAAAAAATTAGTTTCATACGAATTACAAGTTAAGTTCTACATGGAACATAAAAAAATTATTACATTGTGTTTTTGTTACAAACAGTACTATAAGTGAGCACCACGACTTAATTAGCAATCAAAATGCTACGTTGTTGCGGCTGTCGGCGGTTGCAGAGATTATCAATGTATCCGGTTGGGCGAATAAATGCTTCAAAAGATTCACGTGAATTTTTCTCTACAACAATCAGCCCTGATTTGGAACAAATCAATGAAAAGAATCAGAATGGCAATGTGCACGTCAACCCATGCAAAATTCAAATGATTTCCGACCAGCTCTTTGACCAAGTATTTATTGATCGTTATCGTCAGAAGGTGTACTCGGAAGACTTGGTGGAGAAGTGCAGGCGACATTTGGAAGCACACAATCTCTGGGGGCAGAATGTAGATATTGCGGAACCAATCAAGTTTCACCTTCCAGAATTAGAGGGCAATGATATTAACCATCACTTTCAAAACATTGCAAGACAACAGACGTTCCGATATAAAAATTTGCTTGACAAACTTGTTAAAACTGAAATTCCAGCACTTCCAACTAAATGGGTGTTCGATGTATGTTGATATTCCTACTAAATTCATGAATCTGTCCATCTAATGTCCCGTAATAATAGCGGCTGGTTCATTTTAGGTTGGATGGACCAAGTATCACAAGGATGGGCGAACTGAAAGTGTTCCATTTCCTGTAGAAAATGCAATGGTTTTCGACGTAGAAGTCTGCATGTCACATGGACAAGTTCCAACATTGGCATGTGCGTTGACAACAGACGGCTGGCAAGTTATCAAAATATATTTTACAAGCATTTTCCCTCCTTTCACTGGCATTATTTATTTTATTTTGTTTTATGAATTAAGGTATTCCTGGTGCTCATCCTCGCTTTTTACGGGAATTAGCCGCAATCCCTCGTCGAGGCACAAACTTGATGAACTGATACCGCTGGAAACCCTAAATGGTACGTTTCATATTTTTAATTTGCTCCTTGACCGAAATTAACTAAGTTTTTCATATAATGCTATATAAATTTTCTTAATAATTATTGAATTAAAGGGGAAATGAAACCACCACAATCACGAGATTGGGTCGAGAAAATAGTCATTGGTCATAATGTCAGCTACGATAGAGCAAGGATTAAAGAACAATATTTTTTAGAGGTAAATAAGCTTGCACTGCATACATGCATGATTATGTCTTATGAAACCGGTAGATTTATCTTTTATTTTTATATCAGAAGACAAAACTAAGGTTTATGGACACAATGTCTCTGCATATTGCTGTCAGTGGGATTACGAGTTTTCAAAGGTAAAACTAAATATTTTTGTTCTATAATATCTTTGTAATTAACAGACAACATACAAAGTGAAGATTTGATATGGCCAACTTATTCGACCAACAGTGTTTGGTCTTCTTTGAATCTCTTTACTAATATTTTACAGAAGTTGCACCTTTCTTGAAGTTGTATCAATTTCAAAAAAACATGATTATAATTAAAGGGCCCTGAAAATGAGTATGAAAAGTCGAATGAAACGTGAGGGGACAAAATCGGCTCCTGGAATCGATACTTCTGCCTTAGATTGGGACGAACTTAGCTCATTAAATAATTTGTCGGATGTGCACAATGTAAGCATATAATGTTATTTACCAATTGAGAAAATTCATAAACATTATATTACGGTGCGCCACATGACATGGGAATGGGAGGCCATGGACCTATGGCCTCCCATGTCTTCCATACGGGAATTAAGCAAAACCACCGTAAAAATGTTGACTGAATGGTGACACGTTACGGTGACACGTTACCTTAATACTGAAGTCTGATATGGATGTTTATATTCTATATGTATTTCTGATATACTTCTTGGCAATTAGCTTTACTGCAAGGGCGAAGTTATAAACAAAGACGAGAGGAATATTTTTGTCAAAGGAACCCTGCAGGATGTCCGGGATAATTTCCAAAGTCTGGCCCTGTATTGCGCCAAAGATGTTCGAGCCACTCATGAAATATTGCAGCATCTTCTCCCCTCTTTTTATGAACGGTATTTACCAAAGAACATGCAAGCACACATTAATAATCCTTATTGATTTACGAATAAATGAATAAAATGTGAAATGCAATTGTATAATATATTCGTGATGTATAGGTTTCCACATCCCGTAACGTTATGCGGTATGTTGGAGATGGGAACAACATATTTACCAATCAATCAAAATTGGGTTTCATACATGAACAGTTCGGAGGAAGTGTTTAAACAGTCAGAAAATGAAGTCAAGTCAATTTTAGTGCAGAAAGCAAACGACGCTTTGAAGCTTTTAGAAAACGAAAGGTGATTTCAAACTTGTTTGTTTAGAAGAATTGGTATTGATAAGTTCTGTTTTGTCACTTCTTGTTCCCGTGTAGATATAAAACAGATCCATGGCTTTGGGACTTAGACTGGAAGATATCAAAAAAACGATCCAGTAAGAAAGCATCTGTGGAGACGGATAAAAATACCCAATCGTTGCAGGATACACACGAGTACCCAGCTTGGTATAAGAAATTATTGTACAAGGTTTGCTAATATAGTTCTTTGTAAATATTGTTCAAACTTTAGATATATTATTTAGCTTATTATTACATGTGTCCTTAAAAAGCCTGGAGATCCTGACTATCAACCCGGACCTTCTAAAATCAGCTCATCTATGCAAATAGTTCCAAAATTATTAAAACTAACTTGGTTTGGATTTCCATTACACCATTCAAAAACTGGGAAATGGGGATTTCTTGTAAAAAAGTCTAAAGAAGCGAGGCAAGATATACAGCAATCCTTGTCAGAATTTGATGAAGATGAAAACGATGACAATGAAAATGAGAATGCAACAAAATTTCCATTTAGGTAAAATTTGTAATTGCATGGATGCTTCGTTTTGTTGTATTGGAATTATTGTTACTAATTATATTGTTTGGAGCAGAAATTGGGAAGAGATTTATGACGCCAGCAAAGCAAAATTAGTGAACCGAATAGGAGGCAGTCCATCCACAGACTTGTCCATTGCAAAAGAAGAATTAAATCATAAATCTGAGGAACTAACTCAAGACTTGTCGGATTTCCTTAAAGGCTTAAAAACGGTTACTGGGTATGTATGCATGCTTTTAGTTATTAAGGATTTAAGGATTTTGTCCAAGAATTTTTTGACCTTATCTCTTGTAGTCGAACGTTTATGCAAAACTATCCAACGGATCCGAACCTTGGACAACGAAATTCGCCTCATCCCGATTGTGAATTTATACCACTTCCTCACAAGGTCGGTCACTTTTAACGTGTGTCTTTGTACTTGTATAGCTAGCAAAAGCACAGCACTTACAGCAACGTGATTCATGAAACTTATTATTCTGCTTCTCTGATTGAAAAAAGTATTGTATGGAATATAATAGAATGGGGTCAACTACAAGGTAGGAAACCCACTTGGCAAGGATTTTTTGAGCAAAATTGAAGAAGGAATTTTAAGTTGTCAAAATGGCCAAGATGTGGCTGACAAAGTTGTAAAGTGAGTGATATATCGTATTTATTCATTTGTAGATAGACATATGTAGATATGATTGTTGTTATCATACATTCACACAACATTTATAGCTGGGTTTATTTTTAAAATTATAATTTGCGATTATCTTATTAGAATCAGCAAACAATCGTCGTATTGGAGAAACAACAGAGATAGAATATTCGGACAAATGACAGTGTGGTACGATAATCAGGCGGAAGGTACTTCGAGTAACAAGCAATCTGAAATGGGAGCTATAGTTCCACAGGTGGGGTCTTAAAAATTGATATGAAATACTTGCTAGTTACTAGATTAACCAAAACTTAGCTTGAATGTGTGTTTCAAGGTTGTTGTTGCTGGAACGTTAACAAGGAGGGCTGTCGAACCGACATGGATGACAGCGTCTAACGCGTATGAAGATAGAATAGGATCAGAGCTTAAAAGTATGGTGCAGGCCCCACCCTCGTATAATTTTGTTGGTGCAGATGTTGACTCTCAAGAACTTTGGATTGCTTCCGTCATTGGAGATGCGCATTTTGCAACTATGCATGGTTGTACCGCTTTGGGCTGGATGACCTTACAAGTAAAAACCTACTCCAAGCAACTTCGCGGGGCCTTTTAAGACGGCATTATTACATAAAAGCCAGACTCTAATGAACGATTGGCATATAATTTTTAGCCCGAACTAGGGCTTATGTAATCGACCTGTCCGTCTGTCTGTCTTTCCATAACTCTCGAAGGAGTAGGCTGATTTTTACCAAATTTGATACAGACATGCATCTGGGCAACGACCGAGTTCGAAGATGGGTATTAGTGTTTCTCACGGGTCGGGTTCTTGCAAATCCGAAACCCGAACCCGATACTACTGATCCGAAACTTGAGGGCAACCCGAACCCGAAGAACCCGAAACCCGTTTGCAAGGATCCGAACCCGAACTGGCGGATCAAATCCGAAACCCGAACCCGAAAAACCGAATATATTTTAACTTTAAGGGGTGACTGGCTTTTTAGCCTAAAGGTTTCAAACAAACAATACTTCTGTAAATATGACCGAGGAATTATAATTAAGCACATTTCTGCATAAGTACATTTTAAAATGTGAATCTTAATTCCTCGACCATAATAATGCAATCTCAAAAAATCGACCATGGATAATGGCTTTCCGTGACATTCAGAAATTTTTAAATCAGTTGAAAACTGAAAATGATTTTCAGTTTCAAGTTTCCAATATTAAAGTAAGCTCAAGCTAACTATTTAGCAAATTTTTGATAAAAAAATATATTTTATTTCAATATTCAAACCATAACACTAATTGAAGACACTTGTGAAAAGAAGTTACGACAATTAAAAATTTGAATTATTTAATGAATTACTGCAGCATAACCGTCGTAGCAAGTGTGGTTAACACTTTATTTTCTTTTTTAATGTTTTCGTATTCGTTGTGGCAAAAAGTTCTTGTTGGTTCGGGTTTCGGGTTCTTAGTCGGAACCCGAACCCGACCCGAACCCGAAATTTTGGGCTCACATTTCTCGGACCCGAACCCGAACCCGAAAGTTTCGGGTTCTGAAATTTCGTATCCGAAGCAGGACCCAAACCCGATCCGAACCCGAAACCCGAAGTAAGAACCCGAACCCGTGAGAAACACTCGATCAAAAAACATTTAGACCAATGAGTGGTACCCTGGACACGACTATCACCTCGAAAGTATCCCTTGTTAGCTAACTTTTAATTTCAAGTTCTTTGATGAGAAGCCACTAATTGTAAGTATTACCGTGCCGGATTTCATGTTTTTAACGCAATTTCTAAAAATAGATATGGATCACCTCTCTCCCAAATTTCACTTCGATATGACGATTTTGAAAAATCAGTATGGGTCACCCCATAGGGTCCATCAAGATTAAAATTGTTCCAACCTAAATTCAGTTTTTTCTGTTACAATCCACTAGCAACCTTTGTTCCAAATTTCAACTACGTACTACAAATTTTAGAAATCCGTCGGGTCACCCTATCGGGTCTCCCAGGTTTAAAATTTCTGAAACTCCATTCCAATTTAAACGCTTTGAGGTCAGTCGCAATCTTCATACTAAAATTACTTATAATTATTACTATAGATATTTCTCAAGCTACAAATATTTTACTTACACTTAAATAATTTAACCTGCTCTAAAGGTTCTTGGTAGTTAAGGGCAACGCATTTGGATGGAAATGACCCCCACCGGCCAATTACTTGACCGATCATGCCCATCTCCGAACTCATCCTTACTTTTGACCCGAAGATGAAGTGTGCAAAATTTCAAGTCGATAGCTTTTGTTTAAAGAGAGTTATCGTGCGCACAGACGGACGCACAGACGGACGGACAGACAGACATCTTGGTAAATCTATAAGGCCATCTTAAAAGGCCTAAAACACATCAAAAAATAGCATTTCAATTCTTTATATGTACAGCGTTGTGATGGATGACTTTAAAAGTTATTCTACTCTAGAGTTTTTCCGTGTTCCAATATTGTAAAATATTCCTTTCTTGTTTTCCTAGGGCACAAAAAACTCTGGAACAGACATGCATTCAAAAACTGCATCCGTAAGCGGAATTAGTCGAGAACATGCCAAAGTCTTAAATTATGCAAGAATTTATGGTGCGGGAGTAAAATTTGCAGAGAGGCTGTTGCTACAGTTTAATAGGACCATGTCCCCAAACGACGCTAGGCAAAAAGCAAAACTGATGTTCAAAATGACAAAGGTTTTATTTCATTACTGGATTCCATAACTGGTACATTATAAATACAGATACATTGAGACTTACAGACTTTCGTTTTATTTTGTTCCAGGGTGACAGAAAATATCTGCTTAATCACGAGGGTCAGCAGCTTGCCAGCCAATCGGAAGAATTTGAGCACCGTTGCATGGATCCTATGACTAAGCCTGAGCTTGTACGAATTATGTCGTTTCACCACTTTCCGTACAGAGTAAGTTGCAGATAAATACTGATTAAACTACGCCACATTTACTTCCACTACTTTTCGCTGTAAATGTTTTAATATGATTATTATGCAGGAATACATGTCACTAGTCGATAAACTTGTTTGGGATAATGGTACAGAGTCATTCATGTTCAACAGACTGGAAGAGATAGCACAAGAGGAAAATCCTCAGACTCCAGTTCTTGGGGGCTTAATCAGTCGTTCACTGATTCCATCGGTGGTTCATGACGATGTAATTTGTTTAATAACAATTTGATTTTGCATTATTAGTTATTAGTAATACGATACTACGAAATTTATAGTATATGACTAGCCGAGTGAACTGGGTGGTACAAAGCTCTGCAGTGGATTACCTTCATCTCATGTTAACATGCATGGGATGGCTGATAAAAAAATTCAATTTGAATGCAAGATTTTCTATCAGTGTTCACGATGAGGTAAACGATTAATAATGACTTTCAAGCTTTAATTTAATAAATACATATATTATCAATATTTTTCTCTTTAGGTTCGGTATTTAGTACATTCAGACGACAAATATAAATTGGCACTGGCTCTTCAAATTACAAATCTGCTAACCCGATCATTCTGCTCACATCGTTTGGGAATATACGACCTCCCTCAGGTATAAGTCACGTTCGACAAAAACATTATTATTGAAGTGCTAACGATTGATATAAAAACATCATTGTCATTTGCTTCAGTCGGTGGCATTCTTTAGCTGTGTTGATATAGACACAGTTCTTCGGAAAGAGGTTACCCATGACTGCAAAACCCCTTCTAATCCACAAGGACTAGCAAAAATGTACAACATACCAGAAGGGGAAGCATTAGATATTCGGAAAACTCTAGAATTTACCAACGGAAGTTTGGTTCGATGAAAAATGATGATAATGTATGATAGACAACTACGCCGACAACGACAAGTCTTAAATTGGTAAGACATCTTATCTTTATTTCAGTTAACTGTTAGTTAATCGTTAGTTATTAGCATCATTCTGGTAAATGCTTGGTATCATTTACATCTCTGAACAAAATTTTATAACGTTTCGTTTCTTCTTGCTCATCATTAGTGTCAGTCGTTGTCACACGATTGACGGAAAATATTGATATCGCCGTATTCTTGTGAATTGTTATGGCTTTAGAAGGATCAAAGTTTTCCAAATTATACTTGGCTTCGTGTGTGTGAAGGTGTTTCAAAAAGTACTGAATCCATCCCCCGTGACTAACGACGAGAATTTGGGTCTCGTTTTCTGCTCCTGGCTCATCAGCAAGTTTGCAGATATCCTGAAAAAAAGTATTCAAAATATCATTTCATCACATAGCATTGTATGACGTAAATGCAATATGTTAGCGGAAATGATAACCAATACTGATGAGTGGCTTACGTCGAAAAAAGATGCTGCACGCTGAGCTACTTCTACTGATGTTTCAGCTCCTTCTGGAGTATAGTTATGAATCTGGACGTTGTGCTTTTTCGCTTCTTCAAGAAGATTTTTTGCAGGGGACCCTTCTGCTGATCCAAAGCACTGATTTTGAGAATGTTAAAATTCGTTATTAATTTCCAACAAACAAAATACCTATTTTGTAAATCTTTGCTTACCCGTTCCCGCAGACGGACATCTTTCTGAATTTCCGAATCCTCGTTTCCTGAATGCTTCAAAACGAGTTGGGCTGTGTGATGGGCCCTTGATAAGTCACTGCTGTATACCTTGGTGAATGTTTGATTCAAGGTTTTCATTCTCATTCCCAACAATTCCGCCTGAATGTGTTTAGAATTTTAAATTTTTGAAATTGCTTTTTCCTTTAATTGATTGTGCTTAAGATTTTACCTGTCGAACTCCAACAGAAGAAAGAGGAACGTCCGTTTGCCCTTGAAGCAATCTTTGTACATTGAGTGTTGTTTCACCACTGTGTCAAAAATATGCAGCATTCATATTTCATAGTCAATAGTAAACAAGTAAATCGTTAATTGACTGTAGTTAAATTTAAATAGTGTATTACTGTCGAACGAGTGTCACAATAAAAGATGGCATCCTGAAAACCATGAATCGATGCTCCGGAAATTGTCCTGACTCAGTCGGTTATCTAATTAGAATAAATTATTTTTTGATTTTTATGATCTTCAATATTAATCACAAATGATTTAGCCTAGTTATTGAAAACTAGCCATTTTGTCCTAGTTTTGGTTTTATTACTAAAATTTGGTCATTTTACAATTCTTTCTTAGCACAATTTCATAGTATTCTTATGCCTGCAATAGTGAGTCAAAAGTGAGGGCATCATGGCGATGGTATACGAATTGAATTTTAACGTACTACAAATGTTAAAGCTATATATCAATATCACGATGGTTGAATTTGCAACTAAACCGGCCCATTTTTATGTTTCATGTATGACAAGAAGATTGTCCAGAAGAAGCTCGCAACGCCCGTAACTGAAACTCGATTACGCTGAGGGACGTAGGCGAAGTTTATCGTTTGTACTGCCGGCCAGAATAAAAGTCCCGTCTACGTTAAAACAGGAAAATTATATTTGCGACCTGCTCCTTGAATTCCCCAAATTGTGTGTTTATTCCTTTTGATCGTGCTACCTTATATGTTTGGACAAATTTACTCTTCAACTCGTCCACAGCACCGTCCCAAGTCTTTCCTTCTAATAGACTCATCCCAATGTAAAACGAAGAGATCTATTTGCAAGAACCAACGAACAATGAATGACGTCCATAACTTTATTATTAGATAATTTTTGTAATATACTTACAGCAAATGGGCTGTACATGAATTGTTCACAAGCAACCTGTGTCAAGGAACCAAAAAAATGTGCTTAGTGCTTATCTAGATTTGTAACCATTTGTGTAAACGATAGGAACATTGCAAAAAAGTGTATACCTTCTTAACTGCGATTTTTAAAGATTGACCTGGGAACATATAAGACGATATCTTTACCCACAAGTACAACGTTGGTGCGACATAGAGGGTCCCAAACACACAAAATCGTGCAGACTCTGAAATGTTCGTCTCTTCACGACCTTGGATGAATTGTTGGCAAATATTTGACGACGGCCAGAGCACAGCGTACGTCATCATTCCTCTTAACACTGGATGTTTCTTTGAAAATGTTGAAATTCTACGTAACACCACAGCCATGATACCCTTAATCTATTGATAAATCTTAATTGATCCCCTAATTTTGAGACTAGTCAGAAACTAATGTGTTCGAGAGATGATATACTTGTCATTTCGTAAAACTATATTCTCGCCTACGTCGACGTCTTAAAGCAGTATTTACCTAAGCAACCTAATGGTTTGAGACTAGAGAAGGTTGACCTTTCGAAAATCTTACCCTTAGCTCTTTCCTACAGTGTGAATGATGTAATTTGTCGGAGTAGAAATATTGTTAAAATTGTTAAAATAGTTGTTTTTTTAGTTGGAGATGATGTGAATATGAATATGCCATGTGTGAATCACACAAATGTGATGGTGTGAGAATGTTACGAGAATCCCAAATTGAGATTCTCATCTCAACCCTCACCCTTCTTGAGAATGTAAATGTATGCAAAATGTTTTTTGGTTGTCCACTATGCACTACACGTGGGCGGCTAACTTTTGTTGACATTGACCCTGACTTAAAATTTTTAAGCGAACGTAGAAAAGTTTTTAATATTCATTTTATATTTAACATTTTGATTTTGACGTTATTTAATATTCCTAACTGCTGGATAAGCAATACATAGACCTAGAACGTGCATAATAAATTGCTGTGATATGATGAATTACGCAAATATTGGATTATTATTCATTATTATATTATGTGGACAATCAGTGGGAATTAATCTAGATTTACCAGGAGAGTTTCTCCCTTACTATTTCAATGCTTTTCCAGACGTTGCTAAAGAATGTAGTGAAGATCCACAGTGTCCTTATAAAGTAAGGATATAATTTCAATTTTCAACATCTATGCTTTTCTAATATTTTCTATAAATAATTCATCATCATTGTAACTATTATGTACGTCCACGATAAAATATATTAATCAAATTTTTTTGCAGATGCACCTTGAAAAAAATGTGTGTTGGGGTTATCAAGATAACTGCGATTCCAAAAAAATGCACAAATACTCGCATCCAATTTGCGATGGTCACCATAAAGGTTGGGTCAAAACTAAGGAGGAGCAAATTGAAACTTTCTTCCAGCAGGCTGATTTTGGTTATATTAGAAAGTTCAGAAATTCCATGCAGACGATTTGTGAGCCTGATTCCTTTGTATGTCTTTAAAAACTATTGTATCATATAAGGAAATTGTTCTTTGTATGTAATATTTAATTACTTGTTTTTTTTCTTTATCTAGGAGGACTCTTCCTTAGAATGCTCAGAATACTTGACATTCTGCAAAGCTAGAAATATTATGGTAGATTTCAGAAGACTGATCAATAGAACTCAACCCGTAATGTATGACATGGATGTTTTGACAACAGGAGAGATTGGGGGAAAATGTAAACTTGATAAGTCAATTTTAAACTCACAAATCGAAAATCTCAGTGCACTCCAAAATTGGGGACCCGAACTTCGACATTTTACAGAACTCGAAGCTCGTCCATTTGATGCTAAAATTTGTGATCACATTGTAAAGACCCCGACGTTTATAATGAAAATTGATGCAAGTATGTGTTTTAATTTAAATCCTTCTTATTTCAACTTTTAATTTGGGTTATATTGGAATGGTCTTACTAACGCTAGTGTTTTCTTTGTCATTTCAGCTGTGAATATGTACCACCATTTTTGTGACTTTTTTAATTTATACGCTTCGCTCTTTGTTAACCAGACAGAAAACAATCCTGAAATGTTTACAAAAAACGTGCAAATCTTAATATGGCGAACGTACAAGTACTCGTCTAGTTTTGAGGCTACGTTTCGAGCATTCACCTCACGTCCAATCTTTGATTTGAATGATTTTAAAGGAAAAAGAGTGTGCTTTGAGAATGCAGTATTTCCACTGCTGCCTAGAATGATATTTGGTCTATTTTATAATACTCCATTGGTACGTTGACGTTGATATTAGTTTAATTAAATGCATATATATGATAATTCATTTTTTTAAATATCAATACAATTCCTTAGATTTGGGGATGTCACAATAGCGGACTATTTCACTCTTTCTCAAAATTTATCCTTCACCGGTTACGAATTAATTTCAAACCCAAATTGGATCTCAAGAAAATAAAGGTTACATACATTAGCAGACTCACTCGTCATAGGAGAGTATTGAACGAGGATGAAATTCTTGATGAGTTGCGAAAAAATGACTCCCTCGTCATCAACAAAGTTTGTCTTTCTTGAACATATTAATAGTGTCACTTCAAGCACTGAAGTCATTTATATTAAGTTTGCATTTATTTTAATTCATCTCTGTTCCTATTGAATTAGGTAGAATTTACTTGGAAAACTAATTTTGTGGAGCAATTAAGCCTGATTCAAGACACGGATATATTAATTGGGATGCATGGGGCAGGGTTAACTCATATGATGTTTCTTCCTGACTGGGCAGCTATATTTGAAGTGTACGCTTTTAAATATTCACCAAAAAATTATCATATTTTGAGATTTTGATATTTTATTGTTGTATTTGTCCTTACATAAATAGGTATAATTGTGGGGATGAGCATTGCTATGCTGATTTGGCTCGTCTTCGTGGACTGAAATATATTACATGGAAAAACCTAGACTTACTTCAAGAGGAGACTGACACAACTTCAGACGTTGAATATGGACCAGGACATGAAAAACATAGGAACTATTTCTTTGATACTCAAGAATTTATCCGTTTAGTACATGATGCAGTGGACCATTTGAAACACTACTCACGAAGGGAATTCAACCACGACGAACTATAATTATTCCTCTATGTGCTTTTCAATGCTACAATATTGATGTGATCATTCAATACTACTTACCTACGCTACGCTTGTGGTCAAAGACGTCCAACGTACTTATTATATTATGAATACTCATAAGATGATTACACGCAACACACAATATATCATCTCATCTCAGATACATCTTGAAGTTTGGATTCGGGGCCTGCGATTTTGTTGCATGCGTTTGTCAACTGTTAGACATCCTCTCGTACTAATTATTTGACAAGTATAGCCCTAATAATTCTAGACTGGACTTTGAATATTAATATATTATTTACAAATTTGATAAGAAAATTACATAACGAAAATAAAAGAATAAAAATATTCATAAACTTTTGTGGTTAAACAAAGACTCAAGGGGTGGTAGCAAAAGTTGTGAGATTGCCCCGAACTATTTCTTTCTTACTTCAACCCTATAGAACTTTGTACTCTTGGATTTTTTGCAAGACCTGATCGTGTTGTCTTTCTTCTACAAAGTCCTTGCGGTTTCCTTTCTCCTCTCACTGGTCAAAATTAAATCAATTATTTATTTGCTCCTGTTTCAATACTTTTAACTTTCAAAATCGTTCACTGTTTTCTAATTACCAATTTCACAATTAGCATTTGTTATCACTGCCGTTACCGTTGTTACTTTTTAAAACAATCAGTTTTAATAAAGCTAGACATTCTAGCCTAGAAGCAACACCCATAAAACACCAGTCGCCAATTGCAAAGGTATCGGAACCTTAATCAATATAATTGGTCTTATTTAAGGAATATTCGATGAGGCCTATTTCTGTGTAATGTAGGTAATACTTATTCGATGGTTGATACTGATTTCTTTAATTGCCTCGGTTTCTAAAGAATTGCATTTTTTTATGTCTATTATTTACATGATTATAAGTTATTCAAAAACCTCAATACACAATGAGGGTATTCATATAATATAACTTACAATCCAACAGTTTTTAATTTCAGAGTTAAAATACAGCATCCACAAATTCGTCCACCAGAATCAAGGGGACGAATTGTTCGACTTATTGAATCTGCGGTTTCAAGACATCCGTCAAAATAGGGCATCCGGCCGAGAAACTAAATAGGCGACCAAAACCTAAAACATTCCAAAAGCTGAGTAAAAAGGCACCTCGAATGGCAAGCGTTGTGGAAGGTTTGGAAACTGGATCAAGTTCGGCTGGATCGGAGGACGCACCTGCTACTCCTGTTCAAGTAAGTTGGGCTCTGATAATGAGGATGAAAATATGGGCTATATGAATAAATGATAATGATTATTGACAACATTCTATAATTGGACAGGCACGAGAAATGGATGAAAAGAACCGACAACGACGTTCGGTGGTCATCATACGGGAAGTATACGATTCGGAGAATGCCAATGAAATTTTTGAGCAACAACTGGAACAAGCTTTGGTCAATTCAGTGGACACTATCATCATTGAACCATACAAGTTAGGCGACGAAACTTCTAGATGGATTGCAGTTGGAAATTGTCTTCATAAGTCTGTAAGTTTGTTGGTTTGTTCTATGAGCATAATACATCGTATGGGAACATATAAACAAATTAATTATTTTTGTACAGGCTGTGTTAGCTGGCTTCGGATCTATATTATCTGCTTTTGTGTGGCCGGACAAAGCGTTCGTGTTTGTCCCAGCGACAATACTTTCCTCCCTTTGCACTGGCTTGTATTCAATTAGTTGGCAGTTTGATCCCTGTTGCAAGTACCAAGTGGAGAATAGTGGAAATCACCTAGAGCAGCTCGCTTTAGGAGGTTTGAATTCAGCGTCCCCAGTCGTCTTGGTCCGAAGAGATGACACCCGAAGAAAAATTCTGCACACTGCCGTAACAGCCGCATGCATTAGTCAAACCATGCTTAGACTCTACTTTCCATACTTGAACACATGGTTTGGAAGAAATTCAAGTGGAATGGGATCCGGAAATCAAATTGCACCATCAATAGCTACAAATCGATTAGTTATTTCTGAATTACGTGAGTTTCAACAGCCGATAGCACATACACTTAATAATAGTGCTCAGTTTATGAGTAACCTCTTTGGAGGAGGCCTTAATCTTCTGTAATTTGTTAATTCTCGTATCTATAAAGAACGAATACTGATAATGTTGTACCTTGATTATTATTACAGAATTGAATATCTGAAATGTGAAATAAGGTGGCATACACAAATTGACAAGTTCACTTAATAATACGAGAATAGAAAGACTTGTTAGAAGTATATAGTAGACGCTGTATGAAAACCGAAAAATATATCCGATATATATATAACATTGTACTATTAATATTACGCATGTTAAGGCAAAGTCTAGTTTTCTGTTAGTAAAAAAATGTCGCAAATAATATGCGCCTTTTAACAAATTCTGAAGTGGATATAAACTATATCTGGTTGGAGGCATACCCTATCGTTCAAAATTCTTATCCCATTCTTTCGAAATATAACCAAATGAATCCACCTGATTCTGATTTATCTCAGCAGAATCAAAGACAGATTTTTAAATTTTGCTTTGTTTCTACTTGCTGTCTGCTGGGGTGTGATGTGTACTATCTTTTGTAGATTTTATGATTGAAAGTCTTTAATTCATCAAGTAATTAATGTGATGAGTTTGAGTGTCTGTTTGCTATATATATTGTTAGATGAATATATGGAAAACGTGATCTTTTGCATATAATGTTTTATTAAATGAAAATATAATGCCTTGTCAAAATAATAAAGCCCGTAAAAGACTATATATATGCAATCTGACACCGGACACGAAATGAATGAAACATTTGCCAGCAAATCTTTAACTATGCGACACTCAAACCCAAAAATAAACGACTGATCTAATTTAGCATTTAACTGTTTCATTTAATATCTGACTCGGATTTCATAATGCTATAAATAAAATAAAATAAAACATCTTTTGTGAAAAAATATTCACCGTTTCAAGCAAAATTTTTGATGTATTATTTTTTGTTTTAATTTTGGACAATATGATGTCTGATTCTGTTACAGATTATAGGTAGGTCAAGTTAATTGAATTGATACACTACGGGTGATACATGTTAAAACTTGGGCAGTGGCATTGATGGAGGAGTCTGAGGGGCTGAAGTTGGCAAAAAGTCATCAAGAGATTTCTTTGCAGCAGTAGACAAATCATCCATGGATTTTTTTGCTGTATGCGCAATGTCGTCAATTGATCTTTTAGTACTATTGATAAATTCATCTGTACTCTTTATAGCACTAACAGTCGAAGTAGACAAGTCTTTAATCTCATCGTTGATTTTTTGAATAACCCATTCTATTGCTAGTCTTCCCTAGAGTAATAAAAAAACAATTAATGTATGAACATTTGTCCTACTAGTAGAACATGCAATTTTTTCTTCACTTACCTTTGTTGCATTGGAACTAATTGTACTGGTTAGTAAAGACTCCATATAACTACTAAGAGGTACACCTTGAACTAGAACAACAGCTTCCTGTCGTAATAGTGTATGACTTGAATTTTCTGGATGCGGCGAGTACACCAATTGTTCATCTACTGCGATAAAGTTACCAAAGGTAATCTGAAAAGCAATTTATAAGATCATGTCTATTCATAAGTATTCGCGCATGATGATAAATGTTTCACTTCTGAACAATTATCTTTGCTTACATTTCTAGACTTCAGCACCATTGTCTGTTTTCTAGGGTCAACAGAACTATGTTCGTTTGCATACATAACATGAGGCGATCCCACGATCTACAAAATATGTTATTAATAATTTAACTCTTAATACCCTATTAAGTTTTATCTCAAAGGATTATTATAATTAAGTATTTAATTCGTTTCGAAACTCAAACGTACCGACTGAACCCATACAGGAATACCCCACCGATTGGTTCCGCTGCTAAGAAGTCTCTGCGTGTGCATAACCCCCTGATCGTCTATTCTACGGTCCAAAACATCAATTGCAGTTACAGATGGGTTCATAGGATTGGGGTACTTTCTCCAGGCTGCTTGAACGACTTTGTCCCATGGATGACTGCAAGATTAAACAATCAACATTTTTTGAATTGCCCCGTAAATTGACTAGTTCCAATCCGTAAATTGTTAATTACCTGAAGGTGTGTTCTGATGTCCAAAATTTCATTTTTGACTATGTAGTTCAGTAGTTCTTATATTTTCGAAATATACTGTCAAGTTTTGTATCAGCGTTGTCGAATTGGAATGTGAAATCTGAAATTTAAGGGAAAAATCAGGTAATACAAATTATATAAATCAATAAGTGTGGTGTAAATTTTTTTTACACTAATTTGGCAGCATTTGTAACTAATTTTAAGGATTATTAAAGCTGTTATTTCGAGGTCAAAACCTAATGAATCTGGTACCTGCCTTTACTAAATATAGCTACTACGGACCGCAATAATTACGATTAATAGTTAAGGTTCTCAAATTAGTTAATTCCAGAATGTCGGATCATGCCATGCCTCTTTCACTTTTTGGCTCTAATTCAATTAATTAACTCTAACTAAAGTCAGAAATAAGTTGGTTAGTGAGTTGAAGGTCGACCAAAGGATCTCACCTGCTCGTGTGCTAGTCGTGCAAATCTCGAGTGAACCAACTGGCTGAAGTGATGATGATGCAATGCAACTGAATCTCTTTACAACGATAATTTAGCTCCTGCCCTTTTACGCTTTCAACTTGAAAGTTTCAACGCCGCCACCACCGACTACCGCTTATCCACGGATAAGCTATTCATACACCGATCCCTGCTGACTTTTACTCGCACATGACATGCACTGGCACCGGAGAAAAGTCTAGGTGTACAATATGACTTGTTATCTATGGCAATAATGTACCACTTCTGACGTCACATAATAACCTCACTTTCATATCGTGTGCCAATTGCCAGCCATATATAAGCGATCTTGTATTTCTCTTCCATGTTTGCCAGCCAGCAGTGGAAAAAACCCCATTCCGCCTTAATACCATCCAGAAACTACGTCAAGGAAGATAAGACATTCTTCCATAATTGATGTTAATAAAGTTATCAAACGCAATAAAAGTATTCGCAAATGATAAATTCGTGATTTAATTAAATTGTCGCATTCTTGGGCATTGAAACATGACACTTTCACCACATTCGTTTTGTGCATCTCAAAAAACTGAACTTTGGACCTCACTCGCCCACCATCCCATCATCATGCCTGCGATCGAAATTAGTGCGCAGAGAGTGGTCGTCGTCGGGAGAATTGAACGTAACACGTTCGGGCGACGGTGCGCACAAATACTTTTTGAGCGTGGGGCGAAGGTGGCCTGCGATGAGGAGGACGGAGTGAGGTGAGATGGCCGAAGGATGGAGGGAAATGGACCCGCGAATCTCTTCTCCTTCAAACAAGCTGAATAACACAAACGAAAAACCATACAAATTGTAACAGTAACAGTAACTCGACAAAGTCAACACACACGATCAGTTGTTTTTACAAAATTAGTGATTTAAAGAACAATGATCAGTGGTGTCTGGAAGTTTAGATCATCTGTTCATCTCTGATCTTACTTCTGTCGGAAAAGTTTGCCAAAGTACAACTTAAAATGGTTACATTTTATTTTCCATTAAGTACGAAGTGCTTAATTAAAGGGAATAAATAATGATTAATGAATATTTAACTTATTTTTGCAATTTTTGTAGCAATGAATGGATTTCTTCCGTACAGTGTAGAGTGATTATTCATTTGTGATTACTGAATCATCAAAATTACAAACTGGGGTATTAATTTATCATCAAGAGCAATTAGCAACATGGAGAATGGCGCAGTGGTATCGTCGTCGATCAACAAAGCAAAACTCAAGCGTGAGAAACTTATGAAAAATGCCCAACATTATAAAAATGTTTTGAGAACTTGGGAGGCAGCAGTTTCGAAAGCGGAAGGGAGGATACCTGGAAAGGTTTGTACAATTAATGATAACAATATTACTACGTACTTGATAATCTTGTATAAAAGCTTGTACTTATTTCCCTAGAATGACTTGAAAACAGCACCAGAAAGCGTCCAGAAAGCGTACAAAGAATTTTACAAACTAAAAAGATATTTGGAAGGAAGTTCCTCTTCAACAAGTCGGAAATTTTTAGATAATAGCATCTCTGGTAGTAAAGGACCCAGTCCTAGCAAAATATTTTTCGGTCGAAATATTGGACGTGTTGGCAATTCTCCAATAAAATCTCCAACATCGAAACCAAGCAAATCCAAAAAATCAGGAATTTTAAAAACTCCAAGTTCCCACCCATCAAAAAATTCTGCAGGATGCAGTTTCAATGTTTTTAAGGAAAAAATGTCATTTGCTGTTAACTTCTTAGGAAAGAAATCCCCAGCAAAAATGGTACGAAAAGAAGTCTTTGATTCTGATGCTGGTGAATTGGTGGCTAGAAAAGTTCTTATTCCCAATCGCTTCAGTAACACTTTGAGAAGCAGTTCTAATTGTCAAGATGAGAGCAGTAATATTGGTCAGCAGAGCGGTATCCCTTCCGACATGGAACAAGACCACAACCACCATAGTATGATAAAAGAAAGTTCATTTTTAGATGAAGCGGACCACATTGCTCCCTCGGCAGCATTAGACGTCGTCTCAAAAAATCTTGCAAATGATAACGAGTGTAATGAATCTAGTCATACGATAGGAAAAAGAAATTCTGTCAGCGCAATCTGGCATTCGTTTAGTCCCAAATCGAAGAACCTCAATGCTACTAAACATGTGGATTCCCAATGGCTGAGACGATGTAGAAATGTTTCGCAAATGTCCGATGACGACCAACAAAACAGTAATAATGATTTTAGAGAAAATGAATCAAAGGAGTGCGAAAGTGATGATGACGATAAGCAGGATTCTGATAAATGTGAAATCTCTGATGCCGCCTCCTCTCAACAATTGTTTGCTCGAAGTTTCGAAGATTTCCTCATGTCTGCAGCGTCATCGCCTGAGGAAAAGGAAGCACCAATTTTACCACCTACCAACATAAATACTATTACTCCTGCCACTAATGATAATTGTTATAATAATAACCAAATTACTTTACAACCAGACGAAGAAATGTTTGATAGTGGACTAGGAATGTCGTCTAGCTTTCTCTTCAGTGCTCAAGAAATTATGGACGTCATTACTAATGAAGTATTACCTGAAACTACTACTCTTCCAACCGACAAGGACAATATTCACAATGAAAATGCATGTTCTCCTTCAGAAAATAATTTTCAGACGATTGATATGTCAGTAATTGGGAACTTTATTAGTGCCAACCCATTTGCAAGTGCAATTTCTCCATGTAGTCCCAGGGCTAGTGCAATTTCTGCAGATAAGACTGAAAGTGAGAATTTAAGAAAACGGAAAGCACTCTTTTCACCAAGCCCAAAAAAGTTATCCCCCAAAAAGAAGTTCTTCAAAAGTAGTAGAATCAAAGCAAAGTATGGAATTCAATCGTATAAACCTCCGACCCCTTCAAAGAAGAAAAATGCCACCAATGCTGCGGCTGCTCTTAAAAATAACAATATTACCAAGCATGCAGATAAGTATAAAGAAAGCACAATAACTTTGGGCCTTGTCGATATTACTAGCACCAAGACGTCATCTGCAAAGTCTAATCAAGTCGAGGACAGTGAAACTCCAACAACATCAGTGGAACCTACGTCATCAAAAAATTTAGACAAAGTAGAATACTTTGATGAGGCAGCTCAAGATGCATATGCATCTGGGCGACAAAATCGCAATACTAAAAGGAGAAAGTTATCTAGCGGAGTGCCAAGCCTTGCCACGTAAGCAAGTTTAAGTTACAATTTTAATTTTGTTGTATGTAGTCACTAATCACACCATATAGCCAATCATCTGTAGTATTTGAACTAATGTTGAATGTTAAACCAATCTTATTTATTAACTTTTCAGTCGTATTAGACGCTCGAAGCCGAATGAAAATTTTGTCAAGATTGACATTACCAAAAAAGTGTTTGTTAGAGGACACAAGAAAATATCAGGGTCGAAAGTTAAACGTAACGACTGGAAAATGAAAAAAGCTGCCTCGTCCAAGGAGGACAAACTCAAAAGCCTGGTATGTCGTAAATGTGGTGAATCTGGACATTTTAGAAAGTTTTGCATGAAAGGTGAGTTGACAAAGTTTGGTTTTTACATATAAACTGTTTTAAGTAATTACTACCATTGTTACATGCATATGCTCCTCAATTTGCAGATATTATCCCAGTTGAAGAACCTCAATATATTGACGACAGCCCGTTTCCGAGTTTACAAGAAGCAGCTTTGATGGTCAAAACCAATGGTGGAATTATTCCAGTAAACCATGTGAACATTTATAGCAATAGTAAGGTACAGGATACTTCGCAAGAGCTCGTTGAATTATCCCCGACAGTCCATGACATTTCACCAATAACACTTTCACTTGACGAAGATCAACCAATATCACATAGTTGTGCCAATAAACCGATTCTTCCGTATTTTGCTTCGGAGCATGACTTGACTCAAGGTTTAAAATTAATCCTTCCTTAAAGTTCCTTATAGTGAAATTATAATGCACATTAATCAGTTCAGCCATTTTTATTCTATTATGTATCAGACGTAGAGGACGAAATATTAAATGACACAATTCGCAAGTTCGGCTACGAGAATTTTCGTCCTAGGCAAAAGGAGGCCGTGTCAAGGATTCTCAAAGGACTCTCTACCTTGTGCGTCTTATCGACTGGATCTGGGAAGAGTCTTTGCTACCAATTACCAGCTTTTCTTTATGCGGAAAAAAATCCTGGTGCCCTTGCAATATGCGTTTCCCCTTTGGTTTCACTAATGGAAGATCAGGTACATTATTATATATATAGATGCATTAAAAATATTCATCTCAAGGGCAACATTTGAAAATAGTATGCATTTTTTTTACACATTTTCATAGGTCCAGGGAATTCCTCCCTTTCTCCATGCGGCGTTTTTACACAGTAATATGATATCTAGTCACAAGGAAAAAGTATTAGAAAAAATTCGTTCGAAAAAACTACACATATTGCTTGTATCTCCCGAAGCTGTGTGCGGTGGTCTTTTTGGAATTTTGAGAGGAAATGATTTGCCGCAAATAAGCTTTGCCTGTATCGACGAAGTTCATTGTGTTTCCCAGTGGTCACATAATTTTAGACCTTGCTACCTGCAACTCGCAAAGGTAATTCACATTGTCCCTTCATTTTTTTACGAATGATATTATACATACCATCATATAATATATATGTAAGGTTTTTGTATTGGGAGGGGATCTTAGTTTGGAAAGTGAAGTTACAATCCTCCTCCCCAAAATAAACCTTGTTCCTTAGTTATCAAACTAACAATAAGTTTATTAATTTCTACTTTGTTTAATAGATTTTACGGGAAAAACTACACGTTCGTACAATCCTAGGATTGACAGCAACTGCAACCGAACATACCGCAAACAGCATTTGCCAAACTTTACAAATTGATCCGTCTATGACAATTCGTGGAGAAATTATTCCTGTCAATTTGCATCTTAGTGCTTCTCGAGATTCATATCGGGACGAAGCCTTGCTTACATTGCTACAAGGGGAAAGATTTTCGACATGCGAGTCAATTATAATTTACTGCACGCGGAGAGATGAATGTCAGCGCATTTCAGCTCTTATTCGAACAAGCATTCAGGTACATTAAAAATATCGGAAACTTTCTTTAAATTATCAGTGCGATTAAATAATCAGCTTAAAATCAATCAAAAATTTCGCAGGACCCAAATAGTAAGAATGCTGGTGTATCCAAGATAAATTCCCGTCAACGTGTGTCAACTACATGCGAAGCATATCACGCTGGAATGAGCGCAGGAAAACGACGACTTGTTCAGCAGCAATTCATGTCAGGTGTGACAAAAATTTCCAATTGTCTCAATAAATAATCTCGGGCTCAATTAAATTACTTTTAAAAATGAACCCTAGGTTTATCGATTAAATATTTTTGTATATGGTTGCAGGAAATATTAGAATTGTAGTTGCAACGGTAGCATTTGGAATGGGTATCGACAAATCTAATATTCGAGCCGTTATTCACTATAACATGCCAAAAACATTCGAGTCGTACGTTCAGGAAATTGGTCGAGCTGGCAGAGACGGTGAACCAGCTCACTGCCACCTATTCTTGGATAATGTAAAGGTGAGATTATAGTGTAGCAAACAAACTTAACATAATATAATGGATCGATGTATGCCTTACCTTGCTGTTATTAATGCTGTCGGATTAATTAGGGTCGAGATCTCAACGAACTGAAGCGGCATGTGTACAGCAATTCTATTGACCGAGCAACACTGAGAAAACTGTTACGTAAAATATTCCAGTCTTGCAAGTGCGGCCGTATTGCTGATTTTTCACACAAGGGATCAACTTCGCATAAAAACACTCCAAAGGGACGGTGTCCTGGCCATGAAGTGTCGTTCAGCATAGAGGAAACTGTACATGAACTTGATTTACCTCAAGAAAATATTTCAACAATTTTGTGTTATCTGGAACTGGATTACTCGAGGAAATGGATTGAGATGCTTCCCCACACTTATCAAACTTGTAAAATTCACTCTTATGGGGGTGCATCTCTTCTAAAGTCTTCAGCTTTAAAAGTTAGTAAATTTCTATTAACAACAAATTAGAAGAATGAGAGATGGAGTTGATGTATGTTTTACCTTTCTTGTATTTAGTGTCCACCATTAGCTGCGGCTATTGCTTTGAAAAAAGAGAGCAAAAAATTCAAAGACGCTGATGTATATTTAGAATTTGATGTTATTGAAGTATCGGCAACGCTTGGATGGAATAGTGGCGCTGTCAAAAAAGAGTTGAAGAACCTAGAATGGACATCTACAAGTTGTGGGGCCGATGGTACACATACATACATAAAGTTATATACATGTCAATAGATTGTGGTATTAGGAGCGTATGTGCTCGTATTTAGTGTATATGCTGTCATTTTTAAAATAAGCACAATAACTGTTTCCCATAGGTAACACCAAGTTTAGGAAGTCTGGAATTCTTGTGGAATTCTGCAATTTGGCCTTTCATGTAAATGCTCCTGGAGACTTGACAGACGAGGAAGCTGATTCTGTGTTGGATTATCTGCACAATCACAACCAAGAACAAGAAAAAACACAGTTATATCAGCTGCATAAGGTTTATCAAGCACTAATGGGGTAAATAATTTATATTCCTGTGTTGACATGAATTAAATATTAATCACAATAGCTCGTCTTTTATTTTACTTTTAAAATGTTATTATAGAATTTCCAACAGCACTGTGGAAAATATTTGCGAAAAATCGGACGAAGAGAAGAGCAACTTGCTCAAAAAGTTCATTCACACCTACTTTTTGCAGAAAACACCGGGAGTACCACCGGAATGGAAGAATGAGGTATTGCAGTTGGAAATATCAATTATTTTTCAAAAAGGAATGACAGTTTTGTTTATTCGTGAATCATATGTTTATACTTGACTATGAAGGTAACCTATCCCGAACATCAAGAGCAGGAAGTACGAAGCAATATTATAAATCTACTGGCTAGTGTGAAAGATGCTCAATTTACGGGAAGGTCAGTGGCCAGAATATTTCAAGGAATTCCAAGTCCCTGTTTTCCAGTAGAAGATTGGGCGAGGAATAGATCATTTTGGAGAAAGCATATTGAGTATGACTTTCATTATTTATGTAAAATCGCAAGCCAGGAAATTCTTCGATTTTAATCTGTATTATTATTATTTTTTAATTCACATTTTGATTAGAGTTATTGCATAAGCGCATGTTGTGGATTGATTTTCATTATTTAAATGTTTGATCAAATTTTTAATATTCTCAAATTGGAACTTGTACGTTGAATGTAATTTATATATTTTTTAAGTGAGTTTTATTAAACGCATGTCGATAATACAGTTATATGTGTATACGTGGTTCAATAAAACCCATGTTGTTCTACTTATATTTAACCAACTAAACTTTATTTTGTCATCATTTTAATTGCATTCACCAGTTGCTTACGTCACGTCTTAAAGCTGAGGAGAATGAGACAGTTTCATGAAATTACTTAATCACTGACTGACAACAACTGTCAGAGAGAATGTAACAACTTTTCTCTTATCAATGCTTTACAAATCATGTGAATGAGTCAAAAAGTAAATGAAAGATAAAAACTTACAAATATTGGACTTTCATGTCGATGAATACATATTATATGTACTACGTACATGCATGTATGTATGTATTTACACACAACATATATAAATAGAAGCATTGCTACATAAATACATAATGCATACAAGCTACTACAAACTTCAGGCCTTCTTGTGGATACTGACTGACCCAATGCAAGATTTTAGTTTTCACGTTTCGTTAATGAATAAACGACATTATTTGCATAATCTCCGGCATACTAATTTACAAGTCAGTTAAAGTTGATGGTGAAGTTTTGTAGCAGTTCTTGCTCCGACATCTCCAAGGTTGGCTGAGAAGTTGGATTTTTGCAGCTTAGCTTATTAGAGTCGTTGCATTTGGCAAATAACACCACGTGCAGATTTGCTTTGCCTTCACAAAATAAGCAGGTGTTTAAATTCAACTAAAAGGAAACAAAGTCTAAAACCTTGTACCGTACTAAATTGAAATTTTGTGAATGAAACGAATAATCTATAAATTGTGAGCAAATAATAAGTAGTTACAAAATTTACGTGATAAACTAAAATAAGTATTTAGCAAGTTTAAATGTATAAATAGTTAATTGTGATAGGACATCCTATTCTGCAGAGAACTGAGAGGCAAGTTGAGATTGAAGTGTGAAACAAAGTAAAGCTTTATGTTGATTACAAAACGAGGTGATTATATATTCGTGTTGTGGAGACGATATATGTAATTTTCCAAGGATTTAGTAGTCCATTCTTAAGCCAAGTGGTCAAGATCATCCACGGTCATGGATGAACACAAACCGAGGAGCATAATTAGTAGGATGAGTTTTGTTTTGGCTTCAATGAATTCCAATTCAAATAGTGGAAAAGATGCTTTGATTGATTTAATTGGCGGAACTGCAGGTAGCCCTGATTTACATGACCTCATTGATTAATTGGTTATTTACATTTTTATTAATGTCAAATCTGGCTGCAGGGGGAACGGCGTGTGTTTATGTTGGTCAGCCGTTGGACACGGTGAAAGTCAAGGTTTGATATGCACAAAATACAAAGACCTGTATGACCTTGAACTAATTTAATTAGTACTTTGTCAAAAGTTTTCATGTAAACTTGCAGATGCAAACTTTCCCTACGATTTATTCCAAAGGAATGGTTTACTGTTTGATGGACACCTTTCGTAAAGATGGTATTCGCCGGGGACTTTATGCAGGAACCTTGCCGGCATTGGCAGCTAATATTTCCGGTACCTAATTCACAAAATATTTGTGGTTTTAAAGCATTCATAATGTAATGCATCCTGTAGAAAATGCTGTTCTATTTGCGGCATATGGAATATGTCAAAAATTGGTAGCTTTCGTAACTGGTCAGGTAGGTGTGCAATAAAATCTCACAAAATGATGATATTCATCCCAGAATAATCATGCCACGCACGTGTTGACTCTTGTTGATACGTAGAAAGTTTCCGAAATGGGGCCACTTCAAAACGCATGTTCAGGATTTTGTGCCGGATTCTTTTCGTCATTGACCTTGTGTCCTACAGAACTAGTTAAATGTCGTCTTCAAGCTATGAGGGAAATGTCCACAATTTCTGCTGGGGCTGGCAATGGAAGTGTTGGAGCTAAGGTGCATGTAAGTTAAATCTGCCAATCGAAAAATGCATATGAAATAAAGGATATATTCTTGCTTCGTATCTTGTACTGTACAAGTTTTACAGTAACTTAATAATTATATTAATTATATAATGAACGATTAGTCCATTGATTTTTTAGATAGGGCCGTGGGGATTATGCAGACAAATTTTCAGAGATGAAGGGTTTAAAGGGTTTTTTCATGGACTGACCTCAACATTTGCACGAGAAATGCCTGGTTACTTTTGTTTCTTTGGAGGATATGAAGTCAGCAGATATCTGCTGACTCCTGAAGGAAAAACCAAGGAGGAAATTGGACCATTGAGGACCGTTCTATGCGGAGGTATAAAGTCACATATAATTAATGACACAATATGCTTGTATGAAATTACTTTACTTTACCAATCCAATCTACACATCAATTATGTAGGTATTGGAGGTGTAATTCTTTGGACAGCTATTTTTCCAACTGACGTTGTGAAATCAAGAATTCAGATAAATAAACTTAATATAACACTTTTGGCCTGTATGAGAGATATTTACCAGAAAGAAGGTATGAACTATGAGATTTGTGGATCATAAAAATTCATATTTATATTTATGAAGCTGTACATTTATGATAATTTTAATTTTATACCCATTTAAACTATCGCTTTGTATAAACTAAATTGTGTAAACAGGGATCATGGCCCTTTACACTGGACTTGGACCCACAGTGATTCGGACTTTTCCAGCAACAGGAGCCCTATTTTTAGCCTACGAGTACACAAAGAAGGCACTTCATGAATTGTTTGATTAAATAATGTGATGTCCTTGTAAATAATACAATTCAATTCATTACTTTCCTAAATTCTCAAGTATGCGAAGACATCATTATTTTGCCATTCATCATTTGCATATCTCACATATAACTCATTTCTTGACATGTATCTTCAATTCATAAGACAGTGGATGGATGCGCGGGTGCAAAATCCTGCTGTTTTTTTTGCTGGATAAGTATGTTGTTGTAAAAAGTATATTTTTGCAATTCTTAATATTTCTTATCTTATTATACATACTTTGTTGAATCTTCAGTGATTCTACATAGCAGACCAGATTATATATTGCAATTACCATTCCCTACTTATTTACGATTGCACTAATATAATCAAGCAATCAATCTTAGCATTTATCCAAGTAGCATACACCACGCAAAGCCGATATCTGACTGAAGTCCTATATCTCCCATCCATCATCAATTTTCACTTCTCGTGTACAGATACAACTTACTACTTACTGAGACCATGGAGGGCATTGGGAAGGCTTATCTGGACTACAACGCCACCACCCCGCTAGACCCCTTGGTTATTGGGGTCATCACGGAGTCGCTAAAGTGCGAGTGGGGGAATCCCAGTTCCGCACACTCACTGGGGAAACTTGCATCCGACAGGATCGGGCGGAGCAGGGAGCAAGTTGCGGCCATGATCAACGCTCATGCAAATGACATCGTTTTCATGTCCGGAGGAACAGAGGTGATTTTTTGTAAAAGTTACTTATATTTTCAGAATTATTTCAGGGTCGCTTAAATTATTCTACGTGCATGAAATGTCAGGCAAACATTGTCGCATTACAATCTGGACTGAATTCCATAACTAAGCCAAATTCCAAGGAATGCAATATTGTCCTACCTCATGTCATCACTTCTAACGTGGAGCATGATTCAGTCAAAAATTATCTCTCTGTTCAGCAAGATTGTGGAAAAATCGGTAAGAGTGGCGATGGGGATGCTCCCATTTTTTACTAATTAATTGTGAATGTATTTATAAATTTTTCTTTTCCATATGCAATAAACTCAGATCTTTCATTCGCCCAAGTGGATAAAGCTTCCGGTCAACTTAGACCAGAATCCGTGTTGAGCCTGGTGAACAATCGGACGTGCTTGATATCAGTAATGCATGCGAATAATGAAACCGGCGTTTTGATGCCTATCATGGAAATTGGGCAGGCTTTGAAAGCGTTAAATGTTTCTCGGAGTCAAAATAATCTGCCTAAAATTTACTTTCATACGGATTCAGCACAGTCTCTGGGAAAAGTGAAAGTTGACGTTAAGCAATTAGAAGTCGACTATTTGACCATTGTTGGACACAAGGTATTAGGTGTATCAGAGCTCGGCGGATATCATGGATATTGGAGGTTTGGAGGTTGGAGGGTGAGAATTTTTCATGGATATTGGAGGGTGGAGGTTGGAGGACGAGAATTTGAGATGGATATTGGAGGGTGGAGGTTGGAGGGCGAGAATTTGGCCTGGATATTGGAGGTTGGAGGTTGGAGGGCGAGGTTTTGGCCCGGATATCGGACATTTGGAGGTTGGAGGGCAAGAATTTAACATGTTCAACCTCCATGGATATTGGAGGTTTGGAGGTTGGAGGGCGAGATTTTGGCCCGGATATGAATATATATCCGGATATTTGGAGGTTTTCGCCCGATATCCGCCGAGCTCTGAGGTGTATTATATAAATAAATATCTAGCAGAAAATGACTAACGATTAGTAAATATAATTTCGTGAGTTAATGCTAATGTTAATGGCTCTCATTAGTTTTATGGTCCACGCATCGGTGCTCTATTTGTAAAAGACCTACTCACCCAGACGCCTTTAGTTCCTCTACTGCAAGGCGGAGGGCAAGAACGTGGCTTTCGGTCCGGAACTGAAAATACTCCAATGATTGCAGGCCTGGGTCAAGCAGCCGAGTTGGTGGTTCAAAATCTTGACAAGTACATGGAACACATGACGAGATGTCGTAACGCCTTGATTTCAAACTTAAAGGTGTGCATGAAAACAAAGGCTTTGACATCCTGTGGTTCATATGACACGGTACCAATTTCCGAATTTCAGGACCAAATTCATGACATCCGAATAAATTTTGTGGTTGACCCCCGACTTCCAAATACTGTCAGCCTCCAGGTCCCTCAAAACGTGACTGCTCAGAAGGTCTTAGAAAATTGTAATGGTAAAATATTTGCCAGTTTGGGAGCTGCTTGTCATTCAAACAGCCAAAAACCATCGAGTAAGCATAAATTAAATATTCCCGTTAATACTAATCTACTATGCATAATACTTCATTTTGATCATTTATTCATTTGCAGGCATTTTGATGGCGTCAGGACTTTCACCAGAAGAGGCTGGTAGAACAATCAGAATAAGCATAGGCCGAACCACACCCGACAGCGAGATTGAATTTGCAGTTAAAGTCCTCACTGAAGCCTGCAAGAGAGCTTGAATTTAATCTCTGTTTTCAAAATTTGAAAATAATCTCAACCAAAATTCCAAAATCTCAATAATATGAATATGAATACAAGAATTCCAACTTTAGTACGTACATTATACCTACCGAAGAAATATGTGCATGCTACTGTATATAGTATATATTTTCTTGGCAATAAAATTATCAAAAATTGTTCAAAATGATGTGTGAGTAGTGTGAGTCTCATCATTTTAATCGTCATCATCTCATCATTAGAAGTGGAGAAAGTAGGAGATACTTTCTTCTTGGTGAGACTGACTGATTGCGCGTGTGGCTCAAATTTGACAATTCCAACCTGAAAAATAAAACGGAAAAGGAGAAACATAAACACTTTCTGGACTTTCCATCGTACAAATATATAAAATTATGTCACTTTCTCCTATTTCCTAAATTGTCTTCGTTTGTTAGTAGTACTAAATCGAGCTCATTCTACACGCCCTGTAGTAAGACAGACTAGTTCTTTACTTATAGGCATAGTTAAAGAGGAAGGAAGTGGAAACGGAACATCGTCAAATGAATGAAGTGATATTAATCTGATTAATAAATATTGACACGACACGATACACTTATTAATGTAGATTTAATGAGACGTACATAATTTAGTTTACATGTGAATCTTACTGTAGGAGCGAATTGGACAATTTTAAGTAATCTGAAGCGAGAAAAACAAGTTCTGTTTGGTAGTGATCAAATCGAGTGAAATGGGTTATGCGAGTGCAACTAAAGGTCAATAATCAATCAAGGAAATGTGATCATACTCACACGTCATAGGCACCCAGGGGATTTCTAATAAAATGCAAACAAAAATCGTGAGCAGTCCTCAGTCCCCCGTTGCAGGGGTTGGGAGTGGAAAGATTCCGGTGGGGGCGACAGAATTTGTCTTGTCGACGTATAATCCTCGAGTCGCCGTGTTCAGCACATCTGCCGCCTCTGCAATTGCTGCAAAAAATAATCTGACCGTACCACAATTGATCGCACCCTTTACTCGAGTTCAAACAGATGGTAAACCAACGTGAATTATTTTGTATGTATATTTCGTAGAATGTAATCAATCCCAATTTTTTAAACAGCTTCGTGGCATGAACCTTTAACGGGACAGCTTATTGTCCCAAGGGGACTCCGTTTTACTCCTGTTGACCTTGCGATCAAGAAACGACTTGATATGGACAGTCAACGTAATAAGAAATTTTTGCAAGATACTGTGGGACACTATCTACCGTCTTTGGTGGAAACAGAAGATACAAAATTTCACCCGAGAATTACAAAGAGTGGGAAGGGGAGTGCCGTGGGATATAATGTCGAGGCCCCACGAACTGTACCTTGGTTCAACGCCTGGAGAGAACAATTTCTGAAACTGCATTCCGAAACTCAGAGTTCGCAGTATGACTTTTTGCACCATTGCATGGCGTGTATTTTAGTAATGTCGTCAACTGATGGACAAACCGGAGAAGAGCTTACAGAAACGGTGGCCAAGTTGAGCAAAGCACAACAACAACATCAAACCACTTGGTCAAATAGCTGGGCGTTCCCATCGGTCTTAAAGTTTTACCTGATTTTACACGAGACATCCCAATGTGATCAAGACAGGTTCAAATTCTAATTAACAAATACTTGGTGCAAAATAAATTAAAGTTATTTAATTGGTTTTTTAAATAAATAATTTGCAGGGCAAACACAATGTACCAAAACCTTAGAACTACATATGGAGGAAACTTTAGCTTTATGGTGCAAATTTCGGGTGTTATTAGCGATTCTAATGCAAACGAGACCAATGACAATTCGGATATATGGAGTAGATACGTAGATCAGGAATCCGACAATGTATGTAGCACAAAATATTTTCTTGGTTTCTACATAATAAAATGTTGTATATTCACTAGGCTATTTTATGATATAATTTGTTTTTCTCTAGAATGTTAATGATGACTTTCATGGAGAGACCAGTCAAGATGATTTAGATGTCGTATTTCACTCAGATTTGATTCATCCACTAAGTCCGGACGCTGAAAAAATTGTTAGCACTAGTCTTGCAAATGGAAAGATTCTCCCCAATAACACTTCACCAATTCCTCTCGTGCGTGGTCAGCATCTGTCTCCAGAAGATATTGACAATATACAGAATGCTATGAACGAGTTTGTTGCCAAAGCCTTATTGCCATATATTGATCGACAAAGTAGACTTTTACACGAATCTGTAAGTTTGTGTATAATATAAAATTATTGAATCGCAGCAATTACCGATATAATTACTATTATTGCTTTACTGTATGTTTTGTCTTTGTAAAGATTGTCAATAGGAGAGGAATGAGCAAATCGTTTTTTAGTGCGACCAAAAGACTATTTGGAGGGTCAGCTAAAACTCCTTCTTCCATAGTGTAAGGAATTCAAAATCACTTTACATATTTTGTAGCTAGCCTATAGCTATGTGAAAACTCATTAAAAGTAATTAATACCATGCTATAAAATAGTTACACGAATGAATCGTTGGAAATGATGAGTCGGAAGCTTGCGGATGTCTATTTTTTGTTTGGCCATTACGCTGGAGCCTATCAGCTGTATCATCAATTAAAAAAAGATTTCTTGGGAGACTCGGCTTGGGTATATTATGCCTCATCTCTCGAAATGGCTGCGGTTTCCCATTTCATGATGTCACAAGCCGAACCGCCTTTAGCAATGGCAAGATCATTTCCTGTTCACTACATTACTGACGCCATTACGTACTACATTGACAATTGTCGGTAAGTAGTGTTAATCAGTGACGGGGTAAATAAATGATGATGATATAATCTCTGATTTAAATAGGCTCATATAATGCATAATAAAATTTTACCCAATGATCTAGAATGGCTGACTCGGCTATCAAGTGTGCCCTTATAAGCTGTGAGTGTCTTAAACATATGGATAGGTAATAAATGTTTACATGACATGTTTATCCACAAATAACAGTACGAGACATTAATTTCTTGACATTTTAAATATGTAAATATTATAGCCACTCTGAAGCTGCTGCGGTTTATATAAGAATGACATCTGAAGACTGTGACTTGAAGTCGGCCCTCATGCTAGAACAAGCTGCGCATGCCTTTTTAAATGTTAACTATATTAGGAAATATGCTCTTCATTGCGTTTTGGCAGGTACTTGAAGTTGGTGTATTTTCTCGGCTAATCTGTTCTGTACCAAAATTTAATTTAGCGTTTTGTACAGGTCATCGATATTTCAAAGCCGGCTTGAAAATGCATTCGCTAAAATGTTACTTTCAAGCTGACCAGATCTATACAGGAAGAGGGTGGCGATATGCTGAAAACCATGTTCATTTTACTATTGTTCGCCATCATAGTTCTCTGCATCTTACTTCAGACATTTCCAAGTACCAAAAACCTCTAGTAACCCCACCGTTGCAATCAACAATACAAACAACCAACAATCAAATTACCAACAATATAAAGGCCCTTCCTCCTCCTGTACTTCATTGTCTGAAATTGGAATATTCCACTTTAAAATTGCTCAATGGAACCGAATTTATCAGCCTTATAAGGGCCCAAAATCTCACTCCGGTAAGGAAACGAGTTGTTACGTACATATGCCATGAATTGCATATTATGCACTAAATTAATTCAGGGAACTTGAATAACAACCTTTTATTTTGCATTGACAGGATGGTCACGTTACAATTAACAAACTGGATTATCTTAATGAAAGCCTCAAAATTAAGCAAGTAAATTCCACACCGGTTACCAGCAACTCTACTGTGTTATCAAATGACAGTGTTATTAAGCTTGTTCCAATGGAATCGAGGAATATAGTCTTGAAAACCCAGATAGAGCAGCTTGATCATAGCATGAATAACATCTCCTTACAAATACACTGGGAATTTAGTAAACCAGGAGTCGCAATCGTTTATGGTCAAAGTAAACTAGCGGTGGAAGATCTTCCTAGGATATTAAGTTTACAAGAGAATGCATTTATATTTGAACTTAATCATGAAAGCAGATGTGAAAACGACTTTAATGTGAATCCTTGTTTTTTGTACGGGATTGAACTTTTTGTGCACGCCAGAGTTGGTGGTAAATTCTCGTTCAAGATGGAAACAAATTCGTCACAGTACGTATTTAATTTATAAATTATGATTTGTAATTTTATCACTTCGTGACTTGTAATTAATTTTGCAATGCACAAAAATATTCATGCGTAACAATATTGTGTTTCAGATCCAGCATTGGTCCAGGGGTGAAAGCTTCTGGGGACGAATTGTTTTTTGTTGGACAAACAAAATGGACATTAGATGTTGTACCATTGAAGACCTACACCTTGAAATATACTGTTGCGATAATGCAGCCTGGCGTTTTCAACATTGCTCCAGCTATCATAATTTCAAGTCCAACTGGTTTGGACGAAGCCCCTCCGCCCAAATACATTTTGCATAGTCCGTTAATTGTTACTCACCGCTCGTCTTAACTAGTAGTGGGCGCCGTTAGTGTATGTTTTATTGTGATCAAGATGAAAGACAGACTATTTCGAAAATTTTTAAAAACACATCGTTATTATCACATACATCAATGTTAATGGTATCTTGTAATATTCGTATTGTATTGTATGTAGCGTTCAATACTGGAATGAGTCACATACTATGTAACCTAAATATATCATGTACACTGCAATATAATGCGCCCTGACTTCAAATCAGACAATTTTAGTAAAAAGGTACGCATATGTGGAACGTATTTCGCTGAATAAAAAAGCATTATATATTAAACATCCTGCCCTGTAGCCCATCATATTCAGCTGAAAACCATCTTATCATGTCCTGATAGACTGAGGATGAGTGTAGTAGGGCATAATAAATAATAATGATTGATTTAATGATTTCAACATTCACCTGAAAATCAAACCAAACTCTGGAATAGATGAACAAACTGAACAAAGTGATGATGAGACACCCGGCATGTCATTGGTGCGTCCACATACTGTTCGTGTTGGTGGACTCATAGGCATGGTCAAGTAATAGATGAAATGTCCCCAAAAAATTCCACTTCTCCCTGACGAGTGGGGTTATCCGTGGGGGGTTTGTGTATGTTCCCAGGGTGGTGAAAGCAGAAGAGTGCAGCTCAAGTTGGGAAGAGGGCAGTTGTGCGGTAGGAAAGACGGTGGCTCCTGGGTGAGTGTCCATTTTTTCCATACCGCGTATGCATATATATAGCAAGCCGTGTGAAGCCACGCAAACCAACAACGGTGAACTAACTTGATCTATCCAATCCATAAGCAAAATTCTCTTTCGCCGACAAGGCGGACTCTTGCTCGCTGCTGCTGCTACACTGCAATTTATGATTCAGCGTTCATCATCATCTTCTTTTTCGTCACCTTACCACCAACAACGGCAGGACACGAGGCTTATCCATCCAGGTAGGAACACACCCCCCGCCCGCCCGCAGCCAGCCAACCACTTCCTTCTCCTCTACGGCGGCGGCGACGACGACGACAACCACAAGACGATCGTCTTTTGTTCTGCTAGTTGTTTGTTGGTTCTTCACTGATGGTAGTGTGTAGTAGTATAAGAGACAATTGTCATCATCAAGAACAACACCTTATTCAACAAGAATTCAAGGTTGGAAGCAAGACAAGTGCAGTAATATTGTGTAATTTGGGCGTTATCGTTAACCAAACAGGGACATTGGGATAAGGCCTGTGACCGGGGAATACTTGTAAAAACAGTTTGTCAATATTAGATGTGCTACGGATACTAATAATCGTTTTAAAAGTTCGTCTGCAAACAGCATTTTTTAAAAAGAAGGTCCCTCGTTTACTTTGTAATTAATTAAACGTGAGTTTATTTTCTTCTTTACGATTCCTTTGGGAAATGTGGAATGATGGGGTGGCCTAGGCATTTATTGTGTTTTGTATCGTACAACTTGTACGATTTGCGAACGTTACATAATTATCTAACAATAATCAAAGGACAGCAGTAACAGATCCCATATTCCGAGTACAATAACACACTTTCTGCGTCTTATTGACGTATTATAACCCCCTGTTGTAATACTTGTTTTGGGATACACGAATGTCTACGTCAAACTTCTCTTTAACTATTTTTAATATGTTGACGGTCTTTGGATCACGTTCCTGGTTTTCTAAAATAGATCGGAACGCTAAGTTTGTCCAGAACTGGATATTTCAGTCTCATTCACCGGTGGGTGAGACTGAAATATCCAGTATTTATTACTGCTCATGTGAACCGACTATGGTTCACTTTCTTTTTAGACCGAGTGATGTTACAAAGTAATGGTTGCTACAGCCATATAAAGATTTCTGAATACATTTTTGATAAAGAAAAATTTGAGGATCTAGGAAGGAAAAGTACGTAGCGACTTGCTTAGATTCGCTCCACTTTCTCTGAATCCAAATTATTGATTTCATAATAATAATAAATACAACTTGCACATACAGTTTAATTGAAACGTAACTTATCATAATTTCAGATTTTGGTGTCGTCGTGATTGTCATATAAATTAGCTAGAATCTAAGAGGGAATTAAGAGAAGACTGTTGTCCAAGTACAAAGTATCAGTCGTCCTCCTTGCTGCCGGAGTTTCGGGCTGTCGCTGGAGGTCAGGACATATCCTATTTCGCCACCACCGTCGTCCCCCGTCGCCGCTATTGCTGCAAAACGCAGATAATTTTTATCGTGGAGTATTTTTCCAACTCAATAATAAGATGCCTCTTCCAAGCCGTGCCCGTGTATATCCGGACGTAAATTCCCATAAACCTAGAGACTACTGGGACTATGAGTCCTATGATGTAAAATGGGGGTATGATATAAATAAGTCATGTTAATATATGTTTTCCCACTACCAATGCATTGAGTTGATTATTCAATTGGAGTATAATTTCTCCTCTTTACAGACAACAAGACGACTATCAATTAGTTAGAAAACTAGGGCGCGGTAAATACAGCGAAGTTTTTGAAGGTAAGCAAAAACAAATTATAAAGCGAGCGAGATTACTCAAAGTATGATAACGTAAATACATATAACTTTCGTATATTTTGAAGCTGTCAACATTACTAACAACGACAAGTGTGTTGTAAAAATTCTGAAACCAGTTAAAAAAAAGAAAATTAAAAGAGAAATCAAAATTTTGGAAAACCTTCGCGGTGGAACCAACATCATCACGTTAGCTTTATTTTATTTATTTTTATTAAAATGAGTTTAAATAAAATGTTAAATGAAAATGCTTTAAATGTTTAATTAGACTAGAAGCTGTTGTGAAAGACCCTGTCTCCCGAACGCCTGCCCTGATATTCGAACATGTTAACAATACTGACTTCAAGCAGCTTTATCAAACTCTTACTGATATGGACATCAGATATTATTTGTACGAGTTGTTGAGGGTGCGTGCGACACACACCAGCTAACTAGACGGATATTGCATATATGTTATATTTTTTCATGATGGTTAAAATTGAATTCCATGTGTAATTAATTAGGCATTGGACTATTGTCACAGTATGGGAATTATGCATCGTGACGTGAAGCCACATAATGTCATGATTGACCATGAAAATCGGAAACTTCGACTAATTGACTGGGGACTAGCCGAGTTTTATCATCCAGGACAGGAATACAATGTTAGAGGTAATTGAAATGAGTAAATTATTCAACTCTACTAATACGTAAATAAAGATGTTCCAATATTGTTATATTTTCTGTTTTAGTTGCATCGCGGTATTTTAAGGGTCCGGAGCTTCTCGTAGACTACCAGGTACACAAATTATTTAAGACTTAAGCTAGGATACTATAACTTATCGTTGGAAAGAAGGAGGAATAATTATTATTTGCTTTTTATTCTAGATGTATGACTACTCGCTGGATATGTGGTCTCTGGGATGTATGCTTGCCAGTATGATTTTCCGGAAGGAACCTTTTTTCCACGGTCATGATAACTACGATCAACTTGTGCGTATTGCCAAGGTCAGTGTAGTACCCTTATGAATTGTTTGTCGAGGCAAACTGTATGAATCATTGTTGAATTTCTTGCTCATTTTCTCTTCCTTCAGGTTCTAGGAACAGAAGAATTGTATGAATACTTAGACAAGTATCAAATTGATTTAGATCCTCGTTTTAACGACATACTAGGAAGGTAAATGCAATTTCGTATCTATTTGACTTGATAATAATATTAAACCGGCAGTGTGCCACCTTCCTGTCTTCTCCAGTGCTCTATCTAACTAATTTATATTATTATTTTACTAATAAGAAGTAATACTTCTTGCAGACATTCCCGTAAACGTTGGGAGAGATTTGTTCACAGTGAAAATCAACATTTGGTCACCCAAGAAGCACTGGATTTCCTTGACAAACTTTTACGTTATGATCATAAAGAACGACTAACGGCTCGCGAAGCAATGGATCATCCTTATTTCTGTAAACAGAGTTAACGAAACAATCGTTGAATGATTATACTTATGTAAATGACTCAAATGTAATTTGTCAAATACAGATCCGATTGTAAAGGAGCAAGGTTCCAATTTACCTCAAGCATCTCACAATCAAAACTTTGTGATTGGTGACCACTAAGTCATGCTTTACCGCAAGGTACTCAATCAATATATACATATAATAGCATAGCTTGTGCAAAGATTGAATGCATGTGTTTTTTTGTAGCCGACTTCTTCACTGAAGTTTTGGAATTAAACATTAAACCACCAGCTAAACCTAAAGTGACACCTTCGGAGACGAACTAAAAATTTAATACCTATTTGTTGTATTGCAGTTGTACAGAGTGAAAATGAAACGATGAAAGAATGCTATTATAAACAGCTCAGAATTCGAATGTATGCTAAGCAATACAAAATACGGAAAATATTTCAGAAAGCTATTAAGGGGGAGCATTTTGAGTTTAATTTTCATATTTTGCAATTCAGTTCAGAGGATCTAAAAAAAGTTCTTCTAGTTGAACAGGAGCGATTGTGATTTTACAGATAAAAGTTATTATAGAGACGCGAAGAACGTACATTTGTTATTTAAACATACATTATAAGCGAGCGAACGATAACATCCTTCTTGAATTAATACAGCCAAAAAAAGTTCCACATATGTTCCATATTCTGTGTCCATATACTGTTATTTTGTAAGACGACCAAACATTATTTTGAAATCGAAGGGCCTTAGATTAGATTAGGTTTGAAATTGTTACTTACTAGGCGTAAACTGTCAACTGTGTGACTGATCAAATTATACAATACTTTACAAACTATTTATTGATAACATCTTGGCAAATTTGCATATCATTATATCATTGATTGTTCCGTTTTGCTATTTATTTTAAGTTACAAAAATTTCATCATGATGAAACCTAATATTTTTTCGTGATGTGGAGAAAATTAGAGAGAAAGCCGCCACCCGACCCACGGGATAAAATAATGGCTTTATCTTGCTCATATTAACGGTTTAACCTACCATCCAGGGTTTATGCACGATTTGCTTATTTTTTTCGGGATTTCTTTCCGATAACAAAAGCTGTTAGTCCTTCATAACAACAATAAGCAGATATAGAGCAGAGGTACGTACGATATCCTTTTATAAAGAGTTCCACTACCTACTTAAAATTCTGTTCATGAATTTATCCATACAAAGTAGTCCAGGACGAACCCCTCGTGTAAGTGTTAAGCAACAACTACATGCTAACAAGGCGCACAGCACCCAACCAATATAGACTTATCTACACTTCTTATATATGTACGTATGCATCGTGGAGAAAACGAATAAGGGAAGGCTACGTTCAAAGAGCCCAAATCATTGTTTTCCACGGCACAGTTTAAATCCAAGAGCAAGGGTCGGAGGAAGGGTCTCTTGCCTATGGACGACGGAGAAATTTGATGGGAAGGTGAGGAAGGAAGGAGCTGAAGGGAAACCTGCATATAATTGTACTTCCACTTTCATTCCGTTGCATCCCTTTGTACATGCATAGCACTCCAGAGCACATTCGGATCTTCATCTTTTCCAGTCCCCTCTTCTTCCTCCGAGAAGAAGCAAATCTGTGTCATGATGATGATGATACCGTACATCCCTCAAACATCATGTCGGTCTGATCATCAAAATCCAGAGATTTTAGAGACTATTACTAGTCAAGCCTATGCAAGATTTTGCTTTACCTTTTACCAGCTAATATCTTGACAAGAAAATAGTCCCCCAGTCCAATATCAGTATTGCAAATTACTCCTGCAAGAACTGAAAAGAAAGTTATTCTTTTTTGAACCCTTGGGAAAGATTTCACAGTAAGCACAGGCCTTTATGAGCATACAAAAAGTATCTTTGTTTTCTAGAGATATATATGTATGTACATGTCTATTTAGATTTGTACTTAGATTTAGATGCTATATGGTCTTCTTACATATATCCATGTAACATAACTCTTGGAAAACGCTTGCTCGTTGTGCAATATTACATTGTAAAGTTGTATTCGGTTGAAGGGCACAGTTTCCTTTTCACCATTATGGCACGCCATCACCAGTATCACAAGCAGAATGTAGTGGCTGAAGGGTCAGAATGTTCGGTTCGACATGGACTCTCCTGGATCCGAACGGAATAATTCCTTCATCAAATGTGTATTATATTACTCTGTGTCATATAATAATACATAATGTGGTCTCGTGCAATTATACATATCTATCTAAGGAATACTAAGGATTCGGTGGCTTTTAGAGCTCACAGTGAACAGCATAGCATACAGCATTACAGTACGTAACGTGCATGCAAGCCAAGGAAGAAGGTGGGTTTGGCAATAAAGCAGTCGTCGTGGAGAGAGGGCCAGGTGTTAATCGGGAACAAAAAGTGGAAAAATTGCCATGTAGCAGCATCCGCTCTTCTTCCTTCAGCTGCTTTTCATGAGATCCTGGGCAACTTTATGATATGACTCAAATAATAGTGGCCAAGCTCAACTTTATAACTCGGCTCTGCCATTGTCAGCAGTAAGAAATGTTCAGCTTATTTAGGACAAGCTGCTTCCCAAAAGGTGGAAATTCATTAAATATGCAAGCTTAATAAATAAGGACGCTTGATTTGATATGAAAAGACACGGTGCACGGACTTTGCTCGTGCCAAGTCCTACCAAATGCTTTCTGTCCTATTGATGGCATGCACGGTACAACTTTTTAAGGCAAGGACTTTTATAAAAGTTAGTTCCGTGGGTGGAGGGTGGTAAGGGTCACAATTTAAATATAGTATTGCAAAAGGTCTGTACTGTCTTTGTCAGTTGGTTGTACGGTCAAGGTGCTGTATAAAACGGATGTGCTTAAGTTGAGTAAAGTGAATTAGTGGGTGGGGTTCGGGTTGTATGGATAAGAAATCGTTCGAGTAAAGTTTTTCATAATGGAAGCTCAAAACGTTTATACTGAATAGTGAATCATCATTAAAACTTTGGTAACATTAAAAGCGCTTTTGAGCAGATATCAAGTTTTAGGTTTGCATCTGCTCTCAATTCACTCATCACCATCATCGTATCGGTTTTCTAGATGCATTCGCTAGATTACGGTACAAGTTTGTCTGGCACTTGGCAGATTGTGAATTTCTTTTTAAACGCACACGCTGATGCAGACACGGTATGGAAATTTCTTATTCAGGTCGGTGGTGGTAATTACTGATAAGACGATTGCTGGCTGGCTGGTCTTAATTTCAACTTTTTTGACACGGGCGTCATGTCCATCGGTCTGTCAGAATCTGCATCTGTTGTACTATTGTGCTGGGAGGCAGCAGCGGTGCGCGTGGTTGTACTTATGGTGACTCAAATACAATAAATTAATAACAAGTACTTGTATTATCCACAAGCAGCTGACCTTATGTCGTTGGTTATTACGTCCTAGCGAGGGAGTTGACCTGACGAAATGGCGCATAATTAATTGCATGATTATTTCATGAACCGAGCCTTCATGAATAGGACCCCATTTTACAAGCTGCAGCTCAATCGTGTTCGCCAATTTTGCAATGTATCACATCTGCCCCTTTATGCTTTGTAGATCCATGTGGATTTAATTATTGAAATCCTATAACGTGTTCGTCACAACTCTTATTTTACACGTTGTCGTGTCGTCCTGTTATTTTGGTTGCATAGACATTTGACGGTTCCAGCATATTTATTACTATTGGATTTCATGAGTAATTTAATTGCACCAAACATTTTATAAAATTAATAATTACATCCATTTTCTTCTTGACCTGCATTTATTTAGTGGAGGTCTGCTTATACAGAATTCCCTCTTGGTTTCATGTAAATATATTTATATTTGACTCTCTCTTTGCTCTATAGCGTGCCTCTTTGGACCAAATTTCTTTTTCAGTCTAATTGCAAGTTATACACGTTAGTCGCCGTCAAGGTTCAAATTCGCGGAGCTCATTGCGAAAATCGTCTGGTATATTTTCACTGGAATCAATTTTGTCGTGGTTATTATATTTTTGTGTGTTATGCTCTCCGTCGGTCGTCGTCTCTTTGACGAGGTTTCGCCGTTCTCGAAATGAGACGCTTCTCATCGAGAGAAGACTTGACTTGAGTAGTTAATTACAATAATTATGAGTGATGTCATGAGTGTAAAGAGTCAACAGAGAGAGAGGTGAATCTGTATCACAGATAAAAGGTTTTCCAATTTTTTGCATACTACTCCTGCAAACCTCGTCATCGTCGTGAATGAAGCTGCCAAAAATAATTGCAGAATATCGAATATCATGTTAATTGTTGATCGCCCAAGTCGCGGCGACGACTGATTAATAAAAATGCATAGGAAATCAGTGATTCACTAAATGGTGGCCTCTTCACTTTTGCTCGTAGGCAACTTCAACTCCACAAATAATGACTCCACGAAGAGCTAACTCCACCACCGCGACGAGAAGCGATGAGTATGGCAAGAAAATCTACACATCATATGCGTTGCGAGAACTGGAAGCAGTCTTCAGGTGCCGAGCAAAAGGGAAGGTTCCACGCTCCTCGACCTCCGTTTCACATTTATTTTATTCAGTCTCAACTTTTTTTTTTACTTTTCCTATTTCATTGCTACTTTACATTTCCCATCCTCTCAGCACAGCCCAATAACACTCATGTAATTATCGTTAATTTGAATACACACATATTCCGTCCGTCAAAAAACTAATGCACAGCTGAACGATAGCTAATATTTTTTCCTGTATTGCTTCGCAAAAATCGTGAAAATAGGGATTGTACTGTTATTCAAATTGCTACTATTTTGCAAAACGCAAAACCGTTCCATGTTTTGTTTTGCTACCTGTGGAGCAACATTAGTCGGTGCTTTGGAAGAATTTATCAGTATTCAATCCTGATTGTTCATTCATTATTCGCGTTCTGGAAAGGTCAAGACAGAAACTTGTGAACCTGTGGGTTAAATCGGAGATCAGTCAAATGGTTCCAGAGGAGTAAGGTAGAGAACTTTTTACAGAAAAGAAGTAGAAAAATGGTGATTCCGAATTCCACTTCGGCCAGCAACGTTATGATGTTGTCACCGGACAAACTCGTCGTATTTGGATCGCAGGGTATCTCCAAAGCTTCTCCCACCCCGTATTCGGATGCTACACAGGTGAGGTCAAATTGTATAGTTTGTAATACTAGTATTGACATTCTTTGGAAACGGGGATTAAATTTGACTAAGGCATATGTACTTTGATAATTGCAATAATTGGGTTGGATTAGACTTTAGAGATGTTTCTGCAACTATCCGTTCCAATATCTAGGTTGCGAGTTTGCGACTTGCGAGTGAAGTGAATGCCCGGAGAAGTGTTTCAATGGCGATGTTAACTTTGTTGGCAATTTATATTTTCTGTGGAAGCATATATGTGATATGTACGTACATAAAACCAGCCAGTATGCAACATTCGTATATACTGTACGACTGTACTGGATATGTGTGTGACTGAGAATTGCGAAAATACGTCGGGACAGATGACATCCTGGATTATATCTTTGCTTTACTGCTACCCCTCTTACATATAATAACATAATTGAACTATATAATCATATCAACCACATACATACATACTTGGTAGTATCCTGAAGCCAATACAAATTTGCTCATGTACATGACTACTATGCGCATTACGTATGGAAACGCAAAGTACGAAGAAGTAGGTAAATAACAAATGCATTTTGTTAAAGAATTATTTGTACACCTTCAAAAAAATCCTCGTGTCTCATCTCAGACAGATGAAACACCAAGATGTAAGTAAGAACTGATGGCAGTCAGCGCACACACAGTGGTCAAGGAGTTCATGGTAAACTTGTGGCGTCCGTAGACACAAATCGTATAAATATGCGTGCACAATTCACTTCCAGCTTGTAAATTGCTTGCATATTTTCCACAGCAGACAGTACAAATAGGGATGCTGTACGAACTCAAAATCTCAATCCAGATTTAGTCATTTGGCATTTAGCTCAAGCTCAATGATTTGGTGAGTGAGCAAAAAAGTTTATGAAAAGCGCATTGTTTGTTGTATTAGTGACTGATCACCACTACTCCATCCAAATAAATGCATCCAAACAAGGTATTATATTACTGTGTGGATATTAATAATACTAAAGTCTGCAATGATTAGAGAGAGAGAGAGACTCGTGAAAACCAGAAAAAATTGGCAGTAATAATAATAAGGATATATGGCAAAAAATGAAAAAATAAGCGTACATAAAGAGCTAAATGTATTATACGATTCCACATACATCGACTTGCATGTTGATCATGTCATACGTAAAAATACGGCTTAAAGCAGGATACAGAGCCCACTATTACTGCATCAGATCATCATAACCAACCACCACACATCTCTAATAACCAACCAACATTTACAATGTTTTTAATCTCTGCGTCTCTTTCCTCGCTCCTGCCAACGATTGAGGATAATAAGACATAAGAGAAGACATTCTTTGCTTTGCTATAACTTTGTAGCTAACTCACTTGCAGATAATGTGCACGGCCTTGACTGACTTCGCGCCAAAATGAGCACTAAACACTAAATTTATGCAGTGTACATCGTTTTTCAAGGTTCACTTTTTTATTTATGCACAAGCGATGATGAGTGAGGGTGGAATTGGATAAAAAATGAGCACTATATAGTGTCGTTAATGGAATATGCATGCATGCACGCCAGAACTCTCGTCATTCATGTGTCGACGAAGCCGTCGTAGGTACGTCGGTACATGCATACAATGAACCCTGGTTTAACCTCTAATTTTACTAAGCACATATACTTTTGCCTGTGTCACTTTGTATACTTGCTAAAAAAATCATGGATGATGGAAATTGAATTCTGCACACCTAGTTCTAATCTATAAAAGTTTTCTTGGTTTACGTTGACGACGACCCACTAATAAAACACCCACATGCATACATGCACCATCGTTGAGGACATCATGTCCTAAGAATCAAGTACAAGTATTAAACTTTTTCGGATGACCGTGAGCCAGACTCTTTAACCAAATTTCCATCACGTTTCGTCCATGATACCTTTGAAATCATGCCTAAACTTATGATTGCTACATATTTAGCTGGTGACGTCTTGTGCGAAGACATTTCTGTCTAGAGGTTAAATCTGGTTGAATTTTATTTATAAGTGAACTAAACTAAAGGCGGGAATCGCGTTTAGCAGTTTGTGTGTTTTTTCCTGCTCAAACGTTGCTCAAACTGCTTTAACAAGTCTATAATAACTCGTTCTTCATTGTCGTTCAATACCCATCCGCTCACACATGAATTGCTTACATTGGATATGTATGTATGCGTTTTACGTCTTGAACACACATCTTTCTTTCGTGTACTTTGGATATATGTACAACACGCGTTCTCGTCTCGTCGTGCTGCTTAACATGGAGCAATGATAATACGAGGATAAGAGTCAGCAACAGCATATGGTCTTCACACACAAGAATCCAAACCAACTAAAACTCTACCACAAACTGAACAGATGCGAACTTTATGTTTTTTGGCATTTGCCAGTATTTGCTTCCCATCCTTACTTTACATAAGAGGGTACTCTATCAATTGTCGAACCGAGACTTATTTACAAAGTTTCTTTGCTGGATGATTCAGTATTAAAAGATTTGGACTACTTGATAGATAGCTTTGTCGGTAGTATATGACTCGCCAAATTTGCTAATATATTTAAGTAAACTGTTGTTGGGAGTTGTCATTTCTTGGTTGTGCAGAGAATGCTAATTCATTGTGGGCATTCGTCAAAATCTCACGGTATAATGAATGCTGTATATATATACATATACGATACTTGGCTACGTATTATTATGGCAAGATTGTAGGATGGCTGGCATGAGTTGGAAAAATGTCCATGAGATCAAAGTAGTACCACCACCACCATTCATACCTTTCATATGTATATTGGCCAAGTAGAGTTAGTGAAGCTTTTTACCTCCTAAGATTTTTTGCTAAGTTCAGGGTAAAACAAATGAACTTGGTTTAATCCATTATGCTCACGATTTTCTCGTGATGTTTGATCTGAAAATATATTGCAAAAATTTTGTTGCAAATATGCATAAAATGAAATAGATGTATAGGATAAATTGTGGAATTATTGAATGCAATGATAACTAATCATTCGCACACCTACATATGTACTAAAGTATGTAGCAAATGCTTGGCTCACCTACATAAATCAATATCATAGATATGTAAACGGTGATTTCTTTAAAATTTTCAGACAAAGAAACATCCACCGAACCACATCAAACGGCCAATGAATGCTTTTATGGTGTGGTCAAGAGGTACACACTTAAAGATGTTAATTAAGTTTGTAAAATGCGATATTAGATATATCAATAACTTGTAGATTTTTAATTACTGCCATTTTTGACATTTTGCAGAGATGCGACGTGAAATTTGCGAGAAGAGTCCTGACATTCACAATGCCGAGATCTCCAAACGCTTGGGGCGAGAATGGAAGATGCTGTTGGAGGTAAGTCGTCACACCCCCTCCGAACCGTCGTACGGTGTACCTCACCAAAGTAGCATTTAACAGATGGGTGGGAAGCTTTATGCAATATATATATTTAACAGTCAGAGAGGAAGGCATACATAGATGAAGCAGAACGGCTTAGAGTTTTACACGCTCAAGAATACCCGGACTACAAATACAGACCGAAAAAGAGGAGCAAAAGTGGATCAGAAAGCGCTTGTTCCTCACCTGCCCAGTCCCCAGCAAAGTCTCCAAGAAAAGTCTCTCGAATATGCATAGACTCCCGAGATGTTACCACTCCAAGGAAAAAAGCTGCACGCTCCAAGTCATTCGCTGCTTGCCAATCTCCAGGAATTTCAAGTACCTTTGAGACACCCAAAAAACAAACCGTCTCTCACATGAATGCATTTAGTCGCACATCCAGCATCTCCTCTCCTGGATCTCCCCCCTTGAACCGAATTCACATAGTCACGTCTACCATTAAGACTCCTCCTCCAGAGTCTTTCAATGTTCACTTCAAAATTGACAAACAGTTTAAAGATTCGGTTCACAAGCAAGTTGGGAGTGCTATTGCTCATTTGACTCCGCCATTGGCCTTGGCAAAAGTACCCGAATCTCCATCGTCTCCTGACTCCCCAGAAAGCGCATCCATGTACGAAGAGGATTCGGTTTCTTCGAGTAGTGGGGGTCATCATTCCTCAAAGGCTCCAAAACCGACAGGAACTTGTGACACTTCCAGGAGGAGTCTCCAATCAGGTTAGTAATTAAGCAAACATACAATCGTGTGCCTTTCGAATACGCAGATATAAAAATATTAAATTAAGACTGCTATTAATATTGTTTGTGATTCTTCACAGTTCTCGACGCAATTCCAAGTGGCCCAGGTGTACAAACATTATCCTATCTCCCCACAACATCTTTTGCGGAAAGTTGTCCAACAAGTTTCACCAATTATTATCCTACGGTATCGGAGGAGCCATGCAAACTGGAGCCAGGCTCACCACCCCCAACCCAGATACAACTTGACCTATATAATCCCCCGAACGAAGAAGCAGCCTTGCTTGACGATTTCTTGGACATGCATTTCAAATTTGAATCACATCAAGAGACATCAGAAACGATCGAGGTGTCCGAAGGTATGAGAAATCAGATTCTTGTTATTCATGCTAATATCGCATTATTTTATGCATGTTCTATGCTTTCACAAATTGAAATCTTAATTTTGCTGGGCACAAGTGAAATATTCACATATTTGGTGTAACAAGTCCATAATGCATTATAATGTGTAGTTGTATTTCACATTAACCCAAGAAATTTCCGTTTTCTCTATTAAAGATCCGATGGACCCTTGGAGAAGCGTTTGGGACAATAATATCCCCACTTCAGGACTTGATTTCAACTTTGACACTGTTGGCGTCAACGGTAATCAGAGTGACTCACTCATTAACATGTAGTAGTAATAGTAATATAAGGGCTGATTTTAAATTTCTATCTGTCACTACCAATGTACCAAAATTGGAAAGTCCTGTCCTTAATTTGATATTTATCTATATTTTATATAAATCTATTATAGCCTGCAGCAATACAGGCCGTCTCATATGGCACTGAATCGAGGACCAACTCTGTTCTGTTCATCGAATGTAACAGGCTTGTAAATTATAATATATGTTTCATTTCTCTAAAATTCGACCAAAGTTCGATAAAAATGTGTCCGTCAGACATTCAAATGTGATTATTACAAATTTTGACTGATTGCTCCAAATATCCGGTGAATTTGTTACATTTCAAAATTTGGTATAATATTTGCACACATTCGTATTACTTGTTGGCAAACTATCACATTGCATCAAGTATTTCATTATCTTTTTATATATTTGCGAAAACATAAATGTTTGCCTCATAAGTCGCCAGCATTTATTTGCTGAAAACGCAAAATCATGATGAGTTTGTTGAACGATTCGATCAGTTGTTTGTACTTTATTTTGTTCAACCTGTGTAATGTTTTACAAGTCATTCACATTTTGTGTCACCTTGGTTGGATTCAGAATTTATTGTTGAATCAGCAGAATGTTTTTCCATGCCGCTTCGGTTGAACTGTGGTGTGTGGAGGCAAACCTCTGCTGCATCTCACCAATTCATCATCCATTCACATAACAGCCAGGTGCAAAGTATTATCCACAAAACTAATTGAAAGCTATGCTAATACAGTCTGTCCACGTGAATGCTTCTTCTAATATATAGTAATATTCACTCTGATTCACCATATATGAATATGATGCCATGCTTATGTAAAGGCACTAGTGAGTGATTCATAGACGGCCATGCACATATTTTATGGTTTTGCACTATATATGTAATTACACATAACTTTTTTAAAAAAGAAAAAAAACCCTTGTAATTTTATGTAATGAAGTTGTTGGTCAAACAAAGGTACCTTCCAAATTGTAGCTAAACCTGTAAAAATATAAAACATACAAATATATGAGTCAAGTCTTTTTTACCACTTTAGTACTTTAGTTTTGATTGTCTATTAGTATGCAATGTCAGTCGGTAGGGAACTTGCAGATAATTGAGATATTGAGGTACAACAGAAGGAGTTCGGAATCCCATTTCATAATATTATACTTAATTTATATCAATTACCGCAACCTCACAAATAATTATTATAACAAAGTACTAAATACACATATACTAATAATATTATAAATATCTACAATTATCAGATTTCGCTTGTTAATAATTATCAAAAAGTTGTGATGCTGAGGATGAGCGAGTAAATATGCGTAAACCCACGGACCAATATAAATGAGCGTATTACATATTTCCTTGCTAAAACCTTTTTTTATTTTCCGTCTCAACGAGAGGTTAGAGTGAAAAATAGTTGGCAGGGCTCATATTCTAATTTGAGGAAGGCATGGGAGTTGATTGAGGAGACGAAACAGGAAGAGTGTGAAATTGGAATTGATATATGTATTAAGCATTTGAGTGAGTAGAGTTTTGTATGTGTCTGCATGTATTATGTACATGCTGTTCACCTTGAAGTTTGGAAGCTAATTAGAGGTAACTCCTTGCGAGATAGATAGATATTGTTTGCTTTACTTGCTCCTATGTAAATGTGAGATATGAATCCGCAAACCATTATTAATTTATGCCATCATCCCGGCTTCCTGATTGTTTTATATACACATTATATACACATATTGCATATTTAGCTGTTATATTTTCTCCAGAGATTTTGAATGCATAAATTGAAATTATATTGTTAAATAGTTGCATATGTATCTAAAGTTTCATTTCATACTTGCGTGGATATAGTTATTTAGTTATTGAAGATGTGGGTGTCGGATTTGGTGTCTTATTATTATGAACACCACCAACACTGGTAGACATAACGCATTTATTACCACTTGTGGAATTGTTCACGATCGTTTGTCTAAGACAAGAGTAACTTCTTGGTATTAGAAACTTTCATGCTTTCCCAAGCTATGGTGTATCATAGTAGTTTTAAGGTTTTATAAATTGCAATGTACGTTACGTTTTACATTTTTATACACTTTTACATTTGTTGTTGGTCAGTTGGTCAATATAAATATACATATTTACGTTCTGCTCTTTTCTGAAAGGCCTCCATAAGTTTACTTCTTGTACACATTGGTACGCAATTTTATTTATATAGTTGTTAATCTTGTTGGGTAGTTAATATTTACATACTTGGATAAACTATTCCTGGCAACGTTATAAAATGCCTATACGCTTATTCTACAAATTAATATAGAAAATATAATCTTATTGTGTTAAATTGTAATAAATTTAAGTACGGTGCTCCGTAATGACATGCAAGACTTCCACAAAAGTTGCCTTTCGTAGCCCTTTACTAATTAATTGGCCTAACTCTTGTATAATATGAAATTGCTTTCCCATACAAAAAACATACATAAAATGTATTACATTTTTTCTAAGTCATGAGGAATGTTACAATTTCATATTGTCATAATCGACTTCGCAACTACAAGAAATGTACACACATAATAAATAAATATATATGGGCACAATACTTTATGGAGTCACCGGCGACTACCAACACACAAACACAGAATACTGTACAACCTCCTCTTCGAAACGAATATCGAACCGCATTGCAGTACAGAAACAAAAACAGTAACAGTATATATATAACTGATTAATTAGCCACGTTGGAGAATGTACCGATTTGTACACCTGGAACCATTTACGCTTTGTATCTTTTCATAGATTTTATTTAAATTACTCCGTGTGCATTCTGTGGTCGTGTGTTATTATTGGTACTTTTGAAAATAAATTATTTTATACTCAAAGTAAAAGTAATCAACAACATTATCTTGTTATTTTTTTTCACGCGTTTCAGCCACTTGGACTACTTATGTACATATATTTGCATGCGTTGCGTACAATGAGATACGATAAGTTTATCATGTTATATTTTTCATACATACGTATATTTTGTGAGCATTTAAACATGACTTCAAGACGGCATTCAGCATGCTTAAACTACTGTCGTTGTTGATTGTCATTATGTTTCATTAATTTGTAATGAAGGGCTCATAACATAACAATACTTACATATGATTAGATCATGAACTTGTTATTTCCTGACGGGTCAAATGGGCGATACGGTTTCATCGACAATGTGATCCATTTGGCAATAGACGATATTTTAATTTATTTTAATGGACCTGGCTGGGACTTTTGGCACCGCACCACTTTAATCACCATGTCCATTCTACAACAATAATGGTGCATTTAGAAAGAGCAAGCTTGCATAAACCTGACCTACTAAAGGGTGAACGTGGGTGAAATAAACAAAGCACTGCAGAGGAGAGTCTGGCCTTCGTTTTTACGAGGCAGGAATCTATCCATAAAGAAAACTGTGAGAAGAACAACCCTTCATACCGTGAAATATTGGTGCAAAACAGGCTACACACATATCAGCTTTACAGCATGAGTATTTATATGTATATGCAATGTACATACGTATATATGTATGTCCACAAACTTTTAGTATTGCATTTACGACACTTTTAATTGAATAGACGAGAGGAGATGCAACATGTCATAAAAAATTGTTTTTCATCCACAGATTCAAAAGTCGTTAAAAGGCACGTACCGCACACCACCGCGTCGTTTTCTATTTTAGCATGCTTCACTTATCTCCTGTTTACATCCTATTTTCGCAATTCGAATAATGCGTGGGTGAAAATGAATGTTTTTCAAGTCGGATGTGCTTCTACATACATAAATATTAAGGGCAGAAACAACGGACGAATCCCTTCTCAGTCCGTATATTCTCACAGATAAGCCCCATGTATTTGTTAATTTTGAAAACTTTGTCATATGGTACAGTCTTTTAAAAATGGTGACGGAGGAAGCATTAGTTGGATATGTCATCAGTTGTCTAGTATTCGTTATTAACACGTTTACGTTTGTTCCGAATTGTACAAAAATTTGAATTTTAGCCTGTCACTCATGTATTTACTTGATCCAACTAACACCATGTGATGCTGTGAGATTACAATAATTGGGTCTTCGGGTTCAGGAATAATGGTGCACTACAGCTATGAAAGTATGGCATTGTAATGTGCAGTACAGTTAGAATTATTTGTTGCAGTTTACTGTGGAAGTTCCATTTTCCATGATTTTTACAATAGTATGAATGGACAGTTACTTCCTGATTTCTAGCGACTGATTCCGTGGTAAATCTGAATGTGTAATACATTTACCGAAAGGAATAGAATAACCACAACCTTACATTTTAGATGTGAATGCGCTTATGCTACTTGTATTAAACCAATTCATATATTTTCAACTTTAGTGTGTTAATGATAAACGGAGTTTTTATGTTTTCTAGTCCGCCAGACAATGCAATTTGTTGTTGTGTTGTTAGTTGGGGGGATCAGATTATACTTCCTGTTTGTCTGCTAACGTCTGGCCTCTTTAAATAAGTATGTGTATATTAACCTCCCCCTATTACCTCGTCCGGAATTGTTTTGCAAGCGTCGTGCCACCCAAATGCCTGCGATTTAACAAGTGGACAACAACAGAACATCTGAAATTTATCGGCCCGCATGAATTTTACTACCGAGAAAGTTTTGCAAGTTTTTGAAATGTACAGTTCATCCTCATTGTTAAACGTGGTCCTTAATAACTCGGGTTCCAAACAGGATGTAAACAAGAATGTAAAATAAGTGTTAGGTTTTGGTTTATAGCATCATGAAGATCACAGAGTAATGGCACTATATATACGTAACAGCGCATATAATTTGTTTACGAAAAAATAAGCCCATTTTGTGCCTCTCTCATGCGCCTTTTTGTGGAAATTACATATTACATATAGGTTATTTAGTGACGAAAACGGCCAGGGCCAGAAAAACGGTCATGCTGATTCTCCTGTCACTTCAGGATATGGAGAATGCCGTCTTCATCATGCAATCCCACCAAGATGTGTATTAAATATATCTGGATGCTTATTGCCCTTTTTATAAATGAAACAATGCGATTTATTTTTTGCCAAGCTATGATTTACCAAATCCGGGCAAATAAGCCCTAGCCGAAGATGTGATTTGTGGTTTACTTACCCTCAGCTCCGGCTTTCAGGGACTTTTGAAGCACCTCTCGCCATCAGCCCTGACTGCGTTTTTGCCCAATTTCTCCAGCTTATTTATTATAGAATATAACCAAGTACCGGTGGTACATATAACCAACCTTCCCTTGATTTCTTTCGCCCCATCCGATCCAAGTTAGTTAGCTACATCTCATCCCACGGCCTATATCTCATATTATAATGAGTGAGCTCATCATACATGCATTTGTATATGCTCAAATCATCACACTTTGGAGGATGCTGGATAATTGTACAAGGCAAGAAGGCCTGTTTTTGTTCAACATTCCACATGCAGACTGGGCTCCGTTTCGCTAAGCCCCATCCTCTGTTGCGCTCCTCAGTAGCCCACCCATGGGAAAAAATTCCTTACGAGAGAAACCTGATGAGATGCTGAATCACATAATATGCTGTGTTGAAATAAAAAAGAGAACCAAGGGGAAGCCAAATAGCCCTTCATCGTCCATCCACATCAGAACGAGACTTGAGTCCACACGAATATATAGCATTAGACCATAACCTGTAATTTTACGTCACACCATCGCCCTCCGAGGTCACTGAGGAGGGATGATGGTTGACAAGTAGTATGTAAGTTCACCGGCAGGGAAAGGCGTATTTTGAAGCAAAAAGCATAGAACAAAGTAAAAAAAACTCCTTCTTCCATGCACACGCGCGCCACCACCAACCCTCAGTGTTGGTTCATACGCGGCAGAGGAAGGCAGCTCACGTTTTCGCTCTCTCCATCCAAAATGGCTTCCAGTAAAGAAGAAAATTCGGAAATTATAGGAAATTCACAAAAACGGTAAGATATTTGTGTTTATTTTTCCTCCGCCGCGTCGCGCAAACGCTAGGTTTTTCGATTAGTGAAAATTTTATTAATGCGCTGCATTAATTTATATTGTTTGATTAATTAAATAGAAAAATTGGAGAGGAAGATTCTCCAGAGAAAAAGAAACCAAAAAATGAAAAAATTGGCCTAAGATCACTGTCGCAGACAGTGCATCAAAATTCCGAAAATATTTCTAAGCTCGTTGAGTTTTTTGAAAACATGATTGGCCAGTCGCAGGCGCAGCCTCGACAAAATAATACCTGCCACGTAGTGGATGTTGGTAATGAGGATGATCCAATAACAGATCTTTTTACCTCAATTGTTGATAAATCGCCAAATGGTGAGTACAAAATGAAATGAATTTCATTATTTAAAAATTGGGAATATTCTAAACATTGAAAAAATTATGATTTAAATCATAATAGATGAATCTGCTGATCAAAATATTGAGATTGAAAATCCAATTGTTGAAGAAATATTGAATTCAAATCAGTCGGAGGATGAATATGGCCCTCCTTTAGGATTGAAAGTAGCAGCAGCATTCAAACGATTAATTGCTCAGCCAGCTTCAAAAGAACACATTGATCAAAACAAGATCAAATTAAAGATCCCAGAAAACATTAAAGAAATGAGGGCACCCAAAGTCAATTGTGAAATTTGGACTCAACTTCCTAAAAAAGCTCAAGTTATTGATGCATCACAACAATTTGTTCAACAATTTGTTTCAAGAGGTTTAGTAACCCAGTCACATCTTGCTGAAATTTTAGCAAAAAATTCAGATAAGATTCCCAATGATTTATTGAAAAGTTTACTTTCTTGTTCAATGGAAGCCGCAACAGAATTTGATATGGCTTTTAGAGAAATTAGCCTCAGGCGACGACAACAAATTAAACCCTTTTTGTCAATCGAAAGTGCTGGAATTTGTGGATCTTCAGTTCCGGTCACCGAAAACTTATTCGGAAATAATTTAGAAAAAGATTTGATTGCTGTCCGAACATCGGCCAAAATTGTGAAGAATTTGACCCCCATCTATCGTGGAGGTGCTCGTGGAACTTATGCAAGAGGTTCATGTAATCGAGGGTGGTTATCTAATGCTGGTACTAGCCATAATTTAAACTTCCGGGCGCCTCTCCTCTCGAGGGGAGGCAGACGACCATTCAACCGAGGAAGATACAACAATTACCGCCCGCAGAATTAAATGTGAGTAAATTATCAGGTAGATTAAGATTATATTATGATAAATGGGCGAATTTGACTGACGACCCTGTTATTCTTGAAATTGTTCGGGGTTACAAACTACCTTTTAAGAATTTACCAGAGCCACAAATTAATTGTAAGGTTCAAGAATTTAATCCGGAAGAAAGGCTAATTATTATCGATGAATTGGACCGCCTAATGAAAAGGGGGGCAATATCTCTATCTTAAGAGGAAAGTGATCAATTTGTATCTCCAATCTTTACTGTCCCTAAACCTGATGGAAAAAGACGATTCATCTTGAATCTTAAGAAACTGAATAGCTATTTACACTGTCCACATTTTAAAATGGAAGATTACCGAAGCGTATTGAATATTATGAGATTAAACATGTTTATGGCCACAATAGATTTACAGGATGCGTATTTCCACGTTCCTGTTCATGACAGTTGTAAAAAATATTTAAAATTCCGTTTCAATGGTATACTTTATCACTTTAATTGTATTCCATTTGGTTGTTGTACTTGCCCATTATTATTCACAAAACTCTTGAAACCAGTTTTCGAGAAACTTAGAACATTAGGCTATCAATCCGTGAGATATTTGGACGATTTTTTGTTATTTGGTCAAACATTTGAATTATGCAGCGAGAATGTTCAGGCCACCCAAAATTTACTCAAAAGTTTGGGGTTTACCGTAAATTATCAAAAATCGGAATTACTTCCAAGTAAAGTAATTAAATATTTAGGATTTATTTTTAATTCCTTAGAAATGACCATTCAATTAACTCCGAACAAGCGTTCTTTAATTTTTGAATTTGCACAAAAATGTTTGTTATCTAAATCTCTAATTATAAGAGAGGCAGCTAAATTGCAAGGATATTTAATTTCAGCGTGTCCTGCAGTACAATATGGATTATTGTATACTCGGAAATTAGCTTCCGATATTCAATTCTCTTTAGAATCAAATAATGATAATTATCAAAATCGTATGACTTTGTCTCAAGAAGCAGTTTCGGATATTCACTGGTGGCAATCAGTAATACATAAAGCTGAGGTTTCCATAAAAGAGGACAGTTTTAAAAAAGTGATTCACACTGATGCGTCACCTTTTGGGTGGGGCTGTTTTTGTGACAATGACGTTTCTCACGGCACTTGGTCAAAATCTGAAGAGTTATTACATATTAATGCGTTGGAACTGTTAGCAATTGAGCGAGCACTGACTATATTTGCAAACGATGAAGGAAATTGTAATATTTTGTTAAAAGTTGACAGTCAAGTTGCAATCTCGTATATAAACTGTTATGGTGGTTGCCGCTCGGAATTGTTGCATGCAATTGCTAAAAGAATCTGGCTATTTTGCGAGAAGAAAGATATTTTTATTAAAGCTACATATTTAGAAAGTAAGAAAAATGTAGAAGCTGATTTTGCTTCTCGTATTGAAGTAGTTAATTCGGATTGGATGCTAAAAAGTGTCATTTTATCGCAATTTGTAATTCATTTGGCGAGCCAGCTTTAGATTTATTTGCGTCAAAGAACACAAATCAGTGTTCGAGATTTTATTCGTATTCTCCTGATCGGAACTCGGAAGGGGTTGATGCATTTACGTTTAAATGGTCAGAATCCTTGTTATATGCGTTTCCCCCATTTTGTCTAATTTCACGTGTCCTGAAAAAGATTTGCAATGATAAATGTAGATGCATTGTGGTGGTGCCACTTTGGAAAAGTCAGGTTTGGTATCCAGAATTTGAGAGGCTGCGTCAGTCAAATTCGCTTATATTTGGACCTGAAAAAGATTTGCTAACTTCACCTTTTTCGAATAGGCACCACCCTCTTCACTCCAGCCTCAAATTAGTAGCAGCAATATTGCAAGACGTTCATTCATAAACAGTGGCCTTAGTTCAGATGTTTGCGAACTTTTACTTTCATCCTGTGCGTCATCCAGTTGGAAACAATACGAATCGTACTTGAAACGATGGGAAAATTTTTGTAATAATTATGGTTCAGACATATTCCATTCTAATTTACAATCGATTCTGAAATTTTTGACCGCTTTGTATAAGGAAGGCGTAGGCTATAGCGGTATTAACACAGCAAGATCAGCTCTGTCTTTAATTATAGCCCCCATTGACGGTGTTGACGTTGGTAAACACCCTCTTGTAATTCGATTACTAAAAGCTGTTAGCAAATTACGGCCACCGAAACCTAGATATGATAATGTGTGGGATGTAAATTTAGTTTTGGATATGTTCACTTCATGGCCGTTAAATTCAGAGCTGCCTATATTTAGGTTAACCATAAAATTGGTAGCGTTACTCGCATTGGTCACGGGACAAAGGGTACAAACCCTGTCGTTAATTAATATAAATAATATCATAAGGTCAAGTAATGTTCAGATTCTTATTCCTGAAATTATTAAAACTTCTGGGGTTGCGAAGAAGCAACCGTGCTTGTTATTGGTCCCTTATAAAGTTAATGATAAGTTATGTGTTGTTAAATGCTTAGATGAATACTTAAATCGTACTGCTAGTTATCGTAATTCTGATGAATTATTAATTAGTGTAGTTTTACCATATAAGCCTGTTACAAGCCAGACTATTAGTAGATGGCTAAAAGAATGTTTGTCATTAGCTGGTATTGATGTTTCTATTTTTAAGGCTCACAGTTTCCGTCACGCTAGCACAAGTAAGGCGGTAGCAAAGGGGGTCAGCTTAGATGTCGTTTTTTCTAGAGCTGGTTGGTCTGATAAATCTAAAACATTTGCAAAGTTCTACAATAAGCCATTAGATTTACGAGGTGAATTTTCGAATGCTGTATTATCATAATTAAGAGTTACAAATAAATTCGTATATGTTTTTGTACTTATCTATGTATATATATTTTTCACTCGTCAAAGTTTCTTTGAACGGCTACTTGTCAACCATCATCCCTCCTCAGTGACCTCGGAGGGCGATGGTGTGACGTAAAATTGACGATTAATCGAGACTTACCTGTAAGGTGAGAAATTGATCGTAATTTTACGATCACCAGAGCCCGAACGAGGTCACTCCCGACCCTCCCTCCCGGTACTTTGACTCGTGGCGTTGGGGGTATTTCTTTGAACTCACTGAGGGTTGGTGGTGGCGCGCGTGTGCATGGAAGAAGGAGTTTTTTACTTTGTTCTATGCTTTTTGCTTCAAAATACGCCTTTCCCTGCCGGTGAACTTACATACTACTTGTCAACCATCATCCCTCCTCAGTGACCTCGGAGGGCGATGGTGATCGTAAAATTACGATCAATTTCTCACCTTACAGGTAAGTCTCGATTAATCGTCAATAACATAACATCCAGGCCAACCCTATCCTCCCTAAGCAACGTTATCCTATCCTCCCTTTCTATCTATAGCTGCATTACGTATTATTATTATTATATGTCCATGCACCTCCACACGGGATTGTTAACAATTGTTCTTCTTCCAGCTTTAATATTCATGATGTGCATATAAAAATCTCTTGAGCATGAAGACCAAAGTTGAGCTGGTCCTGCTGTTACATCCAATCCAACCAACAACCTCCCAACCACGTCTTATTTTATTGTGGTGTTCCATTCTTCTTTTACTGCTCAACACTGTGCTCCAGCCAACAATACTGTTGATGAATTTTAGGACAAAAAACGACCATAATCAACCACTTTACATGAATCATCTAATGGACGAATAAGAAGACGGGAGATCATGATTCCTGATGCTCTCCTTGATTGCTCCACCAACCCACATTCCCTCTCAGAATTTCCAGCTTGGAGCTATTTCACATCATTTCTACCCACTTTTTGCCTGCCTGGCACCTTTTCTTATGAATGACCAACCGGATGAAATCAATCTAACCACCTCAGTTCAAGCTCACTCGCATTATGTATGGCAGCTAATCCATCGAAGCACAGTCGGCATAAAACTGTACGCTAACTAACTAACTACTCTCTATCTTGGAATTCCTGATTATAAATTACACATGAAATTTAGATGCCTACATATATGCTACCAACAAATACTACTCCATGTACATTATTACGTACTAGCCACACTGTGAGCCATTTCATTGCAAAAATTCCATTTGCTTTATCGCAAATGCATATTTCTACTCCGTTCCCAGATATTTTCAGCGAAATAGATATTCAGACACCTTTGCTTCCACGAATCGTTGTTCACAAGCCATATATTTTCGGAATTGTTAAAATTGATTACGGTAAGAATGGGTGTGTTTGAGCTGTTCATCATGAAGGAGAATAGACTATACAGAACTTGAATGTGGAGTATGAAGCTGAAATATGACATGCGAAGAAGAAATGTGAAGTGAAAGCATTATTTGAGTCCTTCATGGTCCCGGCCAGCATATAGTAAATAAACTTTGCAGCAGTTGGGTCTTGGTCGTCGTTCGTCCCTTGCTGCTGCTTGGTTAGTGAGATAGGGCAAAGAATAATAAGAATCACTTTGAAGTCTCCCCAAGAGCAACAATGGAGCTGAATGAAGGGTAGAGAGAGCACAATAAATTTTACGAGGAGGATGGGGATGAAACGGATAATGTTTGACCCTTGCCTGCCTGCCTGCCTGCTACACCCGTATAATGTACCCTTGAATAGTTCAATGTCTTGACAATGAAACGAAAGTCGTCCTTTTAAATTTAATCCGTTTTCACAATGCTTCAATGAAGCTAAAGTTTGTAAATCAGCATGAGCCGTCGTTATTCCAAACTATTTTACTATTCACTCTTCAAATTTAACAGGGTGTTTAAAAATTACCATTAAATACAATACAATTTATTTTCAGCAAGAGTTAAACGTCAAGTTGACAGTAGGGATAGTGCCAGAAAAACTGTGTTCTTCGCAGTTTACATGCATATTATCGCTCATCTATTAGCTATTATGCGAGTGTTGCTGGTAATCAAAAATAATGGAATGCTACACATATTTATATGCATACAGCGGAGGTTGATGTAAATATACATTAATTGATTAATTTTGCGAATCATATAATCAACGTCAGTGGTTTTTGCATCATAGGTAGAAGTTTGATGAACTATACGAGAAAGAGGGCGACATTTAATTTGTATTTATTTGTACTTTCGTGTAGATAAATATGTATGTATGTATGTAGGTATGCACACTTACAACTTCTGTATAAATATTTATACATACATAGATGTCTGATCCAGCTTATTTGGTATTTGTTAAACAAAAACTAAAGTTCAATCAAATTCAAACTGTTGATTAAATAGACACGCATATTCGTCTTGTCTAATTGTCTTTTTAATACAAGGAAACATGTTTATCTGAGAATTGAAATGAACTGAATTATTAGCTAGTATGCAGATATCAAATTTAAGATACTGGATGAATTGAATTACTGGTTTGAAGTAGGAAATTGTGGTCCGGCTTTTTATGCATGAGACTATGATACTGCATACATATTTACGTAGATGGATGTACATATATAATATGTACTACCTCCAAATGCGCATTAGAAGGAAGTGCCTAAGAGCGTGAGACAATTTAAATCTGTTCAACAAATGTCATTCATTTCGGTTGAACGTAATGTTAAACGTACAATGCCTGCCAATAATACACCAATAATATATTTAGTGGTGTCTTGTTGCGCTATATAACTAACTCATCAGAGCATTTTGTTTCACATCCAAGGTTTTTGATAAGTCTTTTGTGTGTTATGCATAACATTGTACTTTTTGCTCATCCTCAATGCTAAAAGGATATTATGTGTGTGCATAAGTACATATGCACGTATTGACGATATTAATGAACAAACTGGCAACCACATCTGCACAGAATGATAAATTATGTCCTTGTTTCTGACTGTTTGTGAAAATCAATGCATGCTCAATTTAAATGCTTTCCGGTTTTATGTGAGCCGAGAGTGTATGTATATTCGCTTCTGAAAATAGTCAGCAAGAAATCTCTCAAAAAAGGTCTGAAACCCCGTGTGCGATGCACCAAGTCCCTTTTCACTATGTTTTTTTAATGGAAGTGTAAAGTAAGTGAAATTTAAGACTCCTCGGGGAACTGGTGGCAGTGAAACTCCTGATGAGACTGGTGGTTCCAAGAAAATTCTCTGCTGGTATTGCATTTAAAAAAATCTTTTTGTGGGAGGCAAAGAATAAAGAAAGTCTGTTGCGCTTACCCTAATTCTTTGTACATGCGTACATACATAGGCCTTTAGTATATGCCTCCATAAAAATCAGTAGGTTTGGATGGTAATTGGGTTTCAGTTTCTTTAACGATTGTAAATATCCTCATTATAAGCAGTTCTTTAAATTTACCCCATTTCAAATATCAGCTAAAGGCATTACCTTCAGCTTCAATAGTCCAACTGCTTGCCTGAAACTTGAGTGGTTTGTCGCCCTTTTAGATACTAAATGGTACTTTCACAACATCCAGCTCAAGAAATTCTGTTGGAGAGTATGGTTGACCTCATATATACCGCACCGATTTCTGCCTATATCCCTCAACAAGAAAGAACTGTCAGGTTGTTGTCATTTAGCAATCTGTTCTGTTGGAATAAATGAGTGTGACCCAACCTCATTTTCCTTATTCTCAGCTCAAAGTGCCGTGCTTTGAAGCAATTGTCGGACAGAATGGATTTTCAGGAATTTTGTCAGAGAACACTAGATCGATGGTGGTATTATAATAATAATAACTCATGGCCGAGTGCAAAAACCTTGTATTTGGTACAACATTTGAGACACCGTATTCATATTTCATCTATGTATGTTTATTCATTCTTAAAGTTAAGAGATTTCTAAAGTAGTTTTAATTTTAATCTTAAAATTTTAACCTTAAGGTATTCAGTGCATAAGCATTATTTACGAAGGGTCCATCCTTTTCCTTTCACAACTCAGGATTAGAGTTATTAACATCCGTTTTTTCAACGACCAATATGTCCAACGGGGTGCACTAGCCATGATAGTTGCGTACTGTTTAATTATTTCGCATGAACTCTAGGAAATTACCATGAACTGATCCAGTGCAGTACAGCAGAATGATAATTGTAGTGTGGATGGATTCACGATAAACACGCAGTTTTTGAGTTTTCAGTGCAATAAGTACCTCACTTGGATGGACTTCGTGTCGTGGGTTATTTAACCAAAGTGACGTTTCTACATCAATTTCCAAATATATTCGCGATAAAAATATGATGATTTCTATGAGTAATTTTAAAAACCAGTATGGGTCACCCCCTCTTGCCGTTTATAGCCCAAGCCAGCGCTCATGGAATTATATGTCCGTACAAAATAAAATTGGTATATTTATATGAATAAAGACATGTTCTATCCACTATTTGACGGTTTGTTTAAATAGGTTTTTGATCAAGTCGAGTTGAGATCTAGCAGCTATCAATGAATAATTGCCTCATAATAATCAGAGTTTCCCTCTCATAATATGAATAATCAGTATCATTCATATGTACATATGTATTGTTGTATGCGTATATTAAGAATTAAAAATATTAATGCTGACAGACATTAGTCAATTGTTGAAAATAATTCAGATTCAAGTAAAAAACACTAAGAATAGCAATAATAAGGTTCAACCTTGAGATGAACGTCGCAAAGTACTTTTTCTTTTAACGAATTGTTTTTAATTTTGAGTTCATTGAGGAACAAAAATTTGGAGTGGTTTATCTTAGTATGATATCCGTAGGAGATAATAACATTTTTCAACCAACCAACCAACCAACGTCAACACCACGGTTTATGTGACCGTTGACCGTACATTGTAATAAGATAACGTACACACGGGTTACAAAGAGTTCAACATTTCAAAACAGTTCTTACATACGTACTAAAATACATAATGGGCGATTAATTTAATACTATCTCACATTTACAATTACTCAGTTTCTATTATTATCGCTCGGTTCAATACTCATGTATAGCTTAAAAACATAGCACGATCGTGGTGCTGCTGGTGGCTTTAATGCACATATACTTATTTATGTGACTGCGTGGAGGAAGGCGAGGAGTTTCTATTTTACGACTTAAAATGTGAATCACCAAACATTACGTTTTCATAGACTTGTTATTATACAAGAATTATCATGTCAGTTATTTACTGCTTGCGACGTATTGAAATAGTGAATCCGTGGTCAATAAGCAAGTGAATTGAACAATATATTTTACTGATTGCAACTTTTTGATAACAGTTTTGGGGCCCCATAACGTCATATGTTATGTCTAAAACAATTAAATGGGACAGTTAATGAGGCTGAAATTAGTAAATTAGAGCACGAATCCCATGCTATAAAGCAGTAGCTTTAGCCACTAATGACAATAATCTTAAACATGAATAAATTAGCACTTAATTCCTATTTCATGAGGGCCTTGTGACTTGCAGCACTGCGAATCATGAAAAACGCTGCTTTGCCTCGATCAAGATCAAGGACAATCATTTGCATACGTTGAGCATACTTAAAATATTGTTGTGTCTGTTCTTTACGCTTGATCTGCTTCACTTTTATAAAACAATCGACGTATGTACATGCATGCATACAGATGTGTATAACGAACACGCATTCTAATAGTGCAAGTTCAATATCTATCTAGCATTGAACACGGCTAATAATAATGTTGTGCATACGTATGTATGTACATGCATACATTTATCTAAATACATAATATAGATTGTATGTACATCTAGTACTCTGTACATTGACTATTTTCGATGATTGCTTCTGCAGAACCCAGTATTAATCCAGATCAGTTATGTGCGATAAAAAAGTGAACGACGAATGCAAAAATATTTATTATTCAATCATAATAAACCTATGTACATTTTTGGGTTAATACAAAATTATAACAGCCAATGCACTGCAAACTTAATTTGTAATTGTCACCTCAGTCGTTGTTCACAATCATCGTACTCTTATCATCTGAGAAAAATGATGGATTTTGAGACTGTACCATCAGGAAAATACAATGTACATATTCTTTTATTATTTCCGCAGTATCTGCAACATTTGTATTGCAAAGAAGCAAAACTGACGGATGAATTATAAGTTTGCATTTAACAGCCAGCATGAACCAGTGTGCTCATCTATTTCTACTGTGACTACAATTAAATTTATTACCTTCGTTTCCATCACATATTTACTGCAAGTCTCTGGTAGTGAGTTGCACATCATCATCAGGAATAGGAATTCAATTATGGTTTACTAATATACACACATGCATATTGGGAAGATAGAAGGTCAGCATCATAATTCACTTGTCTTCCCTCATCATTTAATACTTTAACAAAGTATAAAACATTAATGAATCAAGATTTGAAGATCAAGGATAATGTAATTGTTGGGTCAACCACACCACGGATTTGAAACATTTGAAACAACCTCTGCGCCATTGGGTCAACTTAATTATCAGTAAGTACACAATCAATATAAATTCGCAGCTTTTCTTTCATAGTGAAGATACATCATACATAGATCATTAGTAATTATATAAGTCAAGCAGTTGAGTCATTAAGAATTATATTTTTAGTATTGAAGTGTTTGCATGCCATGCTTTTTTATGTCAATTCTTCTACAGACAGATTCATAACTAATGACACCTGACAGATGGACTCCCCTTCACCGAATGATTTCCAACCTACCAGTTGGGAGCCCTTGGCACATTCCCTAAAAACCTTAAAGACTTTGGAAAATTTAAAGATGAGAAAGATTTAAAGGTAGAGACGTCGAAATAGCATCATCATCGTCCCTATTCTTAAATGTGCGTCTTGTTAAGATTTGTTGGCTTGGCAGGTTCGGCACGACAGAGAATTAAACCGTTACAACGAATGTAACTAAGGGGTGAAACCAGTAGGGTGTCATACTGTCATGCATCAAACATCATGACACATTTTTATGGTTTTTCCCGTCGAAAATTCTTTAAAATTGACGTCTAAATTGTCCTAAACATATGTGACCTTTGATCTCGTCCACACGGTAACTGGGTCACCGCAGGTCAAAATATCATATTCAGTTGGATAGCTTTTTTGAAAATACTATCCATTTGACTCGTTGCATGATGTCGTTGTAATTAATGAAAATCATGATGTGTGACCTTGTGACCCATATCATCCATTTTCTTGACCTAAATAAGTTAGGTTTCAAGTTTGCGTTCACGAATTATCGGACCAACAGACGGACATATGTAGCGATGTTATAAAGGGGTTTAGCCCCTTAATAATGGAACTACTAACACAATTCAAACTAAATCTGTGAAGATGAATAGATAGATGCACCTCGGGGATAGATATACAAAAGGCTGGAAGTAAACTGGACCCTTTTTGTGCCCTTATCTCTGCCAAGCTATCACAAACTTACTGTATATTGTAGACTTGTGTTGTTATTATTATTGGAAAGCTGTAGGATATTGAATTCACCGGCGTTGCCTATGCTATATCGTCAACTGTGTGGTGGGTACTTTTAGTTTTCTTGCACCGTTGCATTTCCTATTATCCACGGGCAAGCAAGTATTCGTGCGTTCTTTCTCTTACTTGAACACAAACGTGTTCCTCAAGAAGATCGGGAAAGGCGCAAACGAAAAGGTTGGATTCAAGTCATTCCTTGGGCGTCCTAGCTCATCCTCCGTAAATGGTGAGAACGTGAAGACGAGAAATTGTTGATGCATGTTCTTTCTTCAGAATTACTTGACCTAGTCCACTTGCTACAAAGCACAGAAAACATGCTGCAATGGATGCACACGTTCAAACTGGCCAGTTTGTTCCCAGTCAATAAGTGAATGATGTATGCCCACAGAGCTATTATTTTCTGGAAACAAGGGTTCAACGGAACCACACCCAGGGACTTGCAGCGTCAGTACTGTTGAGCTGCTCAGATGGGAAACACTTACGGTTTTGATACCAAATACTTGGGGACTTGGAACGGACGGATGCTCTCAGAATGAATTATTACTTGTGTTAATTGCAAAGCTCTCAAGGGTATGAGCTCTATTTATTCAACCATCTCACTTTAAAGCAGTGCGACAGAATGTAATTCTTTCACTACATAATTGTTTGCATATTTCGTTACATCACGGGTACAATAATAATATCTGCCATTTCTGACAACAAACTGCCAAAACTCGACTATGCAACACTATATACCATTCTCTAAATACGTACATGATGCATCATTCGCTCATCATTACTTTGTGTAAAATGTAAACCATTTACTAATTACAACCTTTGCTTTCGAGTGTTGAAGTAGACAGACGGTTTGCTCACCTACTCGTAAAAACCAACTAAACTCTGATATTTTATAATTCCAGCAATTTGAGAAAGAATCCGACCTTGACTTTCCCCTCTCTTTAAGAGTATGTAACTTGAGGATTCTTCATTTCATGGGATTCTTCTTTGACCATTTGAGATGGAGGATGCCGGAGAAGAGCAGGGAACAAGTAATAATAAAGAAGCAAGAAGACTTAACTGTGGTCCAACTAATAAAACAAGAATAAAAGAAGTGTTGTTGTGTGCCAAGTGCCAGAAGGAAGAGAGTCAGGCAACGGATGTGAGAAAAGGTGCAGCAGCAATAGCATAACATCGACCAAGAGGCAACACATTCATGAAGGAGCATTCCATTTAGCTTTTTAGGGGACAAGTTAATGAGTCAGAATTAAAGCAAACGAGTGAATGGTACTCTTTAATTTCAGTCAGTCAATTATTTATTTGACAATAAAACTTTGCTGTGAGAGAGCAAAGATTTGAATTTGCTGGAGACGAGATGCACTGAGAATAATCCCATATAATCCCATTATTATTATCATCTCTCTCTCTCTTTGAACCACCGCAGCGTCAGACAAGTCAGACTTCAAAGTGCGTGGTGGTTGTTACAAATATATACTTGCACGTTGTATGTGTATCATCAGTGATATTGATGAGGGTGAGACAGGATGTTGGAGCTCTTTGAATGTTTGCTTTTTGTAACCAACCATCCACCTTGAACCACTTTTTCCTTACTTCATCCCTTGATTATCAGCAGCAATTCAAAGTAATCAGATCCAGCAAAAACGTGAGGATTATGTATGTGCCTTGATAACTTTTAGAAACGAAAGATCTACTAGCCTCGAGGAATGGAGGATACAAGTCTTACCTGTATTTTTAGATGCGATTTTTGTAGGTTTGTATATGTATGTACATATATGTGTCTCAATTCAATAAAACACCCCAAACTTCTTGAAATGGTTCACATCACATCATTAATCTTTTGCATTCTTTGAGAATGAAATTGCACATTTTTCAGCAAACCATGACACATTACATTACATTTAGGCACACATCCTGGAAACTTTTGAGACTATGCTCTCAAGAATAATGAAACAAATCCTCTTGCTATTTGGGATCTTGTTGTTGTTATTGAGACCTATGTCTTCTAACAAACGTGCCGATTTGCCAATATGATGAGAACATCCACCACGACCCATATACAGATGCAGCTACGATTTTGTACAATCCACGAAACTATACTTTATATGGAAGCATTATCCATTCACTATGCATACAGTATCAGTCTATTTAATCTCGACTGATTGTGCTGTGTTTGATACATTGTCCAATTACAAAGATTGAGATTTGAAACGAAGTTGAGAACTAAAAGTATCTGGCAAAAAAGTCGTGACTCAGTTTATTCAAAAAAAAAAGGTTTTTTGTTCTTTTCATCCTCAACATCCAGCGGCGGTGGTTGTCGATTGTTGAAGAGAAGTAACAAGTATAGAGAGATGTTGTCATATACATACATAAGCTTGATGCTTAAGCCTCAGGTAACTTTCATTTGTGTATTAAGTAATTCAGCTCATCCAATGCAATAATTTATTTATCTCACTTTTGCTTGGCAGAGAATATTATATAGTCTTAGTATATCAATCTTAATGTATATTGTTATATGTGTATGTGCATACTTACGTATAGGGCAGACGCGCAGAGGTTTATTGGTATACTAGCGTATAGCCCGGCCAAGGCCAGGTTCTAGAGTTCCAGTGGGGGGTGTGCCCAAAGCAAAAAATCCGTCATACTATACTTTAAATAATTCCCAGTGGAGACTTTGTCATGCTACATACATACATCAGAGTGAGGGTTTGCCCAAGTCATACTGCATTTTAATTAACCTGGTCACAGTACAATTTAATTTCCCCCTGTGGGAGTAGTTGAATAGCTGATTACTTAAATTCCCGTCGCGTAGGAGTAACTGCATAGCTAACTGTTTAAATTCCCTCGCTTCACGCTCCCGTTAAGTTCCATAAACCCCGTTAACTTCTACAATTAACGCCAAGCTATTGACGGATTCGGATTCAGCGTCAAAAATACATTTGAATTGATATGCCACTCGCTGTGGGTGGAGTTTCTCAAACTAAAATAATTAATTAATAGTGTTTATCACGATCACTTATCATGATAACCACTATTGATGTATGTATGTATGTATGTCTCACTCACTGTACTTGTTCATGCATGTATTCATTCATGCACTTCATGCATGCATGCATCCAGTGGTGGCTTCGCTTTCTTCTTTGTCTCCTCTACGGGGTAACTTGGACTCGATCACAGAGTCAGGCAGGCAGCGACTTAACACTAACGCTTTATGGAAGTAGATCTCTCGTCACCTCAAGAAACGTGTAAGTAACTGCTTAGTGCTTATACCATTTTAACAGGAGTGTTTTTGTTGAAAAGCGTCAGATAAGATTGGGGTTGCATGTGGTCCACCTACAGGCCTCGTCTTGATCCTATTTCTTTTGCCACAAAGGTGTTGGTTCTAATGACGAGACTCTCAGGGGAGAAAGGTGTGGTGGCAGTACATGCAGCAAGTACGTAACAAGAAATGAACTACTGCTGCTGGAGATTTAGGAAATAATAAAATGTGCTTTTGTATAATGCTCAGACAATCCATAAAATACAAGTTGACGTTATATAGTCCTTGCGCAAAGGTAGTCAGTACAATATAACGACTGAGATTATGCATGAACTTTTTATATTATACTTATGTACTCCTGAACCTGTGTATATACTAGCAATGTCGCTTTGTTGCAAATTTATATTTGTGCAATCTTTACTTGACCAACTTACAACATTATCAAAATCATACTTCAAATATGAAAACCGTTTCATCAAATTTTGAATATTTGATTCCTTGTTAATCGCACTTATACTTTTTGACTGAATGATGCATAATATAGTCTGAATTTGGGGATTCGTAATTATTATTATGGATGACCTGAGTATCCCAACAACTTTGTCGTACTTAATTTAGGTGCCTGGTGGGAGGTAGTGTGTAGTTCAGTATGCTGGTTGATATATGTAAGAGTATGTAAATACATATGCATATAATTGTGAATGTGAATGATAAATATTAATAGAGTATCAAGAAGAAGACTACATTACTTTTAATGCAACGCGTCTGCCTCTCAGGAGGGGAGCTTGCGAGGTTGATAATAACAGATCTTGATGCCCTTTGGATATGTTATAGTGTCCCATGAGTGTACTAAAACCCTGAATTGGTTTGACTCCATGGCCACATTTACGCCCGCCACACCCACTCAAAAATGCCCAAAAAACGCTTTCACTCCAGTTTTCACTCACTCAAATCCACGCCAAAAATCCAATTTTACTCGGATTTTGAAATTTCTTTCACCAATATACTCCCAGATAGTTTCTTTCTTCAATCCAATATCAAACTCAATTTTTTCGAAATTTTTAGTATTTTTAAAATTTAAATTTCTGAATGAGCATTGTTGTAGCAATCAACAAGGCAAATTATGCCTGCGAAATAATAATCAGCAAAATTGAGTTTGATATTGGATTGAAGAAAGCAACTATCGGGGAGTATATTGGTGAAAGAAATTTCAAAATCCGAGTAAAATTGGATTTTTGGCGAGGATTTGAGTGAGTGAAAACTGGAGTGAAAGCGTTTTTTGGGCATTTTTGAGTGGGTGTGCCGGGCGTAAATGTGGCCATGGAGTCAAACCAATTCAGGGTTTTAGTACACTCATGGGTCCCTACCACATATCCAAAGGGCATCAAGATCTGTTATTATCAACCTCGCAAGCTCCCCTCCTCAGCTCACGACGATGATCATTTTCTCAACTCATTTGTCAGCTCCAGCCCGTGGCGATGTCCTTGGCCTTGTAGCTACACAATGCGTCCAACTATAACCATATTTCCGACACTGACACTGATTGCGATAATATGGTTTCAACCTATTCATCTTGCGACGTTGTGGTGTGGGTTAGGGTCCGTGTGATCATGATCCAGACTGATTTATAGTTTCCACGATTTTGGTAATTGGGACCTGGCAAAGAGAAGATGCGATATGGGAGATACGTACATAATAACTTCCGCAAATTGTACCACGAGCATAGTACATTAGATGTAGCATTTCGCATTAAAGCCATATATGGGATATAAATCAACTGGTGGAAGTGCATGCAACCAAGATAAGTACTTAGGATTAAGTAGTTCCGTGACATATGTACAAGTATATTCTATTTAGAAATAGTGAACAATTGCTTAATCTGAAATATCTATAAATGTATATGCCAAGAAACTTTTCTATAATGATATAGCAGTAAATACATAAATTACAAGAATTGTCTATGCAATTTGAATTATGTCGTTCGATTTAATGCTTAATGTCACAATTTAGTGGGAAATTGAGTTTTTAGTTAAATTTTTGCCGGATTGTTATACGTTATGAAAACTGGGAAGTATTCAAGCCATGAAACTTTAAATGCATATACTTATACATACATTAGCAATTGACTGAATTGCTTGACATGTAAATAGCTTTAGGATCAGCTAAATACAACCGGACAGGACTACACATACTCGCTTTACAAAACTGGGATCATCGGGTTATGTCGTTCGTACGCATGCATGGATTTGCAAACATGTGCTTTCTTCTTGTTTGACGCAATGTTTCAAGTTTTGTGCTCATCAGACAGAAACTGGAAAAATAGAGCTCCAACGGGTTTCTCAAATTAAAACTAGTTTAGTAAGTAGGTAATTTTTTTGTAAAACATTTCTCGTGTGCACGTACTGTATCCCTGTTGCCTCAAGTTGTCTGTTCCAATTTGATAACCATTTTTGTGAAAACGAAAAACTTGACATAAGTTAATCGACATGTCGAAAGCCACCTTTTTGTATTTTGCATACGGGAGTAATCTCTGGAGCAAGAGAATTCATGAGAACAATCGGACTGCCCTAATGAAGGCAATAGGGCTGCTAAAGGTAAGTTATTAAGACAACGTGATAATAACAGATATATTTAGTATATGACCTGAAAAACAATCTCTTGCTCCAGTTGGTATGAATTATTAATTCCTTATCTGTAATAATAACGAGTACCAGCTTTGGGCGGCCAAAGTCTTGCAAAATGTATAAAACCGTGCATATGGGCAAATTATTTGCATGTGCTACGCAGTACCATCTCCCTGGTTCCTATATATATGTTAAGCTATTGTGTGAAATTTTATGCTCTGTTGCACACCCCTACATACGTATTTTACTACCATTTTGCATTTTTTAGGACTACAAGTTGGAATTTGGTCATATGAGTCAGCGATGGAAGGGTGCATCTGCCAATATTTTGCCCCAACCAGGATCTAACGTTTACGGTATCTTGTGGGAAATCTGTTCGAGTGACCTACCCAATCTTGATAAGTAATAACTTGTAATACGTAAACCAAATAAAGTGCTATGAGCTTTGAGAAAAATTCAACATTATGTTTTGCAATTGCCTCTTTTTTGAAACAGTCAGGAAGGCGTTGCTGACAACATTTACGAGCGTGTAGAGTTGACGGTGGAGACCTTGGATGGACAACACGTTCCCTGCATGGCGTATAAACTTAGAAAGGACACTCGAGAGCAGTCCACCGTAGAACATGGGGATAAACTACTCCCATCTCTTCGCTACAAAAATGTAATTATTCAAGGAGCAAAAGAACATAATTTGCCAGAAGAGTATATTACGTACTTGGAAAACATTCCAGATAACGGATACAATGGTGTTGTCGATGTTAATATACCGCTTAATTTGTAATCTGCGCTACAGGCAATGTAAAAGAGCTAAAGACGCACAAGTGATCAGAATAAATATTTGTTTGTCTTTTACACATGCATATATTTGGTGTCTTTTTATATCTGTTTATTTCTACTCCTGTCAGAAACAATGGTAGTCCCGTTATAATTGTCAGGGTCAGTAGGAAGATTTTTTTCCTTAATTACTATTGTTGCACGGTAGCCAGGTTCAACATGAAATCGAACAATTTCAATATGTCCGGAGGAGACTAGTTTCTGTACTTCTGGGAGATCTAGAACGATTTGCAAAGCTGTAGTTGGATCCATCGAGTCCAAATAAGTTCGCTCAACTTTGGTGACAATTTCTTCTCCTTTGATTTTGCAAATCAGGTCCAAGTGATATCTAAAGTCTACTGATGGCCATGGTTGTTCCCAAACTTCATGATCCTATGAAAATGTTGTCCAAACTATTTGTAAACTTCTCTGTTTATTACTTATGTAATAATGAAATCTTGATCTTACAACATTAAACTCTGGTTCAGAAAATGTTGCTACGTCCCGAAAAGACTGCCAGAGTTGAGCAGCATATGCCGGCATTATCGGATACATGCAAATTATGCCTGTACCAAGGGCTCTTTCAAACTCAATGCTCTCTTTCATGTAGAGTTTCGGTACTTTCTATAAACATAAAAATTATACATTAGTAAATCAATATGTGAAATAATGATGTTTAAATATTTAACTTAACCCTTAACTGGCCCATCATTGCTTGCAGCTTACTAATGACCACACTGATCTGGCTGGTGTCAGAATAATCATGGTTTATTCCTTTCAAATAATAATTTCGCGTGTCGAAAATCTCTGCTTCTGATTTCTGCCAAACTTCTTCATCAATAAACGCAATTTCTCCAAAATCTTTTGAATCTACAAATTGCCGTAATAGCAACCACACTTTTTTTTGCCAATTTGTAAACGCTTCAATATCTAAAATCACAAATTTAAATTAAATTAATAATTTAATACATGATACGGCCTATATATGAGTCATACTGTTTGGGGGCCACTTTCTCGGAGATGTTGGAGCAGCCTCTGCCATTGTTAGCAGTCTAGTTGTATCGATTCCGTGTTCATTCAGAATATTGTCAGGATCAATTCCATTGTACTTTGATTTGGACATTTTTTCCCATTTAGTGAATACAGCTTCACCAGTTTTATTGGACGTGTACTTCTTCCCGTCTTTAAAACAAAGTAAAATGGTAATTGTAAGCTCCCTTGAAAATATAATATATTAGGTAGTAAGTTTTTCATACCTTGGACACATTCAGCTTTGGCTAGATATTTTCCAGAACCTTTAATAATGTAAGCTTCTCCAAGCACCATTCCAATGGGAATAAGTTTTTGAAATGGTTCCGTAACAGGGGAAAGCCCAATATGATGCAAAAACTGGGTTATAAATCTGGCATAATACAGATGTAGCGTAGCTGTAAATGATTTATAATAAAAACAGAACATTAACGTCTTCTATTTGTATTAAGTAATAAAACATAAATATAAGGTAAATATAGTTTTACCATGCTCTTTTCCACCAATATATGTGTGAACCGGTAACGAACGGACAGCTTTAGGGTCAAATATGCTATCGTCGTTTTTGGGGTCCAAAAACCGAAAAAAGTAAAATGAGGAATCCATAAAAGTGTCAAGAGTATCGGTTTCTAATTGAATATTGCAACTTCCACAATGCGTGCAAGAATCTAATACGCTAGATCTCGTCATAGGCAATTTATTTTCGTGAATCATTGAAGCTTGACCACAGTCAATACAATTAGCGGCAGGAATTGGAGTTCCCCAACTTCTTTGTCGAGACACCAACCAATCTCTAAGTTTCAAACTTGCAGGATAATACTGAAACTGCTGGGTTATTTCGCCTGGTTTTGTATCCTCCACCTGCGTAACACAAAGTTGAAGTCTCTTAGGTTTGCCAAGAATGCGAAGGAGAAGGTGCAAAAGGGTCAATATATTATTAATATCAAATACCGGCAATGAGCGTTGGAGATTCGCAATATTGTTCAAAAATATGTCCCCACCTTCCGCACTGAGCGGATACTCTATCGGACATAATGATTCATTGATTCGACAATCACATGATTCAGGAATCCACGGAGTGGCTTCTTGTGTAGCCGTGAAAACGGCAAGTGGTGTCCCAGTGAGTGGATTGTTAATCTTAAATTTCATTAATTTATAACCATCCGGATATTCTTTCGCAATTGAATTGACCTCTTTGAGAAGAAAGTGACTAGGTGACAAAATTACAAAAGTGGCTTTCTTGAGGGCTTCAAGGTCTGAGAACCAAAGCCTTAATGGTTCCTTGGTAGAGACTTTTGTAGAGTCATCTTCCTGTACATACTCTTTGATGTCAATCACACAATCAGTGAAGAATCCTTTGATTTCCCCAATCCAATGATCTTGTAATGCAACCACATCCCTCCATCCATGTTTCAAGTCCCCTGATGTCAGACCCTGAGATAATTTTTCAGCAAAGACAGCCGTCTTAATGAACCATTGATGCAGCAACTTTTTTTCCACTTTGGCTCCTGAACGCCACGACCGCATATTTGAATCAACTTGTTCTTCAGCCAACACGGTTTTATCCACCGGATCCCAGTATACGAACGCCTGACCAATTAAACCAAGCAACAATATTCATTACTATTAGAACAGTATATGTACTACTCAATATTAATCATTAATCATACTCGTTTTTTGTATGCCAATCCTTTCTCCCACAATTTGAGGAATATCCACTGTGTCCATTTGAAATAGGAAGGGTCACAAGTGGCAAATTCTCTTTCCCAGTCAAAACAGCAACCCATATCGATAATCTGAGTTTTCATATGATTAATGTTGTCTCGAGTCCACTTTTCGGCATCAATTCCATGGTCCCTTGCCGCATTTTCAGCTGGAAGACCATATGCATCCCATCCCATCGGATGGATCACCTATATTAGAGGTAAATAATGAAAATATGTTAAAAGATTTGGAAATAGTTTACACTTTTTTGCATTATCATGCATACCGTGTGCCCTTGCATTCTATGAAACCTAGCCAGTACATCGCTCAGTGTGTAAACTCGAACGTGCCCCAAATGAAGACGTCCTGAAGGGTACGGAAACATTGGCAAGACATAACGAAGCGAATGAGGATTTGGCTTATTGATTTCCTTCTTATTTTCTGCCTGACAATCAACCCCGTACACACGGCTGTGCCACTTTTTCTCAATGGACTTTTTAATTTCCGGGGTTAGTTCGTCATCCTGTTCACAAAATAATTAATAAATAAAATCGAAGGCACATAAATATATGTGGATGAGGGAAGGTTGAAAATAAAGATGCTACAAATTCATGAGCATCAGAATGAAACATTTACTTAAGATTATCATCGTAATTATTTTTAACTAACCAAGGAAAAGTTTTTCCATTTGCCAGAAATGACTCTGGAAGTTGTAAATAGTTTGATTCCCGTCAACTGGACCCATTTTCTATTAACCAAATTAATTTTCCAAACTTTCATGGCGAAACGCAATGTTTACTGTTTCAACAATCCTTCAAAACCATGCAAATTTACTGCATACAACTGATACCAGGCTATGTGTCCTTCGAAGTAAAAAGTAAATGTTTATTTTTTGGTAAACCTTTAAAATATTAATTGCACTATTGTGCAAATCTCCTTTTTTTCGTTTGCAAAACAATAATAATACAATTTCAAATTTCTCCAACTCTTGTCTCCTACCGATCGGTTCAGTTCCCACTCTCGATTTGGAAGTTGGAAGGCACAGTTGAGATTAGATTGTCATTATGTAATTAAGTCTTCCTAGTTTGGTTCATAAAAATCCACTAATGACAGTTCAATGATCGAACTCTTAATTTCCAGTGTTAATTATGAAGATACCGAATACCATAAAAATGTCACCAAATCGCCTTATAGAAAACACTTTATTGCATATTTGGCCAGGTGCAACTTTGTACAGACCAAACAATCAATCCTACAATATAACTAACTAAACGAATAATAATATAATTTGCATTATTTCAATACATAATCCTTTGGATATTCCCAGAGTTTAGGGAAATTGTCAATCTCTTCTTTTCCGTATTGATCAAGACGCTTGGGCACTTTCTGTATTGGTCTAATTTGGTTCGAAACGTTCTCCAATATCTGGGGAGAAACTTGTCCATCTTTAAAAATGTGTAGTCTCGCCATCCGTGGACGTCTTTGCAAATTATTCCCTAGCACTTTATAGACGGACTTCCAAAGAATCTAAACATGATGAGTAAACAAATTGTATTATCTTTTCCTTGAATGTAGTAGATTTTCATTAAATGAGACATACCATTGTCGGATCCTTTTGATGTAATTCATAAGCTTTCGTCCATGTTGCACCTCCTGGGTAACCCGTGTGGTGAAAATATACTCGGTAATACCAATCATCCCCTTTCATGGCTATGTCTTGACTATTAATAACGACGACATGATCGCCAGTGTCAGTTGATCCACCGAAAATTGGTTTGTGAGTTCCTTTTAAATAGTTTGCAATAGTGACACCCGACTTGAATGGATCTTGCCATTTAGCATCAAATAACCACCATTGTCTGCTAAATGTCAGCCATTGCTAAAAATATAAAAAAATATGTAATAAATTAAAACTCACCCAAGGAAAAGTGTCGAACTTGTAACAAACTAAAAACTTACCTGAACACGTTGGGCTGCAGACATTTTAAAACCTGAAGTAAATCACAAATGAGAAAAATGTTGACTTGTAGCTGGTACTAATTAAAAATTAAAACTAATACAAGTAGTATTTGTGTGTTGAGTTGAGTCTTGTGTGTACTATCCGGTCTACGGACATTGATCATAAATGAAAATCTGGTGCTCTGCCGACTGGGTTTCTTGAGACTGACTTTCTCCTCGGCCGTGCACGTGCAGCAGATGGCACAGCTTTCACACGCGAAATATAATTAATTTGCATTAGAAATCTATATGTCTCACTCTCATTGTTGCCTAAAGTGGCAGTGAATACACAGGATTTCATTGTTTAAATAAACATCCATCCTTGACGTCAGCGTCCCTGCATTCTACTTGCATGCCGAAATGAACATACAATTTACTTTCTGAATGTTATGCAAGCACTGTTTGACATTTCTTAGTTCAAACTTTGATTATTTCTTGAGACACAAACTATGTGCGTGGACTTTTGAGTACCAGTGTAAATAATCCAAGAGAGGTGAAGATAGAGCATATACAAGCTTACGGGTATTATTGCAAAAGTTTGAATGTCTTTCACCATGCACCTTCAAGTATGCCCGCATAGACGCATTAATGTATAATGGACTTCCACGCCACCAGCACCACTGTTGAAATTGAAACTTTCCATCGTAGCACTCTTATTTAGCTCCAGGTAAGGGACCATAGATGCGATTGTTATAAAATCCTCAAAAGTCTACCAACGTTTTTCTCGGTCATCAATAATTGTATAATATAGAGCTTTATATACACTACTGTCATAGATAAGAGAGATAGATAATAGGATATCAAGAAAGGCTGAAAGAAAGTTTTCCATGCTGATGTTGAAAATCTTGGAATATATAACAGTAAAGTTTTAGCCATAGCAGTTATTCAACATTTAATAACTTGCTTTCACCACTCTCATTCTCGACTGTCGGTTTCACCACATTCCATCGGGTTTTATACAACTTTGAATTCAAAGTTTTCAGAAAGTCTTATTTGAATTACATTTCCAATAATTGTGTTCATTTGATGAGTCTAATAAATCTATTTTATGACTATTATAAATTATTATGCATAATTTAAATAGTGTCACAATAATACGTATCTGTAATCGATGTTTAGCCACATCTTTTGTTTTGGTTTACAACACACGCAAAATCTTCTAAATTAGCTAATTATTTTCCAGTTCAAGAGTATCCTGTTCCAAGGTATTTGTTTTAAAAAATCAACTTTCACACGGGCTTCTTCAACGATTAACTACGTGCGAGAAGGAGAAAATAAGTTTGTATGCGTATGTACAATGAGTTATTTAGTGAGCCTGAAGACAAACTCTGTGTGAACCGAGGAAGGAAAATCTCGCATAAAATCCAGGCGAGTGATCTTCTAGTCCTCAGTTGCTCTTCACTTTCCGTCTCACTCATTCCTTGAGCAGCTTGAAGAGGAGGACGCCTTGCTTTCTTTCTTACTTCCGTTTCTGCTGACACAACCATTTACGAACTCAAAATCAGCAAAGTATATTTTTCCTTGTCGGATAAATTCATCCCTTTGGACAACTTTGGTAACTAGGATTACGCTGCAAAGGTATATGTGTGTCCTTCACAAGTGATTTATTGTATTGATGGTTGTGATACTTAATTCCTTGTAAACGAGCCTTTAGTACGTAATATAATAGGATTTCTTGTCACAGTTAGGACGTGTGGAAAAATAGGAAAACTTTATATCTTGTTCTATATATAGAAGCATAGGTAGTGGTATATATGCATCTTAAATAGCCTATCTTCTCCGCATTTGATATTACAATAATAACACATTGTGAGAATTTGTCTGAGAGATTAAACATAATCACTACTTACTACTTTGAAGGGAGAAAGGGTGGTCTGGCTAAAAATTTGAGTTTGTATGCTGATATTGATTTTAATAAGAGCACACAAGTTCACTTAATTCTGCAGATATAGCGTGAGACGCGTCTGTGAATCTGTGGTCTCGATTTATCTTGTTTATGTGTTATATGGTTTAAGAAGCCGAGTTTTTTATTAGAAAGTTCATCACCATTTGTGAGGATGAATCCAGACGATGAAGATTCCTTCGGGATGGAATTATCTCAAACCTCTAAAAGTGAAGGGAATTTCTCCATCAGCCTCAACACAAGCGAGACAATCTTTACAGGGAGGGACGAAAACCTGGCCAAAGTTGAGATCGCAACGCTATCTCTAATTCTCATTTTTTGCATTTTTGGGAATGGCTTGATGTTGATCGCTCTCCGAAAGATTCTGGAATATAGGCCGATGTCACCCATGTATTTCTTCATGTGCGCAACCTATTATTTTCCTGGGATAAAATATTTGTATAGCTTTTAAATGTCCATGTTACTAAATTTTTAGGTTAAATTTGAGTATTGCCGATCTATTCGTAGCTTTTGGCAATGTCTTACCACAGGTATGTATATATGTATCTTTATTACTGTGTCTTTCCCAATTAATAAAAATCTTATCTTAACATAACAGATAGCATGGGACGTAACCTTCAGGTATAGGGTATAGTTTCTTTTCTTATATGCGATATTTGTAGATCACTACTGCTTTCACTTTCGGTTATACGGAACCGTACATTAATTAACTAAAATTAAATTACTTCAGGTTCAAAGGGACCGATTTACTTTGCCGTCTGGTTAAGTTTCTTCAAGTCTTTGTTCTCTATTTGTCCACAAATGTAGTGACTTCGATGGGTAAGCCTGTGTATTTGCATATGAATAGGTTGGAGCTACCTTATATGTTGATATAATTCAAATCCGAATATTTTATTTCAGCGATTGATCGTTATCTGGTTGTCTGTCACCACAACATTTCTTTGGGTCGCTACTACCGCAATCTCTTTGGGCCTAAAATTCTCGTCATTTCATCCTACGTTATCTCATTTATTTTAGCCAGCCCCCAGGCGTTCATCTTTAGCATGAAGGATATTAAGGTATGACACCAACGCATCCATCTTTCCTCCTGCTTACTTTCCTTGCCCTAATGCACTCTTTGTTTCTGTCATGTTTTACTTCCCGTCGTCACATGCATAGTCTTTCATTTCTTGTACATCTGTATTTCTTTGTTGTTTTGTATTCTGAGTGTGTCGAAAGAGCCACCAAAGTGAATTCAATAAGTTGTAATGGTGTGTAAAGTTGCAAACTTTCTCTTAATGCTTTTGTTTTACGCCGGGATTCTCTCGTTTTACCTGCATGTTGATGTTACTTTGTCGTCTACTTTCATCATGGCTTTACTGACTTTGAATTGAACAGGAGACACCTGGTCAGGTCATTTTGGACTGCTGGGTGAAATTTGAGGAGCCCTGGGGAGCCAAGGCATACGTCACTTTTTTTGTCACGTTTGCATTTGCAATCCCAATGCTAATCATTTGCTTTAGTTACGGTTGTATATGTTTCAAAGTCATCCGCTACCGACTACCACAAGAATCAAAATCAGAAATACGGTCAACGGACAAGGACCAACCTCCAATGTCATCCACCTCGAACAAAAGCGAGATCGACACACAAATTACACTCGAGATGAGGAATAAAAAGGTCTTACTTTGTTTGATTCTTTAAATAAATCTAATAAATAAATAGGTTATTCAATAGATGAATTTTCCATATAGAAATTACATAATAAATATAATATTTCAGTTTTATTCCACTTGGCACTTTTAAGGGCAGCAAGACTCGACGCCAGAGAAAAACATTTTAGGTTTTTTTAACATTGTTCGCATTAAATTTCACTCTTATGATTGATTACTATCTCTCTGTTACTGTCATATGGAAAAGACTTTCTCCCTCCCTCCCAGTAGCTCACATCTAAAATAGAAACGAATTCATCTGAGGTCGAGGAGAAAATCTCGTCTTACTCCAATCTGTTATAAGTAGACAATTTCGAACGTCTGTCACATAAGTATGTGGACATGATGGGGCAATAGGACTGCTCTAATCTTAGAAAAGAGTCTTACAAATTTTTCATGGCAGAATTAGTTCGACCTGCCAACGTAAACCCTTGAAATTAACTAGTACTTATATTCAAGTAAATATGTATATGCTTAATTTCATACAATATTTATTAGCTATACATTTAATACGATCTAAACATAGTATTCGATTGAATTTTTATCTCAACATGACAGAAATCATAAACATTCATGCATAATAGTAGCAAAAAGATTTGGCGAAAGCGTCCTTCAAGACGCACAAACTCAATTTATGTGATAAACCGTGCCCGTATACACGTACATAGGAGTTTGACATGTGATGAGACAATTTAAGCACAATCACAATTAGAGTGGCGAATGTTCTGATAAAAGTAGTAAAAAATCATTGAATGGAATTATGTAATTGTGTGGTGAATGGCGCAGGTTCAAAGGAATGCTCTTCAACATCAAATAAGTCAAGCAAAGATCAAAACTTTGAAGCTTACCCTGGCAGTGGTCGTCTGTTTCTTTGTGTGCTGGTGTCCATTTTGCGTAACACAACTGGCGACGGTATACAGCTCGCAGAGTAAGTTAACCTCAGCCCATTTTCAATCCAATCTTCAGTTCGTATTTTCTTTAAGAATTGATGCAAGTTTATTCTTAAAGATGAAAAAATTACTGCATGAAAGGAGTTAATCTATGTATGTATTACATAACACACATGAGCGCATATACATGTAAAGTCTTAGCACAATAGCTGTGTTGACGTTGAAATGTTCAAGAAAGATGCGATATTTAATTGATGAATATGATCTGCAAAACGAGTGGTTAGTTTCGTTAATTCAATTAGGCCTCCAATGTTTGATTTGTAACACAGTCATGTCCTTTTGTCCAATGCAAATCAAAATAAAAATAAATGTTTGAAGAGGCAATGATGTTTCAATCTAAAAATGTCTTATTCGTCATCTAATTTTGTTGAGTACTAATGGTTTATAATTTTCTCTACAATTAACAGATGTTGGGCCAGCACATGTCATTTTGCTGCTGCTTGCTAGCCTAAATTCATGCACTAATCCAATCCTATATCTGGCCTTTAGCGAATCGCTATGCAACCAACTTCGGGTATTTAAATTTCAACAACTTGTTGTTTTCTATCAACCAATGTCATTTTTACATGCTTAGAGTCTTGTATTTATATAGATTTTCCTGGGACTCGGTTTGAAGAGGGGGTCGAATGAAGATAGTATTGGAGACGAGGCGAGACCAGCATCGCAAGAGGGGATTGATCTTCCAAAAATGAACTTAATTCAAGAGGTTCCGTTTCATACATCCCTTGGAAGAAATTCTTCTCCTTTCGGACACTGTGGTGATAATAAACCAGAAACGAAATCAGATTTACTTTGAAGAGAGAAACGCTTGAACACAAATTCTACTCGAAACGAAAGCGAGAAAAAGGAGCACGTCAATCTGACCATCAGAATGTGTAAAAGAAGCAGTCGATGAGACGGTGTCTCAATTTCCCAGAGTACTAAGAATTCAATTCATTCAACCAACTTGTCAAAACCCCAGTCTAAAACACATTTTACCTTATATTTAAGCACATTTCGTGCTTTGTTTGTTTGAACCACAGGTTTAACTATGTACATGCATGTATTACGAAGTCGCATTTCTTTTTACCAACACACCTTTGTAAATACTCGTATCATGTTCAAAGAGCTAAAAAACCTTCTCTACCAGAATGTTTATATTTGTTGTTTGATATTCTACACTAACACTATTAATTATGGCTAAAATGTAAGTGGATGGAAATGACGAGATATAAATAATGTAACACAGTATGTAATTAATTATGTCATTGTAAACGTTCAAGATTCAACTCACAAATGGACGAAATCATGCATCCGATATTGTTATATTACAAACCGAATTATTATGATATAATATACCTCTGTGCTCTAATTACTATAATTCAAAACCTTGATGTCCTTGTAAGTTCTATGCTTAAATTGTTGTAGTTTGAAGTTCTCATGTATAATCTGTGTATAAAAAATAATAAAACATTAATCATGCATAAACGTTACTTTTGTGAATGATTTTTGGCACATTGAATGCAATAAAAAACGATATTTCAATGGTAGTGCTGCATACAGAAGCATCGCTTTTCTGCCTTAAATTTATGTAAATTGGTCCATTAAAATACTCTTGAGTTTTGCTTTCTCCAGGGTGATCTAATAAGTAGTTACTCTATGTATGTACATAGATGATCTAGAAGCCATGATCATGGTGCGTGGGCGGTGTTTCAATTTCAGAACGGTTGGTTCTCACAGAGACATATGTACATACACACATATGTTTTACTATGCTATAGGCATTTCATAGCCGATAACGAAGAAATAATCTTCCTAATACATAATATTCGTCCTGTGACGCTGAGCTTTTTGTGTTCCGTGATCATTTTATGTGAAACTGAATTATGTTGCTGCATGAAATTGATATCTCACTTTGAAGTAGGATTAGTTGATCTTCTCATCTTATTACTCGTTCCAGTGTCAGTTCAATTACTCATAGTCGTGTGTGACCTCCGATAAAATTGAAATAAGCAATCTCAACAAGTATGAAATTTCTAGTATAGTAATTGGATTATTTTATGGATCTCTAGTTTCTGCATTCTTTTAAACTCTCACTTTCAATATCGTACATATATATCTACTTAACCTGAACAGGGTTCGGAAAACCCCGGGGTTTTTCTAGAAAAACCCAACCCCTCGGGTTTTTCCGGGGTTTTTGGGGTTTTTGTGGGTTTTTGGGTTTTTGTGGGTTTTTGTAGATTTTGGGGCAGGTTGAACCAAAATTCTTTAAATTATATATTAGATAAAAAGTAATTTAATATACGATTTTGACATGCAATTTTAAGAGTTATCATTGAGTTGGACTGTTAAATCGAAAATTCATATTTCGCATGCAAACTTGGAAATATGCAATAAAACTTGGAAATTCAAGTCGCACATGAAAATTCTCAAAATTTCATGATGAATCCGTCAATTTAATTAGCATTGATTTAAGTTGTAGTTTAAGGGAGTTTGTTTCAATCTGTCCTAAAATCTTACAAAAACCCCGGAAAAACCCACAAAAACCCACAAAAACCCGCAAAAACCCCATTAAGCATTAGGGTTTTTCCGGAGATTTGATACCCCAAAAACCCACAAAAACCCCAAAAACCCCAACCCACAAAAACCCGGGGTAGCGAACCCTGAACATGAATTCACTTGTATTATACAAGTGCATACAGGTTAAGTTATGGTACGCGATATACAAGTTATATATTGCATACCATACTAGAAAATTACTTTGCAAGCTCTGGATACGGCACTTGTGTATTTATTAGCATCTATCTACATTGTTTGATACTAATCAGTATATATATAAGTATGTAGTTTATAAATATTATCAAAGTTAATTGACACTAATCTGTGGGAATTTTTATTAGTCTCCTACGGTCAATTTCTATATGCCCCTCCTCGTCCCCTTTAGTCAATGTTGGTGGACCGGTTTACATGTAACACTGATATCAGAATAAAACAATTTGTAACCCTAAAGTCGATTTGTAGATAGCTTAAATCTTAGGATAATTTCTAATATTGTCATTCAAAAATTATAGCGCATCGAGACAATGAAACAAACAATTATTGGGTATAATAACCATTAGCAAGTTTACAAATAATTTATCAAAGTCAAGTGATAAGTTCCTTCTCAACCTCTGATTACTCAACCCGTCCTTTCCCTTATAATACTCGTTTCTTATCCAAAATAAACAACTCTTTAATTACACATACGCACTGCGTGTTTAAAAATCACTTGACAAAAACCCTACAATTTTTGCTCCGAGACAAGTCTCAACCTGACACCCATTCGCTTGATATTCGCTTGACTCCGCGCGCACAAAACGTTTTTGTATTCTACTGTAAGTTGCATCACTGCATCTATTCTCTACCACACTAACGAACGAGCGAGCAAAATAGACCTCTCTCTACATATTGATCCGGACATTATTTTTTCACTAAATTTCATAGAACTATTTACTGATTTCTTTGAAGTCGGACAATTCCAGCTTAACTAGTCTGATATAAAACAAATACTTCAACTATTTAACTAACATGCCTCCTAAAAAAGCCTCTTCGAAAAAGAAGGAACCATCAAAACCAAAAGATGGGCGTTTGCAGCCACGGATAACAACTTTCTTTCAGGCGTCTATTCCGGCTCCAATATCCCGACAGGTATTTTGTAATATATCTCTTCTACGTTGAACCGCCCAGTTATATAATACATCTAACATGAACTCATTGCTATTGCAGTCAAATGCTGCACACGATCATCGTATTGAGGTGAATCATTCTGGAACGAGTAGGTCACTTGAAACCATGGACATCCCAAGCGACGACCACGACGACCGACAGGAGAATCAGGAAGGTCCATCCACTTCCAAGATGTCGCGCCTGTCGACTTCTCCGAGACAAGCGCTTGGTAATTTAACAAATGCTCAACAACAAGAACAACTACAACCCCGACCCTTAAATGCTCGTGACTCCATTGCTCAAGACGATTTCCGAAATGCACAAAGTAATTAAAATTATATATCTCATACACACGTTGATTCATTTTCAAAAATAAACGGATTAATAAACTTTTCAATATATTTACAGATCTGCTGGCAATTTTGGAAATTATTATCAAGGGCGGCCCCACGAGCCGACCCTCAACTCTAATCTCACCTGCCCAGGAATCCCATCTGGCGAGCTTTGGCCTACTGCCAGCCAATGTCACGCAGGCCCACACATTTAGAGATTGGCTCCACGAATTCGAACGGGTATACGAGGAGGGGAGGCTCGCCATCCCGTTGGCTAAATTTAATTTCCAACAGCCTAATCCGACGGCAACTGAGGAGGAGGAGAAACATGCTGATCCCGGGATTCTGGATGATCTTATCAGAGGTAGAAATTCTTAATTAAATCATCAAGAAATCATTTTCCTAATCCATAAATTTCCTTCTTCATTCATACAGCACGATCAGCAGATCCCATCCTGGTCCAAATCATGGCCATTGCCTCCCACTACGCGGGCAACGACGACCACAAGGGACCAGTTTCATTGGGCGACCAACTAAAACTGGCCAACGCTGGGAGCACCATGCTCCCCACAACGGGCGAACACGTGGCGCTATTTCAATCCTGGGCAATGGACTGGATTACTGAGGGGAGACCAAACTCAACCCTCAACGACTACTTGTGGTTCAGGAGGGAGATGGTGGATTCAGCCACGTCAAGCGACATGCTTAGCGTCGAACAATTCCAAAGTACAGGTGGGATGCCTATTATACATTTCGTAACTTGATAGGATCACGTATGTATATATATATATATTCTCACACTCAGACCCAGCGTTGGAGGGAGCTAGGAATTCGTCTCCTTTGCCAGTCATCTCCTTTATGTCCATCAGTGCTGAGGAGAATTTGGGACAAAGCGATGAGATCGCAGAAAACTTCGATCCATTTTACCATGACAATGGTGACGATGACACATTCAATGAAGACCACTATGACAGTGGTGATGAGCAAGACCCAGAGAATGACGAGGAGGACAAAACTGCTCAATCTGTTGATGGCAAGCGAAACCACGAGGGATCCTGGACGGACGAGCAAGTGGAATCGTTTTTAGAGCTAACGAAAGAAATTCTTGTCAAGCAAAATATTTGGTCACAGGAAATCAAATCAGGCTTAATAATAAAGCTAAGCAAAAAGCGTAATATACAAATGACTTGTGATAAATCACTCAGTCCAGAGGATGTGCAGAAAATTCATAAGTTTGATCTGAATTTTGAACCTACAACAATGCGACATATTGTTTTTCTCTACAGCGCCTGTCTAGTTTGGCTCAAGACACTCCAACCAAGTCCATCAAAAACTGGATACAAGATATACAAAAATCAAACAAATTCATTCTTCGGGTATTTGGGCTACCGATACAATGGTTCATGCCCCGGAAAACCTACGATGAAACGTGTCGGTTATTTAAAAGCCCCGAAATCGACAATGGAACTTACAGAAGAAATTATAAACAAGTGGATTTGTAAGTACATCGGCATATATTTATTTTTATGTGACTAATTGGTATTATACAAAATAATAATAACTAATAATATTTCCAGTAAATATTCAACAAGAAACAGCTCCCTCCACATCTGCCCCCTCGAGAAATGGGGCACAATCCAGCAACACCACGTACCAACTCCCAAATGACATGAGATTCAAAGAACTTCGGAATTTGCAAGAAATTAAACCATCATCACCACCCTCCAAAACCACTCGACGATCCAGAAATCAGTGCATGATTGCACAACTCAAGATGTTGTTGAGATTCAAAGGAGAAGACAAGGACTTTAAGCATTCCCATATCATGCAAAAGTTCCACAATTCTGGATATTGCATGCCATTTGAATACGGAAATAAGAAGCATTCTGTCGACTTTGTCAAGGGATATCTTCGCTGCTGGACCACAAATGAAAAGATGGTGTACACCTGCCGTCAAAAAAAATGCCTTGCCACTATTTCCACGAATGCGGAACATTGTCATCGTCACAGCGGCAAGTTTTCAATACTCTTCATCCAACATAATCAGATTCGAAATTTGTTCGCATGGATCAATGGGGCAAACACTGTGAATACCAAGCCAGGCTCCTTCAACTTGAGACATGTCGGGACATATCAGTGTCAGGACTTTTAACGGCAAGAAAGTGTCAATAGCTCCTGACGAATGGGAAATAATTTCAAAGTTTTCAGCAAACAGCCATGATGAATGTCTACGAATTCAGCACACAGGGTTGTTTGTCACCTCTCTGCTGTTCTCACTCAAAAACAGTAGAACTGGTCAACTCAAAGATAAACTATGGTTATTCAATAGATGCTGTGAAATGACTCATCTTGACCTCGACACGGCAAATAAGCTTCTAAAACCCAACCACTGTGACATGTCCCTTGGCGATCCATCCCCCTTCAAAGACGCAGAATGGCTATTGGAGGATTTAGATAAAGAGGAATATACCCCAGACCGTGTTTCCACCGGACACTACATCGTGTACCTCCGATTTGGCTTTCCAGGGTACTTCTACGGAGGCAAGAATACCGTTAACGACTCTTTGCATCCCAACATAATCAGATTCGAAATTTGTTCGCATGGATCAATGGGGCAAACACTGTGAATACCAAGCCAGGCTCCTTCAACTTGAGGCATCACACGACAAGTGTTTACAGGACTTTCAAAGGGACTAAAGTGTCCCTAGATTGTGACGAATGGGAGATAATTTCCAAGTTTGCAACGACGAGCCATGAACAATGTCTAAAAATCCAGCACACGGGACTATTTGTCACCCTTCTGCTTTTCTCATTCAACAACAGTAGAACTAGTCAAACTCAAGAGAAACTCTGGTTGTTGAATAACCGCTCCGAAATGACTCATCTTGACCTCGACACGGCAAATAAGCTTCTAAAAGCCAACAACTGTCACGTGTCCCTTTGCGATCCATCCACCCTTAGAAATGCAGAGTGGTTCCAGGATGTAGATAAACAAGAATATACCCCAGACCGTGTTTCCACCGGACACTACATTGTATACCTCCGATTTGGCTCTCCAGGGTACCTTTACGCAGGCAAGAATACGGTTCAACACAAGTTGCACCCTACTTGTCCCTACCTTCGAAGTAGACACCACTCCTCCTACAAAGGCCTTCCCGTTTTTGTAATCCAAGGTTCCCCAGACGATATACCCGAACCCAAGGGGCGAAACAGTCGAGTAATGGCGTTGAACGAGTCTGTGCTTCAATCTGCAATCATGACGTGTGAACTGTTGAGGGCAGATATCAGTGGATTCCCTGTCAAAAGAGACTTTGTCGACTTTCAGCTGAGTCAAAACTGGAACCCAGAAGGTTTTGACCGGTTCAAGAGACAAATTGAGACGTTGTCAGGCCGTAAAGTAGTAATTAGTTACAATTTTCAGATTGACCAGCTGGAGCTAGTACATTTGAATTGTTTAGCTGGAATTAGACAAGGATTTCGTTTGATTTATTGATTTGTTTAATATTCTATTGATTGTATGTTAAAAGCTTTGACCTTTAACCCAGCTTAAGTAGACAATTAATTTTTTGAGAGTTACATAGAGCTACTATCAATTTGAGAGCATTAATTATGACTGTTTATTGCGAAATCTACCTGGTCTGGTATACGCAATTCAAAATAATCACATCCTCACAATTATTTACACTACACATATGTACACATGCTGCGAGATAAATGAAGATGTATATTTTATTCATTGCAGTATGAATTGAATTAACAGAGCAAATATTACTAGATTTTATCAGTATCATAATTATAACATAAATAAATTCTTGAAAAAACTTAGGTGAGGCTTGTTTAAAAGAGTAAAAAAGATGTTATCGTCGTGTACTAAAATAATATGCTAAATCAATATTAATCTCGCGATTTATAATGTTGGGTAAATAAAACAGAAAATTACATGTGTTTGGACTATTTGCCTATTCATCATATGCATTACATATGACGAATTCCCTCAGATGTGTCAATGCGTTGCGTACACCCTTGGAAGCGTATGGACAATGTCCCCAGCATCTTCCCGTGTAACGTGAACCTCTCCCTCCTCTATCCTACAATGTCTCCCATAGCTTCAGCGGCAACTAGCATACACTGTATGTAGAAATCTGATATAGTAACGCAATTATTGATTTCTCGGTATTAAAGTTGGATTATACAACTTGGATTGTACCAGCTCCTAAATTTTGTTATTTAGGTATTACTAAAATGTGTTGCTTATCAATACTAGTTTTAAACAGTTGTGTACGAATATCGTATAATTTTAATACCGGATTTCTAAGAATGTACCAAATTAATTTCTGGTTTTGGGGTGGACACATGGTGATGAATATGCATCAATATCATACTGTATATACGCATATTCTCCAGACACATGTATGTACCAAATTTTGTCGAAATCGGTCGACTTGTTCCAAAGTTATCGAAAGACAGACAGACAGACATGACAATTAAATTAGCCCTACTTCGGGATGCACAAATATGCTAATTGCACGGTGGGGCTCTACACTTGTTGGGCCGCGAGTCACTTTTGGAATGAAATGGTACACTATCAATAATTTTGTTTTGCAAAATTGTTACCGGCGGAGATACTATACAACTCTACCGCGTGGTAACACTATAGTAACAAATTGTCTTCTGAGGGTAAGAAATTGCCTCGGGAATCGGTGATATTTTTATTACCTGAGCGTTGATATTCGGGGCTGCGCAGGATTTAGCCTCTGTATATATGCTACCCTTCGGTGATGCATTATTACCCGAGCGGCAGAATTGCATAGTACCTCCGCCGGTAACAATATCGTCAAAAAATTATTGAGAGTATACTCTCCTTAACAGATACGGGATTAGTGTTCCCAGAATTCAAGATTCAACTGTTAAAATCCAGATATCCTTTACATTTCGACTTTATATCCACATTAGACAATTATGATAAACTGTTTTTGAATATTCAGCATCAACAACCCCACCTGGTCCAATTCCAGTTTAATCCATCATCCTCAGGATTGGTCGTTTCATGCGGCACATAAATTTGGTTATAAGCCATGGTTTCGGCTAAATATGTACAGATTAGATTAGCTGCCAATAAATTACCAAGCTACGATGTTTAATTATTCGAAAAACTGCATAAATCGAGGGGATTAAAATATTAAAATTTAATTACCGATGCAATGCTAAACCCGCAATGAAATTTTCACAGAATGTATTACATATATTAGCAACGATATTTTCAAATTTTGGAGAAAATCTAGTAGGTCGATCGTAGTGCCATAGTTGTGGTAATTCGATACAAATTCAGTAACTGAAATTTAAAAATTTAATTACTGGAGTCGTATGTAACTCGCGTACTTGAAATTTTTACACAATGCAATATATCGATTAACAATATTTTCAGGTTGTTGAGAAAATCGGGTAGGTCGACAGTAGTGACAATTCGATGAAAATTCAGTTCGAAAAATATAAAAATTTAATACGTTGTTTTTGTTCTTTTGCGCCTTTATTTTTACTCTTTCATTATTTTATGATATGAGCTGATTAATTTGGCAGTAACCCTGTTCAAAATTAACTAGATGCTCATTTACTTAATTTATATTTGCAACGTCATAAACCGTTATGATTTGTTATTAATTTGCAAAGAAAAAATACTGTATGTACACATCCAGTACAAAACAGACCGACGGTGATGCCAAAATTACCCAACCTACCCAAAAAATATTTTATTTATTCCTTGTTGTTCCACACGCCTCACTAAGATTTCCCGTTTTTTTGGGATGTATTTATTTAATCCTTGTTATTGGGGCAATAAATGTCGCATCAAAATATTTTTCAGAAACGAGGAATTTTATTGCAATTTAGGTAGTTTAATTAACGGCGGTTACAATTTCCCGAAACTTCAAAATACAAATTTGTTATCGTTTTTCTATTTTTTCCACCATAAGCTCAAATGTCGGGGCAACCTGAGACATTTGGCGCTATATGTGGAACATATAGTATGTTGTCAGGCACTCTTATGGGAAATGTCGGGGGCTCGTACAAAAAAACGGTTGGGCGTAAAGAGATGCCGTAAAGTGCATTAGATGCCTCTCGAAAAGTTTTAAAATGACTTTTTTCTAATTCATGGTATCTTGAACCATTTTCAAGAAATTCAATAAAAACCGATTTTTCGGTTTCGAAATCATAAATGTTTCGCTGAATGAATTGGGTGCATAACACAAAGTTGTATGTAATAGCAAATATGTTCATAACCGCATTATCTATAATATTTACTCGAAAATTTTTTCGAAATAATGCTAGGTACAGGCGGTAAGTTCAAATTTCCGAAAAATTTTGCAATTTCGGCTACCAATTTCTCCACTGAGCTACAGCCTAGACGATACATTTTGGTAACCTAAACTAAACGGGATCGTATTGGGGAAGGTCCCGGCTAGTGCCCTCGACTGATTGACTTTTTCGAAATAAGCCTTGGTTTTTAAGATATGGCGCGATTTCTAAAATTAAAATCCATAACTCATATTTGGTATGAAAAAATAGAAATTTTCAGCGGTTTTGCCGCATAGCTTGTTTGCATAAGCAAGCACGCACCCAATTTTTACAAGTTATACAAATAGGATATTCTACGATCCACTTCAACAAATCTTCAAATTCAGAATCCCGCATTCCAATTTTCATCAAGCGGAGCCGGTAAAGATCTTCGTCCTCATCACAAGGAGATGCATTTTTCTTAAGCGTTAGGATATTCTTCTCGTTTAAACCAATCATGCGTAGACCACCAGAAGACTTGAGACGGCTTAAGGCGACGTATGACATGGCCTTAGCAAACTGTCTTTTGGATAAATCAATGCTAGCGAAATGAATTGTTAGTCCTTGACACTTGTGAAAAACGAGAGCCCAGCAGAGAACAATGGCAAATGCTCTTCGTTTAATTAGAGTTTTCCGATTTCCTGGATTCAAATTTGTTGATAGTCTTGATAGATATGTATATATTTAGCATTTATTCAAGATGCAAGAAACCATACCAGGAAACTCGAAGGTCGAACATTCCACTCCTACAAATCCGTTGATATCTTTTTTACGCCCTCCCATATTCCCGTCAAATCAAACAATCCGGTAGGTCACCTGGCTGCAATGGCTCATCCCTAAGTGCAGTCCACTTTATTCCCACCACCGTTCCAACACTGCCATTGACTAAACCTGCAGTTAAGAATTAAATGCTCCACCAACTTATCATGAACATGCTGGTAAACAACAGTTACCATCAGATAAACTCCAATTTCGCCTTAGCATGATCCGACTTCCTATGCCAATTTCGATATTTGTTGGTATCCCAGCAGTCAGCCTTTCTTCCCTTGGAATCAATCGTTCAGGGCATGGCTCATCATAATGCAGTCCTGCAGCATATGTGTCCTTTGCTCGGATTGTATAAGTTTTCTTGTTAACTTTTGCCAATTCCTGCTTTAGAGCTTCTGTTCTTTCAGCGTTAAATTTGTTAACATCGGCCGTGTTTGGGAAGAGTGCAAGTGCGTCAGAAAACCGTGTAAACAGCTCAGAATCCTCTGCATCATTACAATCAAAAATTCGGGACTGCAGAAGACTTAAATCGTCTTTAGTGCACTGGCCAAATCTAAGTCGCTCCAAAAGTTCCAGGTACCGCGTATCACCCGTTTGACGATGATTTGTGTACAATTCGTAAAACTTAAAGAGCTTCCACAGATTTACCTCATGTAGGTAACTTGCAGGTGGTTTAAATATCCAGGAAGCATTGATTGGTCGGAACTGCATTAAATCTCCCAGCACAAGGACATTTAATCCACCAAAAGCCCCTTCGTTGTTTGTAATTTCGCAAAGACGTAAATGGATAGTACGTAAATTTTGGTATGAGACCATGGATATTTCATCGATTATCACCCACTTTACATGCTTTAAGGCTGCTCGTAACTCTTCAACTTGTTGACTTTTGAGTGGGGTGTATGCTGGAATAAATCCTCGTTGAACAGGAAGTTTGAAGGCTCTGTGAATTGTTGTCGCATTGATGTTAAGGGCGCTCATACCGGTGGGTGCTGCTTTCAGGAGGAGATTGTTCCCATTTAAGGAATAAGAAGCAATTAAAAATGCAATGGTGTCGATCAAATAACTTTTTCCTGTGCCCCCGGATCCAGAGATGAATCCCAAGAGCTGCTCATGTTCAATTTCATCTAGTGTACTCTTCACCTTGAGGAAAACTTCTTTCTGCTCCTCAGACAAAGTTCGGAAACGGTCACGCAAATTGCCTATATCATTCAATGGTTGAAATAGTTCTTGTGCGTCAGGCATGTTTTCTCCATCTTCTTCTAGATCGCATCCATAATTTTCTCCTTCGATCACAGGTGTAAGCGGGTCTTCAAAGTTTTGTATCCGGATCAAGGCTCTGTCAATTTCTTGCATCAGGTTAGGACGTAAAAAAGTCGCGTGAGACGAATTTCTGAATTGAGAACTCTTTTCTTTAAAGGCGTCAATTATTGTCGGAAATCCACTGGTGATCTCTTCCTCATTTGAAAATGGATAATACAGAAGCAGCAAGCAGTAGTAGTATTCGTCAGGTTGACTTAGAGCATCAAAATTAGGGTATTTAACAATAGCTGGTTTTTCTCTCACTTTCATTAATGTGCCATTGGTTAGACGGATATTTTGGGATGTAAATTGTTCACGTTTCACCTCATCGTCATCGTCTAGATCTTCTTCACTCGTATCTTTCTTAACAGCGGCATATGTAGCAGCAAACTCAAGCAAACAAATATCAGCTAATTCTCTAGGTCTTATACAGTATTTCTCGATTATGCTTAATCCCATCTTTACGTTTGCGTTCCCAATTGTTTCTTTTTGAATTAAATGGAGTCTTTTGCTTGGTAAATATGCTGGAACAAAAACGAATCCTCGTGAACTGTGTCTAAGTTTGAGGTGGCACAAACGATAGGCAGCTTCGGGTGCACTAACTTGTCTTCTGTTCATTATTTCCATAGCGATGTTTGTTGCCATTTGATAATAGGATGCCCTTGAGTTGGATTGCATTTGTTGGACAATTCTCTGGATTTCATCTTGAATATCGGTGGGCTCAGCTTTACTAATATATTTCGCAATGTAGTAGGCGATTACATTTGCATCTGTAACAAATTGTATGTCCATGTTGCACTTTAATATTTTCAAAAGAGTTGGGTGGTAGTTGTTAATGTAGGTTTCATGTTCATCTCGCTTCAGAACATAAAATCGGCCTTTGTTCCGGTTAATGTCGTCTTCGTCCAGGATTATTGTTTCTTTTGACACTTTCCTTAGAAAATCAAAACGACAGAACTGTGTACGCGGAAAGCATGTTTTTGTATGCTTATGCTGCTGATACTTGAGGACGAGAGATTTGAGTTCTTCATCATCTTCTGGAATTCTGCACGACATATTTGAATCGATAAGAATTTTGCCTTCAACTGAGCTGTAATTAGTTGGAGCGTCTTTGAGCCAAAGTAGCATGTGAAGATGAGCCGAGCCTCTATTTTGAAACTCTATTCGATAGCTGAAATCGTCAACTTCATGGCCAAAAATTTCTTTGCCGCATTTCCTAAGAAGAGTTATGAAATTGTTTATTCGATGGTTGAAGTGCCTCGCAGCTTGTACAGGATGACGATTTAACAGATCTGACTTTTTTTCATAACTAAAGATTTTCAACGTGCTCTTTATTTCTTCGTAATTTTTGGATTTTATTTGTTGGCGTAGCCGTGTGAGGATTTCATTGTCACCATTCCCACGCATCGCATCGGCAAACAGCAGCCCACAAAGAGAATCGGTCGAATTAAGATCATCTGAGGATACGGTTAGAAAAATGGTTGGTATTCCTCGCTGCGCAATCATTGCAATCAGGTCCCCCGTGTAACTTTTCCAGTAGGACGCACTCCCTCGAATAGCAGACATATAGAGATGAACATTGGTCAATCCAGGATATTCAGCTTGGTTTTCGCCATTTTGGTTGATTGTTTGCATTTGTCCACATATCGCTATTTTGTTTTTAACTTTAATCTCTTCCATCCTATTTAAGGCATAAAATAGATAGCTGTTCTCCCAGAATCGAGTATCATTTGACATAATTCTGGCTTGAAAGTAATCCAAGGCTGTAATATGAACAGGTCGGATAGTAGTCAATCCGCCGCGGCCTGTGTTTTACACGGAAATATGAATGGATCCTTCATTTGGGGTCCTAGTAGATTCTGAAAAACATAGTGGGTACCCTGGACTCAAACGACATTTCGTGAGTGTCCCTTGTCAGTGTAATATGACACAAAATTAGATACCCATGCAACAATTTATTCCAGGTCAATATACTCTGCAAGAATCAAATTTCAAACAAAGCAATTGCACTATGTCGGACAACCTATGTCGAGAAATACTTACTCATTTTCACACACAGGAAAATCAACACCAAGTTGACAACATGCCGATACAAAAGGTGTCCAGACATAGTTTGCACAAATTCAAAATTTAATTATGCGATGGTTTTTTTGTGGTGGAGATTTCTAACGTTTTTTATATGAAAGCCCATGTCTCAAACTATAGGTGAACATATCCGGTTGTGTGCACTCTGGGACATGAGGCAAGATCAAATTTGCCAGGGTGTCCTTTTTTAGTTTTCCAAACCAGTGTTCTTATAAAACGGCGTTGAACGAAAGATTTTTTTCTGCCGTCCTGATGCAAAAATCGTCTTTGCGACTATTATGAAGGGACTTAGCATGCTTTTCACTATATAAAACCAATTTTATCTCATGCTTATCTTTTAAGTCCGTATTGTAGTCTAAATTTAAATTTGCCCAAATGAAATGCGCTCTTTAACGCAACTCTTCCACTTTTAAGGCCCCCACATTTTACGACTTTGATGCTAAAAATCCCTAACGCTGTTTTTATCCAAGGAACGTATAGTATATTCAATTGTAAATACTTTTGACAAAATTTTGATAAGTGGTTACACCCCACGAAACGAGTTTTCATCAAACCCTATAAAATTGTTGGAAAAGTTCCCGTCGTTATCGGGGTCGAACTTCAGAAATAGTTTGACTGGCCAAAACGCATTTATTTTATTATTTTGTCACTTGTACCTTGTAGGGGAAATAGTTCTGCGACAGGGGACACAAAAAAGTTATCAAAATTTATTTTCAACAATATTTGACCATTAATTTTCCAAATTAGTTTACGCGTTTTTCAAGATTCCGCGTCAGCTGATTAGCTCGGGTCCTTCTCCAAAACTGGTTACCCAAAATGTTGACTGTTTCACTAAATATTACTTAGGGCACTTCCAGCTTTATCCTCTATCTTCATTTGACCCAGTGGGTCCGCTTTCAAGGTCAGCAGGTCAATTTTCCCGTGCAAGCTCCGATTGATCGCTTTTTGAGGCAAAATATTAGCGATGTTGGAGGGCCCACATAATTTAATTCATTACGGATTCTTTCATTATTAGATACAATAATTATCTGGGGTTATAACAATAGCAATTTTCGACCTCTGACCTCTTTGGTTATCAAGCCATATGAGCAATTAAGTTTGGAAAGTGTGGTTTTGGCACCTTCCCACTCTAGGGGCACTGGAGGGGGCATTTGTGAAGCTATCGCCCTAAAATTTTAAAGATATCTTTTTGAGAGTATTATCTTGTAGTCTACCAAAAATCAGGTCAAGATTCAACTCCTCGCCAGGGATATTTAATTGAGAATTTGTGCAAAATATGTCTAGACGCCTTTTGTATGTGACTACTAGTCAATTAATTTTTTACCAAGGTCTATAGAATCTAACTTGCAAATTTCTGAATAAATTTCCTCTCAAACTGATCATTTAAAACATCTTTTCCCGTATAATATGCGCTACTCATCCCAACTCCATATCTGTTTTCATTACATATGTACATTGAGCTTGAAAATGAGTGAACACAAAATGTCGATGTTTTGATATTGTACCTGCGCACAAAACGTTTTTTTCTGTGAGCGGGCTCCTTCCACCACTCCCAGCACTCTCTCCCACAGTCACGAGGGAGCAGAGCAGACCTCTCTCAATATATTTCTCCAGAAATTATAATTTTTTTTACGAAATTTCATAGAAATAATTAATTATTTGTTTGGAATTAGACAATATTGGCTCAAATAATTTGATATAAAGACAGGACTTGCACTATGCCTCCTAAAAAATCCAATTCGAAAAAAAGCAACAACCAAGACCTAAAATAACTAAAGATGGTCGTTTACTGCAAAAAATTACAAAGTTCTTCAAACCAACCCCTCCCGCTTCTACACAACCAGCTACAGTTTCACGACAGGTAACAACAATGTATGTGTACATTTTTTCAATTTATTCTAATCAATTCAGTAATAAATCTGAATTTAATTAATTCTGTTGCAGTCCTCGAATGCAGGACTTGATTCTGTTGAGGTGAATCAATCTGGGACGAGTAGGTCACTCGAAACCATGGACATCACAAGCGACGACCACGACCAGCAGGAATATCAGGGAGGTCCATCTACTTCCAAGCGATCGCGCTTCTCGACTCGTCCGAGACTAGCGCTTGGAAATTTGATAAATGCTCAACCAAAACCTCGTTTGTTCAATGCTCGTGACTCAATTGGCGACTTAACAACTGCACAGAGTAATTTAAGTTATAAAAAGATATATTTTCATAAATATACAAATTAATCAACTAATAGCGGATGTAGGAAATGCAAAGAGTAATGTAAATCTGATGCATATATCTGTATATGTGGATGCATTTTTATAAATAAACAAATTAAAGGTAAATTTGCAATATTTACAGAATTACTGGCAAGTTTAGAAGTAATTATAGAGGGCGACCCCACGAGTCGGCCCTCAACTCTAATCTCACCCGCCCAGGAATCCCATCTAGCGAAGTTTGGCCTGTTGCCAGTCAATGTCGCGCAGGCCAAGAAATTCAGAGACTGGCTGAACGAGTTCGAACGGGTATATGAGGAGCAGAGGTCCACCCGCCCATTGGCTAAATTTAATTTCCAACAGACTAATCCGATGGCTACCCAGGAGGTCGTGGAGGACGAGGGGAAACCTGCTGCTCCCGAGATTTCAGGTGAACTCATAAGAGGGGCTATTAAGCTTTACATCATGACGAAATAATAGTGAGGTTGAGCGAGAGTACATGATTGTAAAAAAATTATGGTAGTCTAGAATCACAATCTAGGATAGTATATTCTTGAGGTTGAGCTACAATATTTTGTGGGAGGATTATAATTATCATTCATTTCCGGCGGCAGATTTGAAATTCCTGTAAGCTGGGTATATGAGTACAATACAATGATACCCAGAGACGGAGATTTGTAACCCTGAGTTTGACTAGAGATCTAACTAATTTTGAATTTCCCACTGTGTTTACAATCGCAAAATACAATCATGTACTCTTGCGTAACCTCTCTAATGTTGCCAAATCATAAATGTATTAATTCCCTTATTCATTTATGCAGCACGTCGTGGAGATCCCATCCTGGTTCTAATCATGGCCATCGCCTCCCACCACGCGGGCAACGACGACCCCAAGGGACCAGTTTCATTGGGCGACCAACTAAAATTAGCCAACGCTGGGAGCACCATCATCCCCACAACGGGCGAACACGTGGCACTGTTTCAATCCTGGGCAACGGACTGGATTACTGAGGGGAGACCAAACTCAACCCTTAATGACTACTTGTGGTTCAGGAGGGAGATGGTGGATTCAGCCACGTCAAGCGACATGCTTAGCGTCGAACAATTCCAAAGTACAAATGGTGGGATGCCTATTATACATTTCGTAACTTGATGGGATCACGTATGTATATATATATATATATATTCTCACACTCAGACGCGGCGTTGGAGGGAGCTAGGAATTCGTCTCCTTTGCCAGTCATCTCCTTTATGTCCATCAGTGCTGAGGAGAATTTGGGACAAAGCGATGAGATCGCAGAAAACTTCGATCCATTTTACCATGACAATGGTGACGATGACACATTCAATGAAGACCACTATGACAGTGGTGATGAGCAAGACCCAGAGAATGACGAGGAGCATAAAACAGCTGAAGACATTGCTCAAACTGCTGATGACAGTCCGAAACATAAAGGTGTCTGGACCGACGAGCAAGTGGAATTGTTAACGAAAGAAATTCTTACCAGACAAAATACATGGTCACAGGAAATTAAGTCAGGCTTAATAATAAAGCTTAGCAATAAGAAGCATATCCAAAGGACGTGATAAATCACTAGCTCAACCTGACTTACAGAAATTTCAAAAGTTTAATCTGCATTTGGAACCAATAACGATACGACACGTCGTACTTCTCTATAACGCCAATGTGGACTGGATTTACTCACTCCTGTCAAGTCCAGAAAAACCTGGATGCAAGATATATCAAAATCGGACACACTCGTTCATTGGATATTTGGGGTACCGTAACAATAAGACCCGCTTCAACATGAAACGTGTCGAATATTTAAACATTCCCAAATCGAAGACCCAACTAACGGTAGTAATCGTAGACGAATGGTCATGTATGTAAATCAACATAAATTTTTTGCTTGGACTGATATAACTAATAATAAAGACCAATCATTATTTGCAGCACAAATCCAACACAAAACTACACCATCTACATCTGCCCCTGCGATAAATGTTCCACAATCCCGCAACGCCACGCATCAACTTCCAAATGACATGAGATTCAGAAAACTGTGGAATTTGCACGAAACGAAGCCCTTTTCACCACCCTGCAAACCTTTATCCAGACATCAGACCATGATTGTCCAACTCAAGAGAATGTTACGATTGACGGGGAAGACAAGGACTTTAAACAATCCGAAATCATGCAACAGTTCCTTGATTCTGGATACTTCATGATGTTTGAGTACGGAAATAAGAAGCTTTCTGTGGACTTTGTCAAAGGATATCTTCGCTGTTGGGGAACATGTCAAACCATGACATACAGTTGCTATCATAAAGAATGCCTCGCACCGAGTAACTCAAATTCGAGTACCACAAATGGGCAATATTGTGTTCGTCATAGCAATAAGTTTTCCGTACTCTTGATCAGAAACACTAAAACTCGAAACTTGTTCGCATGGATCAGCGGGACGAACACTGTGAGCATCAAACCAGGTTCCTTCAACTTAAGACTAGCCGGGACATTTCTGCATAGGACTTTCAACGGACGGAGAGTGACCCTAGATTCTGACGAATGGGAGATGATTTCCAAATTTTCGGCAACAAGTTATGACCAATGTCTAGGAATTAAGCAAACCGGGTTGTTTGTCACCTCACTGTTGTTCTCACTCAAAAATAGTAGAACTAGTCAAATTCAAGAAAGACTCTGGCTGTTCAACAAATTCCCCAAAGTGAGTCACCTCGACCTGGACATGGCAATCCAACTGCTGAAAGCCAACAAATGTGAAATCTCCCTTGGGGATCCATCCCCCCGGCGAAATGCCGAGTGGTTCCTGGGGGATGTAGATGAAAAATATACTCCAGACCGTGTCTCTACAGGTCACTACATTGTGTACCTCCGGTTTGGCTTACCAGGCTATCTATACGGAGGAAAGCATACCGTTATTGACAAGCAGCATCCCAAATGTCCCTATATCCCAAATAGGCACCACCGTTCCTACAAAGGACTTCCTGTCTTTGTAATCCAAGGTTCCTCAGAAGATAAACCAGAAGTCATGGCACGGAACAATCGGATTATGGAACTGAATGAGTCTGTGCTCCAATCGGCAATCATTACGTGTCAAATGTTGGGAGCTGACATAAGCGGATATCCAATAAAACGAGACTTTCTCATGTTCGACTTGCGTCAAAACTGGGATCAACAAGTTTTCGACCGGTTCAAGAGACAGATTGAGACTTTGTCAGGCCGTACAGTAGTAATTAACTACAATTTTGAAATAGATCAGTTGGATCTAGGGTGCTTGAATAATTTCGCTTGAATTGGGGAACGATTTTGTTTGATTTATTTGGTAAATTTTTTATTGTCTTTGTTTCTTCAAATGGTTTAATTAAACCTACGTTACTAATTTTTAGATAAATTCACGCAATTAGAATCTACTACATAACAGAGCATACCATACCGATATTAAACCTATGAGGCCATGACTCTAGAACCATCACCCTATCAAATGTCAAATTACTAGACCAATGTGTAGAAATTAATTTAATGCATAGGCATCTATTACAAGTATGTACATATAATCCAAATATTGGTCAATTTTTGTATTAAATAAACTAATGATTTCTTAAAAATTGTTGTTTTCTTTAGATTCTGCTTTAAATATTCTCCATTAAATAATTGACACCAAATAACACATGCATTTTCCATGTACATATGCGCATAGTATATGTATTCGCATTTTTACTCTCTTTCATCTAGCGCAAGAAGTTACTCAATCAACGCAAAGCTTAGTTTAAATAACTAGTAGTTATTAACTACGCATTCAACAATAAACTATCTATATTAGAAAGATCAATAGTTTGACTTATCATTTGTTTTTCAATTATTTCTAAATACATTGAAAATAAGGAGAATGTTTTAAAGATGAGTTGGAAGGAGAACATTTTGATGTGAAGTAAATTATCAAAAAAGTTGGGCAGGAGAGGCTTTCAAAGATAGAAATTTGCAAAGAGATGACCCAGTAGAGGAGGATTTGATTAATCAGTATGTATGAAATTACAATGTCTTAGATTTGCTGAACATGGATCGGATGAAGTTAATCTCAATAATCTCACCGTGGCACAAATTTATATAAGAAAGCAACTCTTCCCTTTGTCATTAAGCAGAGGACATCCACAGCGAAGTTACAAATACTTTTGTACAAGAGGGTCAATAAGCAAACCAATAAACCGAGATATGTATAATAAGCATATTTAAAAGTACAAATTGCATCCTAGATTTCGCGGACGAAAGAAAGTTAATTCAACCAACCCACAAATACTGAGTCCAGTGGGAAAAAAATTTAAATTCGTAATAGGGTAGACTTTTTAAAAGTACACATCAATCACTAAATAACACTAAAATACTACCCCAACCTACAAACACCGCATCCCGACCTCTTTAGATCGCAATCTAAACGTAACGATCACCATCTGCACCTATAAAACCAGCGAAACAGACAGATTAGCATAGGTATTTAATTTCAACCGATAACCCCCATTTCAACCGAAATTTCAACTGATAACCCCCAATAAATGCGGCATTTATAATTCCACCGCCTGAACGAAATATATAAAAATTAACGCAGTAAATTTGATATAAAAAACAACCTGCGACTTTCACCTTTTGAGATGCCTCATAAAAAGCTCATTCGAAAAAGAAGCAACCACCAAAACCCAAAAGCCAAAAGATGGTCGCTTGCTGCAACAAATTACTAAGTTTTTCAAATCCACTCCTCCCGCCTCTTCACATATTTTAGGTTTAAGGCATATACATATTCCGAGTGCTTTTTACATACAAATATTTGAAGAAATATTTCGAACATTTTTACCCCTACCCCCCGTTAAATCCATCATATGCTTCCTGCACAGCCCCTAATACATAGATAATATTCGTCATTGACGCTGAGCTTTTTGTGTTCCGTTATCCTTTCATAGGAAACTGAATTATGTTGCTGCATGAAATTTATAACTCACTTTGAACTTGGATTAGTTGATCTTCTCATCTTATTACTCACTCGTTCCAGTGTCAGTTCAATTACTCGTAGTCGTGTATGTACATCGAAGTGACCTCCGATAAAATTAAAATAAGCAATCTCAACAAGTATGAAATTTTACAAACCTGCAGTTTCTGCATTATTTTTAAATCTCACTTTCAATATCGTACATATCTACATATCTGTATGTACATACACGTATATTGTATGTAAATGTATAGCAGACTAGAAAATCGTTTTGCTAGTACCAATTTTGCCACGCAGTATAATATATTCAAAATTATATTAATTTACAGTGAATAATATCCATTTAGGTTACAGGCACGTTTTAACATGATGTTGCTCTATCACCTTCAATCCTTTTTAGCATTCACAAATGCAGTGCTAACGAAAGGATACAGCAAAATCTAGACATATCCAGAAATGTTTACATCCAAGTGGTTTTCATTAAGCATTTCAAGAAACTCTATACTTAGATTTTCAATTAATTTATTGTAAATCCAATTCATGCATAATGATTTAAATTATTTTCTTGGAATGCAACACTACTATAGTCTTCATGTTATGCAATCTTTGTAATGGGTATCAAATGTGTTTAATTTACATAAATGTAATAAGCCTAATCTATTTTTTATTATTTGCAATTAAACAGTAATACATTTAAATACTTAATGAAGTGCCATACTTTGGGACTCTACAGCCTCTAGACTAAAGGCTGTAGGTAGATTCGACTCCAGGATTATGCAAATGTGTTTGCTCATTGGAATGATTAGAAGGGGATGAATCATTTAGAACAATCACTTATCACATGTGGAAAACGACTTTGAACACAGAGACACAATGGGATATGCAATACGTCATTCAAAACTTAAATTCCTGGGTAGAAATTTGAGTAACTACACTATAAAGGATTGTGCATATAAATGTATATGTATATGGAAGAACCAAACAATATACATCTCTGTCGACAATGTATATCACTAAACTAACTGCTTATGCTTTTCAAGGTTTTACATTATCATAATAACAAAACAGTCATCTCATTAGATGCAAAATGCCAATTACTTTTGTCTTAGTTAAACTAATGTTGACTATGCAACATGCGTCAAATTAGCGTTATATATAGAATCCTTAACCGCTTAAACGATAATGTGAAAAATTGTGGAGACCCATCATCATACAATCGGCACAATGGAGGAACGAGACGAGAATACATTTAGTTTTCTAAAAGTAAAACCAAGTCATCAACAACGGTGACTGGAAATGATCTCCTTCTGTTAGTATTCTTGTGCATTCGTAGCTAACGTGCAAGCAGGGCAGGCGACAAACAGACAAGTGTCGACATTGTGCATTTTCCACTTCAACCTAATTGTCCGCCCTAATTGACCAACTTTCTTTTCTACCCACTTACGGAAACATCATGAAAACAGAACTGATTCATTCATACAGCACTGCTAGCCTTTCGGCACTGGCAAAATCTGACTCTTCTCTGAGTCTTAGTGCCGAATTTCATCCTGGAGGGTACTCCTCCAGTCCCCAACCACCTGAAACAAAGAGTTCGAATCTCGATTTGGCAAAAGCCGTGGCCAGAGAATGGTGGGTGAAAACTGCCCGACGGAAAACGGTACGACTGCAAAAGCTGAATAATGGCTTATGTGAAAGATGCCAGTGTATCCATGTATTGCAAATGAGCAAACTTAATAATTCCAGATTGAACGAAAGTTTCCCATGATACGTTGGCTCCCAAATTATTCGACCGACAAATTGGTGTCAGATATTGTTGCAGGGTTCACCGTAGGTCTTACCATTCTACCCCAGGGCTTAGCCTACGCTCAAGTGGCTGGCTTGTGAGTTTGATACTACTTGAAATTAGAATTTATCTATTGCATAGTGTACCATTTTTTATGTTTCCAGACCACCTCAGGTACAGTCCACTATTCAGTGAAGCAAGTCAAATAAATACTTGATTCGAGAAAATTTATGTTGCAGTATGGTCTTTATTCTGGTTTCGTTGGCTGTTTTGTCTACATTCTGCTTGGAGGAACGGCCGAGGTGACTATAGGTTTGTAAATACCTACTTTTTATAAAATTAAAGAATCCAATATTAATTTGAGTTCTTTTTAAAGGTCCCACCGCAATAATGAGCATCATAACTTATACATGTAAGTTACCTAATAATGAGGGATTTGTCAAGTTTATAAAGCTCGTGCTCGCAACGGGTCGGGTCCAGGCGGGACCCGGACCCAGTTTTAGAAACTGGCCTTAGGACCCGGTGCAAGGAGCCGACGGGTTTGGGTTTTTAAATTTATACAGACCTTGAAAAAACGGGGTTTGGACCGTCTCGAGCACTGCTATGTAACTACGTTTGGTTTGTAAGTTTACAAACGTTTGACGTGAGTTGAGTGCGTCTTAAAATTTCGCAAGGGCTTATGGAACCATCATGTCTGTCCGTTTTATGATTCTCGTCAAACTCATCCTATCGACTTGAAACTTGATATAGCATAGCATAGTATGTTATTCCATGTTTGATACACATTTACCATGAGGCAAAAGAGGAGCTAAGTTCGAACATGGGCGAAATCGATCAAGTGGTTGATAAGTGGGAGGGGTATTATAAAATTCTAAAATCGTCGTAGAAAGATGAAATTGAGCATTGAGGTTGAGAAATACTAAAATCTAGGCATAATCATTAATTTCAGATACACATGGAAAACCGCCGGCTTTCAGCGTCATACTATGTTTTATCACAGGCGTCGTCACGCTCCTCATGGGTGCTTTTCAACTCGGTTAGACAATTCAACTTTCTCCCATATTAATTCAGTCTTCAATAATTTCCTATTCTTGGCAGGTTTCATTGTTAATTTCATCTCTACTCCCGTAAATTCTGGTGCGAAGGTTAAAACAAATAATTTATGATAAATAAATAATACATTTTAATAATTCAGGATTTACAAGCGCGGCGGCGATCACAATTTGCTCGACGCAAATTAAAGGGTTGCTTGGGCTCAAATTTGCAGCAGAAGGATTTTTACCCACAATTAAAGGAGCGATTCAGCATATCTATGAAGTTCGGTTGTCCGATTCCATCCTCAGCTTGATTTGCATCATCTCTCTGCTTGTTTTAATGGTTGGTTGGTTGAGTTATTTTTTTATCTACCGTTACTAAAAATTCACATATATCCTGACTTTCTCCCTTGCGATTAATCTGAAAATTACAGAAGTTGCAACTCTTGCTTCGATTCGTGACCAATCGTATTCCCATTTTAAATCAACCATTGTGGTTTATCAGCACGGCAAGAAACGCCATAATTGTGATAGTTTGCACTGCTGTGGCAGCAGGTATTGGACCCAGTCAACCATTTTCAATTGTCGGCCACATTGTCCCAGGCCTCCCAGAATTTGCTTCGCCACCGTTTACCATTCAGGATCCTGCGACGAATGTAACATATTCATTTACCGACATACTTCAGGAGGAAGCTAGTGCTCTTGTCGTTCTCCCTCTTCTTAGGTAAATTAAAACCAAATACCAATCAAAACTTAACAATAAGTCACTTGATTACAAAAATATTGCACATAGCATCATGGAACATATAACGATTGCAAAGGTAAGCTCAGGTTTGTATTTACATAGATGCGTGTACATATGTATATGTACATAGAAAATAGAATGATTTAAATCAATTTGACACTTTGTCTCATGGGTTATTATTCACCCATGGTACATAACGAAGAAACTAATTGAAAGGGTAGTTAAAACTTTTGGTTATTACCCACTGCATATTCATGAATGGGTTTAAACTTCAAACAAAAGGTCCCATTATTATGGAAGGATATGTACAATTATTATTGCACAATGACAGGCGTTCGCTCGGCCCGAAAATCCTATTGATGCTTCTCAGGAGATGCTTTCCATTGGAATCTCGAACATAATTGGAAGTTTCTTTAGGTAATATGTAAATGATGTTTGGATCATTTTCTTTAGATATAAATATGCATATGTGCATGTTTGACCATGATAATTCTAAGTATGGAATGTCACGTTTCACACGATTAATCTTTAATGAACGGGAACCGATTAATTTTTCTATAGCTTTGGCTACGATTACAGAGGGCGGATATGAATTTACTTTCAACTTTTCATTTGATGAAAACCGAAAATCAAACTTTGTGGGCGATATTAAAAAAATACATACACGATATGAGGCGAAATTTTTTGCTCAAAGAAATCGGATCACAAAAAAAAATATTCAAAAAATACTAATTTTGTGAAAAGTCTTATTTTTATAATTTTTTCGTGCATACATACTTCTTAAATATTTTGGTGTTTTTGTCGTAAATACATATCCGCTCCCTTGATGAATTGTAATTTTCTAATATATCTAGGTAGTATTACTAACGTGCAACGACTAAACAGAATGACATTGTTAAGCTACGGCACCGCATTCTAGTTATTCTCTAGTGGTAAGAAAGTTTACCACCAGAGAAAATTGTCCGGCGGTGGCCCGAGAGGGGCCACCACCTTCACACCCACTCAATCACCTGGTCTATTGGGACCCGTTCATATATTATGTCAAGAAAGCAATTCTTCGACACCCACTTGACCTCCCTTTGTCAATAATTATCAACATTTGCTTGACCCCCCACTGGTGACATAAACTTCTCTTCATAATTGGGAAAGAGGTTCCTTCACAAATTCATTAATTTTTCTGCATATGTATGCATATCCTTGAATGGAAATTTTTAAAACCTCTCAAATTCTAACATGGCCTAAAAATGCATTTCGTGTATAGCATTACTCATCAATGCGAGATATATTTTCAGTGATTTAAAAAATTGCTCGTTGAGTCATAAAATTCTTTTTAGTTCATGGCGTCGATTTACCAAATTACGGTACCACGCTGCGGTGGCCTTATGGGGCACTTTCCAACAATTCCCCAGACCTCGTTCTGCATATATTTTTTCACATTCTTCCGTCCTGAGGGCTGGAAGGACCGTCAGTGAAATTTCGTTGGACCACACCCCCTGGCCCCGGTTGACCTTTGACATTAAAATTGGCTTAGGTTGTAGGTCTATGTGTGTGTAGCTTACCCTCCAAATTTGACAACATTTGGTCAACCATAACGCCGGGCGCAGTATGGCGACACTCAGGGTGCATAAATTTTTTTGTTGTCCGTGGTTTCTCCTAAGGGCCAACAACAACTTATATGGATATCAAGGTCCTGAATTTTACTTAGTTACGGGTCTACATATAGACCCGTAACTAAGTAAAATTCAGGACCTTGATGGATACTATCCCACATATTTTTGATCGTGTCGACATGGTTAATTACGCCAAAATTCAAAACCTACAGTACAGCTTTGCTTAGCCCGAGCCAGGGTGGGTGCAACTGACCAACCTACCAACTCAAACTCACCTCTTCTCATTTATTCACTTATCATCATCATCATGCTTACGATTGAAAGTATATGCTTCATATGGCGACACTTTGGTGACCGGTGTCCGTTTTATGAAAACCTTCTAGGATGGAATGCATGCAATCACGATCGATATAAGCAACAAAAAAAGCAAAAGCTTTTTACAAAACATGTAAGATTTTAAAATGTACTTTATATTACAAACATTTCAGCAAAAAAGCATTACAACATTTATGAAAGCATTGCAAAAAGCTTAAACGAGTGAAAAATTTTGAGATCCTAATTTCTTTGCCTAAGCACACGTGCAGAAATGCAATTAATCTTAGCCGCTTTGGTTTTCTTCTTCTTCATCATTACCTTCGCATACTTTCTTCGTTTTACATGATACCGATCAATGATTTCAAACGGCTTCAAATTTCCTGAATCCAAAACGCTTGAAACAAACCAAAACGTTATTGGGAAGCATTCTTCTTCCGATGCATTTTCGTTTGATGATGGCTCTAGCAAGTCGATCCATTTGACACCAAAAAATTTGCCGATCTTAATTGCTATCTCCGGAACTAGGCCTCCAGACGATTGTGGATTGGACTCTTTGACCTTGATCTCGTAATCGTCTTCTATTTTTCGGATCCAAAGGCCCCAGCAATGCACATTGGTGTATGGCTCTATTCCAACTTGTTGACCCAAGAATGCTACGACAGGAAGTCCTACATCATCATAATCATCATCAAGCGTTGAATTCCATTCATTCAATCATTTGTGTACCTCTCCGTGCAATGACCTCCGTCCGAATTTTTCTCATGGCTGAATTTACGGTTGCCGTTGTCCCCTCCGGATGAGTCTTGGTGCGTAAATCCATTATCCTTTGCCGGTTATTTTTGTAAATTACGAGCTTTTTGAAGAATGATCCATTGCTTGCCCGCAGGAAGTTCTCGCCCCCACTAGAATCTGGTCCTTGCAAACTCTTCTCAAGAAATTCTCTTTGATAAACGACTTCATCACTTCTTTCATGACACCAAGCCTTCTTCTTCTTGAAAGCTCGTTTCCTCGCCGCTTGGTCACCAAGTTTTAAATTCTTTGCCATACTGAGCAAATATCCATCCCCAACCCCCCGGGTCTTCATTTTCATCATATTAATTAGCAAAAGCGATGAGCAAAGCTATTAGCTAAGACGTTATCGAAAAAGCAAGCCGATTATCAAGAAATTATTATTTTACGAACAAAAGTTTCATTTCCAATCAATTTATTTTCTCTCCTGTTCCCAAAACTTGTTGTCATGCCTTTCAACTATAATTCTGAACAATTTTAGGGAACTACATATACTAATTTCATAGCGTTATACAAATTAGTAGCAACCTCCCCCCAGTGGGTGTGCCCTTTTAGCGCTTTCGTACTGCTTCAACGTACACAGTTCCTACTAATTTCATTGGATTTATATCATCCTGGACTGCCAATTACACAAGATAAATTAATTTTAACCACACCCCCAGTGGGTGTGCCCTTTCAGCGCTTTCGTACTGCTTCGACTTACATAGTTCCTACTAATTTCATTGGATTTATATCATCCTGGACTGCCAATTACACAAGATAAATTAATTTTAACCACAGTTTTTTTCCAGTTTTTTTCCGAATACGCATGAATCGATTTTTATGAAATTTTGGATTCAATACCACTACTTATAGTCGATTAACATATTTAAAGTCCAGTCATGCCAATGACCCACATCATGGTGCTTTAGTGATAACGCTTTAGTCATAACCTCGTGGGAGTAGTAACGGCTTACAAGCGAGACCCAACACCCATTTTAAATCCGAATACTCCTTATTTTCCCAATACGCATGAATCGATTTTTATGAAATTTTAAATTTAGATACGCTTAACCACCATGTATTTAGAAATTTCCAATTTTATTAAAGACATTCGCCACATATATTAATAGTTGAACTAAATAATTATAACAGGAGCAGGACTATACCCAAATAGCTAATTAACTTGTAATTAACAATATTTCCTTGGAAGATTGGCTGTTCGGCGACTACTGCGTCGTTGAACTTGATTTAACCCATCATTCACAGCTTCATCCTCTTTCTGACGAAAGGCGACATCAGGATTCACCTCAGGTTCAATCTTTCTGAACCCTATATACAGAATAATGTAAGTGTTGGTCATAATTACCATGCTCAACTCCTTACCGTTCAGTTGCGCAGTACATTTAAAACTATGTTCCATGCCGAGTCCATCATTCGGATCCACCACTAGCTTTTGAGATTCTATGCAACGTAAAACAAGTAAAACAACTCATATTATTTTATAATTCACTATCCCAAAAAATTATAAATACCTTCTGCCGTCGGTAAATCACACTACAAATATTTCCTATCAGTCACCCAAACCAACAATTTGATGAATATAAGGCTAACGAGAAGCTCGATTTTCTCTAAATTTTTATCGTAGACTATAATTAACCTTATGTTTAATATAAATAAATTTCAAAACGCGGGTGCTTCATATGTTTTTTGCTATAAATCTCTTAGTTTTGCTAATACATTCCGCATATTTGTGGTAATTTTTACATCAATCTAAATGTTTACTATGCTATCATCTGAGATAACATACTTTCTTAAATCGTTTCATAACATTAATAATCAAACGTAATTAATTTTAGTGCTGCGTCTTTCGAACCCTCTTACCAGAAGATTTCCGAATTCCACAATGTTCGGGAGACAAAGGCAACGTGGGTTTTTTAAACTTCACTTCATTCTGTACCACCCCACTCGTTGATCTATTGACAGAATCCGAACAGAAATCTAGCTCCATGACCATGTCCTGGTTTACTTGTTGAATTGATTCAGCAGCTTTAGGTAGATTCGTCTCACAGAGTAACTCATCAAGCACAGAAGCGTCGTTGTTGTTGCCAAATTGCTCAGGGTCGCTTCTACTTTCAGTATCCACATTTACACCATCATTCATATTCCCGCACAGCTTAAAGGTATTCTGTAGAATACTCGCCGGATACATATTCCTGATCAGCTCAACTGTTTTTGCTTCAGCAGCTCGTTGCTGGGATGCCTCTTCCGCTATCGAACACATTTCTAAATCCTCTACAAATGTTTAAAGTATACAAATTTAATCCAACTCTCTGTTTCAGTACACATTATTCTATAATTTAATTCACACACCAACAAGTTCGATCAATTCTGAATCTTCCTTTGCTGTCATAATCCTCTGATGTTGTTTCATTTCACCATCAAGCCGCCATTTTTCAATTTTTCGCTGGTTTCCTTTCTTAATTGACTTAGCCACGATCATGTTGACTAACTCCTTACACAGTTGCAGACGTTCTCGGTCCTCCTTCCTTGCAACAGCCGCCATCCGTTTTTTCTCAATTTCTTCTTCCGTATAGAAATCCATTTCTCTTAAACTTCAAGTGATTGACAGATTCCAGGCCCAATTTTATTCAACCAGATGCAAGATTTAGAACGTAGAAGAAGATTACAAATTTCAGATTTCACATTTGAATATACCAAACA